CATCATCGAAGAAGAACTCGAGATCGACGATGCTCGAGCTACCACCTACAAACTACGCACTGTTCCAGCGGATCCTGCCAGTGCCAAGTACACCTTCAAGGTTGCCATCATCGATGGGTCGTCAACCCCTTGACAGGTAATCAAGTGGGCTGAACGCATGGAGAAAGTCTTCAATGGACTTGCTCTTGCCGATGCCGCGGAATGCGACAATCTCCTTTGCGAGATGACTACGGGTTCTGCCAAGTGTGCCTACAAGACTAACGTTCGTGGAAGCATCTCTGCATGCCATACTGGGCAACGCCAACAAGCAGTCAACACCATTGCTGCTCGTGCAGGCGGAGAAACGCCACAACAGTACCAAGCCCGTGTCAACGCAGCTTGGAATGGAGTAGCCGCTCCAGATTTGCATCTCGACGATGTCCTCTATGGGATGAACTCTGTCATCGAAGCAGCCTGTCCTTACAAGGCTCTCGAGCGGTGCTCAGCCAAACGTAGCATGGAAGGTTCCACCGCCACAGCCTTTCTACACACCGTGTTATTATCGTGGTTGTTGGGTAGAAAGGCTGCAGCGCTGCTACCCACCACAACAAGAATTGCAGCTCGGAATCTGCGAGTGACCGCGAGCTGGAGCATGAAATAGCAAGGTAGCTACCTTGGATCGCTGTTCGGGTGATGGAGATGGGCTTCTCTTTCGGTCGCAGAATCAATGGCCACACACGAACCAGTCGGAGTTGCAGAGAATTAGCAATAATTTCCAAAATCCAGTATCCATCGGAGTGTACGTTAAGTCTTCTATTAATTATGCTTTAAGTCTATGGCTGCTTTTAATGCCGCCGGCAAAGACCTGGCTTTTCTCGGCTTTTGATTTTACCGCCATCAGAAGATACCATTTCCACAACCCATCGCACCCCTATCGAGATGATGGAATTGACGCTGCTCTCACCATGAGCAACGCTATTTATTCAACAAGAGCGGTCCATAGAAAATTGACTAAATAGCATTGCAAGTGGAGAGAAAGTCTCCAAGGCCATCTTCTCGTGTTCCAAGGATCCTCCTTTTTCTTTTCTTTGATCGATCATGATCCGGTTGTCGGTACGTACGTGCGAGTGCGAGTAAATCGAACGATTGTTGCTGTCACAGTTGCTTTAGACTATGCTGCCGCTTACAACCTCTTTATATACCCTTTATCTACGTTTGGTTGACAGGAGAAGAGGCTGCTAGGTGGATATGCGAAGATACCTTGGTCGGCAAGTGGCTAGAGGCCAATTCACGATATTCGAGTTCGCGTGAAATCCGACCATGGCGTTCCACCGGAGCACCGTTCGACACTCAAGGAATCCACCAGGAGCCTCAGTTCTATCACAGAAGGCCCTGTTTAAGAGTGCATATCTTCAATTTAGATATTCGGATTACCGTAGACGATCGGCACCTAGCATGACGGTACGTACCTGCCTGGTACTGGTACCATTGCAACGTTGCGAGGGGACTCCTGGAGTGGCACTGTTTAGGCGAATTCCAGGTCTTACATCTGTTCTGTTTCCATTGCAGGAAGCTACCTTTACCACTGTTTGGCTGGTTGGTGGGAGTTCTCGTGTTGGTTGAATTTCCCGGTGGCGCCCCATTCCTCCGTACAGACGAGAACCAATCCACTGACACGACAATCAACCTTGCACGGAGGAGCCCCTTTCAGCACCACGCAATGGCTTTGCTACCCTTGGAATCAACAATAGAGCCCCTTTCAGCACTGGATAGGTAGCTACCTTGGTGATTCCTGTGGTGGTGCCGTGATACTGGTTCGGCGGCAATTGAAAGAGAACTCCCAGCGTCGACACTCAACACTCACTCCATACCAATTGACAGGAGCCCCATTCAACACCATCATATTGATATAATGGTTCCCTCTATCTGTATTGTGGCCAGTTCAACACTGGCCAATTCAATGGTGAGTCTTTTGCGCTGTTTGATGGCACTGTTTGGTTGTTCTCATCCTGCCGGAGTGTGCCTTTTCCAGGGCGCAGGAGCTTTGATATCCAACTCCACAATCAACCGTTCTACAACGAAATACCAAGTGACAACAATCAACCTAATATTGTCGCTACTACATGTAAGTAAACTATATGGCCTATTCATCCTCCTCCTCGCTGTTGGACTTTCCTTCTTTCTCCTCTCCTTGGTCAATAACTCATGTCACTGTTGCTTCTTCTTCCTCCAGGAGCACTCGAACCGTGATAGAACATAGAGTCAATGTAGTTTCAAAGCCCTCATGTCTGGTAGTGGTTGATGAGTTGTAAGATGTCATGGTCATTGGTTCTTCACAATCTCTGAATGCTTTGATCTTACCTTTGAAAGATCAGAGGCGGAATAGATGGTTACAGTTCCACCATCTGTATAGGTAGAGGATTACCATTCCACAACTCAATGATACTATGGTCCCTCTGGTTGCACAGACCTCCAGAAGTTGGCAATGACAAACGAGGTCCTTTTTCTCCTCAATAACAAGGTATCTGGGAGCGTTTGGTGAGAGTTTTATGTGGTAATCAGCTACTTGAAGTGTACTATTCGTATTGTGCCTTTATGGAATTGATTCAGGAATGTGATCAAAATCCAAGCGCCACGAAATCCGAGCGCCTCGAAATCTTAGCGCCTCAATGTTGAATCACCTTAACTTTAATAGCCTCAAAATCCACACCTCAAAGTTCAATCTAGAACTCAAAATCCAACCTTCGAAGGGCCAGATTCGGTACACAGCTCAAGAATCCATTTTCGCCAGAACCCTGAGCCAACAACCCTGCAGCCAATCAGACCAAAGTCTGCAGCCAATCAGACCAACGTCCAGTCATCATAAAATTCTCACACCCGCCTCGAACCAAAATCCAACGTAAAATCGCCTCAGAAATCCACACCTCAAAGTTCAATCTAGAACCACAGAATCCAACCTTCAAGGGCCAGATTCGGTACAGCATCAAAATCTGGGTTCAAGGTCCAGATTCGGTATACAGCTCAAATTCCTGAAGGTTCAAGGGCCAGATTCGGTACACAGCTCAAAACCATTTTCACCAGGTGCCTCAACATCCAGTCAGACCAACGTCAAGCCAGCAGAAAATCCGCCACGCTGAGCCTAGATACAGCCAATCAGCTCAGGAACAGTCCACCGCCTCGGCTGAACAGCAAATCAGCTCAGGAACAGTCCACGCCTCGGCCGAAAAGCCAATCCAAAACTCCATCCGCCTCGGCGAAAGCAATCAGCTCAGAAACGCTCCATCCGCCTCGGCCGAACAAGCCAATCAGCTCAGGAACAGCTCCATCCGCCTCGGCCGAATAAGCCAATCAGCTCAGGAACAGCTCCATCCGCCTCGGCCGAACAGCCAATCAGCCCAAGAACAGGTCCATCCGCACAGTGTCAGCAAGACCAAGGAGCTGTGCACCCAAGGAACGAGAAGCCAAAACAGCCAAACAGACCAAACAGACAAGCACAAGCAGCCAAGCAGCACTCAGCCAGGGAGCCAAACAGGTCAACGTCTAACCCAACCAGTAATACTAGTAGTGAATGCAACAGCCTAACGTTTCTGTTGCGGTTAACCGCTTTTTATGTATGCGGTTGAACCCACTCACCTAGTACCGGATCGCTACAGTCCAACAGCCAGCGTGGTCAAGCTGAAAAACGTGCGGATCGGTAGTCAAGTCCCGAAGTCAAACCACCAGGTGAACCAATGCGAATCCACTCCATGGACCGGAATTGTACAGACTCAATCAGAACTGCCAAGACTGTAAGTCCACGCCAACTCACCGCCTGAACAGATCATAATTTGGTATCATACAGTTCCAAGTCCACCGCCTGAACAGCCAAAAAATCCACCGCCTGAACAGATCATACAGTTCCAAGTCCACCAACGCCACACTTGCCTCCAAATATTGTACAACTCGCCAATGCCTTCAGTACTGGTAATAAGCTCCGATAACAGGTTGGGCCACGGGTCTATTCTGGAGGATCCAGGAGTCTTCTGCTTGTGTCGCAAAGGTAAAGAAAGGTAAAAAAGAAGGCTGCAATTGTCTTTTGGATCTCAAAAGGTTCTCAATGGTGAGACATGCCCTTGTGCGGGGAGGATAAACTCTCAGATAACCTGCAGCAAATGGAAGACTTCCTTGGGATCTTAAACTCTCTGGTGAATCCACCCCCCAGTACTGCGAGATTGCAGTCCACTTTTGGTCTACCTTCAACCCACACTTTGGCAAGAAAGGAACCTTTGCCTTGAGGGTCTGCCAGCCTGGGCCACCTGGTAGCGATTGTTCAAGAAAGGGTTGCCTATTCTCTGTGCTGCACGGGTTCTGTTTCTCTTCCAAACAGACAACAAAGCCTTCCAGAAATTCTATGAAGAATGTCTTAACAAAAACAGGAACTTGAAGGGGCAGCATAGGTCCGGCATGCTCCATACTGTTGGTATGGATACCCGCAACAGATTGTCCAGGAACGACTGATGAGGATCCTTGTCGATAACCATGTTAATAGAAGCCATGAAAAGAAGGCGAGGTATCCCTACAACCTTACTCTTTTGCTTGAATGAAACCTGGCAGAGGTATCATCAGTTGTACAAAGATGTTCCTGTCTACTCGAAGGATACTTTCGCGAAACTACTTACAACTGGTACCAGACAGCTTTCTTTTCGAATTCAGTGGATCATGAGTGCATCGTCATCGTGAGTGGTGGAATGACCTACAAGCATCTGGTTGTGGAGGAGAAGCCAATGAAAGGCAGAAGATTGATCGGGAGAAAAACAAGACAGTTTTTCAGTGGGGAGGTCACATATGCAATACGATAAAGATGAGTGATGATGATCAGTCGCCAATGCTTGTTCATCATTTCTCTGATGCTGAGGCAGGTCCATGCCACTGAGACGACAAACACATTCTCCATTACTACGAGAGCAAAGTGAAAGGTTTCCTACCACCGACCAGTTTTTGGGTGGAGTTGCTTCCAAAAAGGAAGTGGGTACAACCATACCATGTTCTGCAATGGCGAAACGGATAATCCTACTGGGAACTCTTTGATTGAGATGATGAGGAAGGATCTGAAGGCTTACATGGCGGACGATAACACTGATAAAGAGGCAGCATTGAAAGCATTGAAGGAAAGTGCTGTGGCGGCAGAGGTTGAAGGAAGGTACAAGATACTGGAGGAACATGCAGACTTGCTGCGGAGCATTGCAGTCAATGGGCAGGGATGTGCCAAGCAGTGGCATGTTTCAATGGTAATCCTACCATTCTAAGACGTTTGCTTACCAAGAACCTGCAGCACTATCACATTGACATACTGCCCAGGAATCAAAACCATCTTCTGGATAAAGACGTCTACGTCTTCAGTGTTTATGCCATTGCAGGAGCACGGGATGGTCCTAAAACTTATCACCAACCCACAGTTTGGTGATGCTGACGACAAGATGGCTTTCATACAGCATGGGAGCTACCTAATGATGCCAGCGACAGCCTGGAATTCAGGCAGCTTCTCCACAAGTCTAAAGGGCAACCTAAGGGCGCAAATTTATGTTTGCCTGACACCTGAAGGAATGAGTAGACGGCCAGTCCTGTCCAGTTATTTGAACGATACGATCTACCTGGGTGAATCGGATGGAGTTCTGCTCCTTGATGAGCGTGGCAGGAGACACTCATGTGTGGGATGGTGCAGAGGCAGTGGTCGATGAGAAAGGTGAGGTCAAGGTCCAGGTTTCCCGAGGTAGCATTGTCCTTTCGCATTCGGTACAGATCAGAGGAATCAGAGAGTACTATCTCCAAGGTTTTGATGAATTTGAATGACGTCCTTCTCTTGTAGCTCTCAAAAAATGTTATAGTGCCTGTTATTTTAAAATTGCATCTGTTTTGTATTACTGCTTGTTAGGTATTATCCTTTAGTGCCAATGCCTGACTAGTCCCCACCCCGATGTGGGTGGTTTTGTCAATTTGGGGGTGGGTTGTGATTTTGTTTTACTGTTTGTTCGGGTCCCTTGTTTGTTCCTCCTTTCGATGGATTTTGGTGGCTGGCTGGCGCGCATGATGTTTCACATTGTGAGCGGATGTTTCATCAGCCTACGATTCAAACATGGAACCAGATGTTTTCTATCATTTTTCGAAGCCAAACATCCCACATCAATTCGAAACATCCATTTCCAAGTCAAACATGCTACTACAACAGCGAAACATTGAACCCTACTAAAAAAGCCCATAGGATTTTTCAGATGGTCCTGCAGCAACAAGCCGTGCTTTGTGTCGTCCATCGTGCTTGACTGCATACACCATGTGTACCCGGATCTTCTTCCAGTCTGGTCCAGGGTTATGTCCCTTTCCTTTGTTGATGAAGGTCTCGTACTCATCAATCTGGTTGAGTTTGGTCATCTCGGCATCTCTCCATTTGGTGTCTCCATTACGTGCATCTAGTTCCATGGCTTGGTCATGGTTGCGCGGAACTTGGAATCCGTACATGAATACGGGCTTGGTCCTGAAGGAGTGAAGCTTTGCTTGGTTAGCCGCTCGTACGAGTCGCTTTTGAGTCTTTGCGATCTTCTTGAGTCCAGGTAATTTCCATCCAACTGTGTCTAGTAGACCATGCTCTTCAGCATAAATTGCGACTGTGACTGGATCAGACTCGTGTACTCCCAACTTGTCTTTGGTGGTGAGAGGCTCCCAAGTGATCTCCCCAGTTTCCCATTCAACTTGGACGTTGTATCGTGACCCCTTGTATCGTTCCTTATCGGATGACTTGATGGGACCTTGGTGATCCATGATCTTGCGGAACTTCCAAGTGCCATCCCAAGTCTGATCTTGTTCAATGTAGTCTACAATGTCATTGTAGGCTACGATCTCCTCGTACTCGTCGTTGACTCTGCATTTGAACTTGACCTTCTCCTTGTGGTGGTTGACTCTTTCAAGGATCTTGGCTCTTACTCGAGTTCCATCTTCTGCAGGCGGCATGAGAAATGTTCTTTCGATCATCTGTTCAGGAGGTAGTCCTGATTCGGTGGGATTGTCAGTCTTCATTTGTCGTTTGTTGAAGATGAATGGTTCCTCTGTGCTAGATGATCCTTTCTCGGGCTCGTCCCTCTAATGGTTTGCAATGTTGTCGTCATCGTCATTGACTGTCTCTACTTGGGGCGTTTCCCTGAGAGGTGGTTCGTCCATCGGAGTAGGTTCTTCTGGAGTGGTCTCCCCTATCTCCCCTCCTTTTTCGCCATCGTCTGGAAGGTCAAAAGGGCTCTGGTTCATATCGATAGTGGGCAGTCTAGCATCATCACCTTCTTCGTCTCTTTTAGACCTGACGTATACGTGCTCTGGAACTGCTCCTGCTTCGACGTCGAGCTTGAGGTTGTTGATCCCTTCCTTTGCGAGTCTGACTCTGGACCGACATATGATCTGTTTGGTATCATCTGTGAGGATCTTGAAGGTGAGTTGGTGTCCAACATTCCAGGCAAACCCAACGAAACTTCCACGAATCTCTGAAGACTTGTTGTGTCCTGGCTGGGCATTGTACCCTTGATCCTTGTATCGCGGAACATAAACAACATCCCAGAACAGGAATACGAGCAGAATGCTGATGTCCACAGTTTGTCCAGTAAGAACTTCAAGCGGTGGTCTCCATCCAGTTGATTTTTCCGCTGTATGATTCATAACATCACCTATCCATTGCATGCACAGTAGCCAAGCTTCGGGATCAACGTTTCGCCAGTTCATGAACCAGTTGTGGTTGCGTTTAAGATGCTTCCATCTGTGTTCTGCGAAGTTTTGATGCTGGTAGTGGGGTTCAGATTGCCAATCGTCGATGCATAATGCACGAAGTATCTCTTTTACTCGCGCGGAAGTTTGTGCTGAGTGTCCATCCGAGATGAGCTTGTCCATTGCTCCCCTTGTTCGTATGACAACTTCAAGGGTGTTGACAAAATCCGCAGTGGAAGACATACCGAACACATCGATGATAAGTGATTTATGCCCAATGAAGATCTGTGCCATCATTTGACCTCCGGTGCAAATGGCGGGTGTGTCCGCAAAGATAGTATCCATAGCAACGGGTTCGTTGCGTCGCCATACATTATGGGCCGGGAAAGGTGACTCAATGGTCTGCTTGATGTGATGGCCAGCTTGGATATTGGATGCGTGTTGGGTAGTCCGTTCAAAGGTACGGCAAATCGTCTCAACGGGAACATGGAGAAAGAATGGGCTGTACTTTTGATAGTCTGGTGGTTTAGGAGTGGACTCCGTAGCAGGAATGATGATGTGGTCCTTAGATGGGACGGTATCGGTATCAAATGCAGAGTAGACAGATTCTGCGAGGACGCACGGTTGGTTGAGGTTGGAGACAATCTTGTAAGCTTCGAGAAAGTCCGCATGATTGATGTTCAGTGGGTTCTCATTAAGTGGGGTGATTGCTTCAACGGTGGGTGCGTGATGCGGTTCACGGTGTTTGTAATGCCCTTGTGAATCGAAAGCATAGTTGGGCGGTTCATCATCTTCGAGCTTGATACGGTTATACCAGTCATCATGATCACTGTGCCTGAAGTCGAGAACCTTAGGATCCCATAACTCACCAGAGGTCAGAATGACATGGGTGAGTGTATCAAGTTCTTTGTCAGACGGAGGGCACATCTTCATGTACGGGAGTCCATTGATGATGTCTAAGGGAATGATGAAACCATCATTAGTGTGGATGCATTGCCTACCAGCACAGAGGAGAGATCAATCATCTACTTGGTTCTTGTAGTACTCAATCTGACCAGAAGCATGGATGGTACGGTTGATACCATGATAGGCATACTGGCGTAGCACAACAATGATGGGACCACGATGGGAGGTAACTTTACCAACTCCATCAACGATCTTTATGCCATTCATCTCGTGATTGTCAATGCCTGTGACATCAACCTGTCGCTGGTGTGTAACCATGACGCGGGCATCCTTACCAAGGATCCCGCCATTAGCTCCCTGATCAACAAGGGAACCATGATCGTTCTTATGCCAGACCAAAGTAGTCTGCACTGTGTATCGGTAAAGAGAACGATTGTTGCCATCTGCATTGGGAGGTACCGCCGAAAGAGGGGCGTGACATTGTACCCCGGAAGGTATGGCAATAGCCGGGTGTGAAAAGGCCTGTGGACCACGTTGGCTTAGTGTGTTCCGGCCTGATGAAAATCCTGTGCTTCATCGGATTCATGCTCTTCATCAGATTCTTGGAGAGCAGCGAAGGAGTTAGATGCAGTTCCAGTGCGGGACTGGTGGGATGCATCAGAGGGATGGTAGGAGGTATCAGAGCTCCTTGATTAGGAAGAGCTGGACGAGAGCAAATCTTGTCCGTAACCAGATGGTGACATGAGGTTGCAGATGGATCCAAGGTTACCTGATGGCGTCTTGGATGCCTTATTTTTGTTCTTGCCTCTTCGTCCTCGGGTTTTGGGAGAGGTGACAGCGATGAACCCAGAAGAGTCTGGAGTCCCATCGGAGACTGGAGTTGTCGTCGTTGCCTCGGGTGCGAGTGCAGCAGGGGTTGTCGTCGTTGTCACGGGTGCGAGTGCAGCAGGTGTCTGTGTGAGCACTCGGCGTTGTTTGACAGCCTTGCGAAGTCCGTGTGTGCCCTTGATATGACGCATGGAGATGTCCTCCTCGAAGTCAGTTTCATTCGGGGTCACAAAACTGAGGTCGGTGTCAACATCGGCCCCAACATCAGAGGATGGATCGAGCTGGGGCTTGGAGATATCGATCGCTAGGGATTCGGTATCATCAGCAGGTGCCTCCACAATGGATGGTTCTTCCGTGGGAAGATTGTCCATGAGGGCCTGCTTGATTGGGCACATCGAGGAGATCCACTGGCACGGTCGCACCAACTGGTGGTGTTTGATTACCTTCGGATTCATCAGAGAGATACACGAAGGGCCGCCAATCAGGATCAATCTCTGGTTCGCTGAATAGTTCGTGGGAATAGGACTCATAAGATGAGCGATCAATCTCGTGAACTCGTACCTTGCGTGTAGCCATGTTGGATGGCTGTGATAGGACGGACGCGATGTCACCAGCGAAGGATGGTGGCGTTGAATGTGTCTTGTTGCACGCGAGTTGCAATAGGTCGGTGTCTGTCGTATTGGAATTGGTTTGATGCGAGGACACTTCTAGATTGCTTGCTCGTGGCGTGGAGTTGCCCTCGTCGAGGAAGTCATGGGAGTTGACTGAGCGGGATGGACGTGATTGTCCGGAGTTATTCTGACTACGTCGAACAGCTAAGTCAGCCATGTAGTCAAGGACACTCTTCTTCCCTGCTTCCGAGATATCATCCCATGCCTTTTGGTCCGACTTGGATAACAACCGCCATGTGGCTGCATTCATCATGACTCTTCGTGGCCCATGAGTGTCCTTCTGATGAGCTTGCAACAGGACCTCCACTGGCATATCCATGTCATGGACAAATGCCTCATAGGCATTGTCACAGGTCTCCGCGGTACCATCGTCGAAGATAATTTCGTGTTGGTAGGTACGGCGGCGAGCATTGCTACGAGAGCGTGCAGACGTTGCATGATTTGCGCTGTCATGCAGTTGTGCTTGCTCGAGAAGGGCTGCCCTGTACTCTTCGAGCGAGTACTTGGTGGTGTCTCCTGCAGTTTTCTTGGTCTGCAAAGCGAGACGTCGTACGGGAGCGAGATTTGGTGCCTTGGAGATTGCGCGTTCCAAGAAACGTGCTCCTTGTTGCTCAGTGTACGGCTCGTCACTGATCTCATTGTACTGCCGAAAGTTCGCGAGGAAATTGGAGATGAAACCTGCTTGGGATCCTCGCCATACACCATCCGTGAGGTCTGCAGAGGTGAGGTAAGACGAAATCTTGTCTGAGCGTAGGGTTGCGACCATGGACTTGGAGTAATAGTCGTTGATTGCTTTCCTGATCACACGGGTGTCCTTTCTGGCTTCGTTGGCAAGAACGACAGATCGTGCCTGTGCCTCTAAGAAGATATCCTCGAAGGTCTTGCACATCCATTCTCGTTGTTTCTCGTCGAGTTCGATGTTGGTGATCGTGAAGTCTGGATCAATGAGGTGGGAGAGACCTTGGGATTTGAGCGTGTTGAGGAAGTTCTTCTTCCATTTGATGAAAGAGGATTCATCGTGAAACTCCCTGAACTCCGACCGAACGGGCTTATTGTTGTTCTTGTCCCATAGCGCGATTGTACGCTCGCCATCGGTCATCGTGGTGTCGCTACGTCTCATTTGCTGCCACGGGATGATTTCACCGTGGGGTTGGAAGAGTCTAAGTCATCGAGTGCGGTGGTCGTCAGCGAAGTGATGCATACCGGGGACTTCCTCTTGAATGACCAATGGTGGTACATGTGTATCGCCAAGAGCAGTAGCTTCTTCCTGGTGAGAGGTACGAGTCGTGGAGCGCCATTGGTATCGTTGGGAGCTTGGAGGTCCATAACTTCATCTTTGGTGAGGAGTAGGAGATTCATCCATCCATCGATTCCTTGACCAGCCAATGCGAGATGCAGGTGGGATGCAAGATACCCTGTGTTGGAAGCGTCTTCGCCGCATAGATTGCATAGCACATGCTTGAGTTTGGTTGCTTCGTTGGACATCTTGATGTAGATGTGGAAGTGCATAACTGTGACTAGTTAACCTGCTAACGTGAGGAAATACTACTTGAATAGAGGGATCTCGTAGACGTAGCTACCACCCAACGATATCAACCGTGCTATTCAAGACGAGTGCAAGGTAAACTGCAAAGTTTGCTTCTTAGTAATTCATAATCTTGTGTTGTGAGCTTTGCTTGATGCGATCGGTAAAGCTAGCTTGTAGCATGTTAGATCAATGCATCGTGGTAGTTGATCTTGATTCATACGGAAGTCAACGTGGGATCTACGTGAAACGGTTCGTTGGCATGATGCTTTACTCCTGTCGAATACTCCAATTTGCCGTTTCTTTTGGTTTCGTTGAGAACGTGTTCATTCTTGTCAGCGTTCTCTGTTCCATCGTGTTGACTCATGAAGCATGACCCAATCTATTCACGGATACTCTGAGTCATGGGAGGAACTGTAACGCTTTCAAACTCGACTTGGACCTCATGGCAAGCTTGGGTTGAGGACAGAACTCCGAAGGGCCAAAAGTAGTTATTAATAGCCTCATTACCGCCGATAACTCGACGCTCCTCGACGCCTCGACGTTGGAAGATTCACAATGTCGGAAAGACAACATGATTAGACTACTAGTACGAAGCAGATTGACCTCGGCAGTCTATCTGCCTGAGCCCTCTACCCCTTTTTTGGCAAATATTCTGTCTGTGGGATCCCCTTATTTTGTGTCTGTGGGATCCCCCTCATTTCCTGTCTGTGGGATCCCCTATTCTGGTGATGCCAGGGGATAAGGATAGAGATAATATAAGCTGGCAAAACTGGAATTTGAAGGTTCAATAAAAAGTTAGGGGTAGGAATATATCAATGTAATTTAAGGTTAATGCACTCAGCACAAAAACACAATAAGCCAGCAGGTGTTGTAAATCTAGAGTCACATGATCGAATGATAGCTGTAAATTATGGGTTAGCTCGTGGCAACACCAAGGCTAGCTTAATATGAAACAGAAGGTTACAATGAGGGAATGATAGTGGGCGGCAACACACGACGAAGTCGGGTGTTGTCGCCAGGGCTAGCTTAAATAAAAACGAAGGTTATAATGAGGGAATGATACCGGGCGGCAACACTTGACGAAGTCGGGTGTTGTCGCCAGGTCTACCTTCAAAGAAGGGTGCAATCTCAAACATGTCATCCTTCTTCTATCTGTCTTTCTGCCGAGGTATCGCAGCTCCCGCTGACTTAAATCTTAATTAATGAAGCAGGAGCGGAGTTTTCTGTGAACGTGTCTCTTCGAGCGTCAGAATAGGCCTGGAGGGAGTCGAGTCCTGCGGCTGGACTACAGTAGGAGAGCCAACAGGAAAAAACAACGGCGGAGAATCAAGCCAACACTGATATCTTGATTTATTTGATTTGCGCCGCTCCACAATCGTATGGGTCTCTGCGTGCTTCTTGGAGCGTCGCAAGACACTGCAATGTCGACTTTGCGTTTGCGACTATCTGTGCCTGCACGGATCACCACAGACCCTCGTGGTATGATTGATTAGCATCTATCATTGCCTGAATTTTTTGGAAACAACTCTCCACATCCTGTAAACGAAACGGCTTTGACAAGAATCCAGAACCACCTGCTTCTTGGCACTTTTCTTTGAAGTGGTCAAGAGCGTGGGCTGTCACGAAGATTACCTTGGCCCCTTGCCTGTCATTCTCGCGTTTTTGACGCTCGATTATATAGCGGCATGCATCAATACCATCCATCACTGGCATCTAAAGAGTCAAGAGACGTATAGTAGAACGAAGAATGGTGAGCTTGCGCCGGTTCCAGAACTGCTAACCATTTCGTCATTCAAACCAGACGGTGCCAACATCGTAGTTGCCTCGTACGTACCTGCATATCCATCAGGATCACATCAAAGGACCCCTCTGCTTCTTGGTCAACAGCTTTCTTCCCGTTGTCAACTACCTGTACATCAAGGATCCCCAGTTTCTTTAAGATTCGAACGACTACTTTCTGGTTCACCAGGTTGTCTTCGGCAACCAAAATCTTGTAGTTCTTGTACGATGGTTCCTTCTCTTCGTCCGAGGTTGACTTGGTGCTTGTACCAGCAGTCCTGGCGGGATTTTGCGTTTGACTAGCTCTTGTAACATGGTCCCCGATATCCTTAATCAATACGCATGGTAGCAGTTGCGTCAGGGACCTGTAATGACCGTCCGATCCCTTGACTCCGAATTTGTGTCCAAAGGTGAGAAGCACCGTTTTGGCGAACTTCGACCAGCGACGGAACACGTCTTCGTCGTAGCGGTCCTCCTGAACAAGGAACACATGGGCGCGTTTTGTGTCCACTTCTTGATCTTGCGGGGGTATGGCGTCTTTCATGGTATCAAAAACTTGCGCATCTACTGAGTAAATCTGCATGAACCGCTTCGTTTCGATAACATCCCTGGATTTGACGTCACCAACGATATACATGGTAGAGCCTTGGAGTCTGGAGGATAGTCCCGCAACATCTGCTGATGGAGCCGTGTGATCACAAAGAGGAAAGTCCACAAACATTTCCGTCCATTTCCCCACCTCACTTTTAACGGATATTCTACCACCCAGGGCCTTGACAAGCTTTCCTGTGATGGCAAGGCCGAGGCCCGAGCCCCCATACAGTCGTTCGGTCTCGCTGCTAGCCTGCAAGAATGGTTGGAATATCTTTTCATAGTCCTTTTCATGTATTCCTTTTCCATAGTCTTTTACCACAAAGCGGAGCATTCTTTGCTCCGGAGCTTTCTGCATGCCCTCCAATTTGGTGTCGCTGGTTTCAGGGCATTTTCCGATGTCTGCACTTGGAAGCTGCGCAAGATAGTGGTGCACTCGAAGTTCCACAATGCCACCGTCAGCACCAAACTTCGACGCATTGCCGAGGAGATTATAGAGGATCTGAAGAAGGCGACGACTATCTGTCTGGAAGATCTCCCCGATTGTTGCATCGTAGTAGGTTTCGAGAGTGATTCGTTTGGAGGTGGCGTTTGTCTCAATAGAGCGAACCACTGCGTTTAGGGTATCTTGTAGCTGGCACTGTTCTACCTCGATGACGACCTTGCCAGCGGCCAGCTTTGAGTAGTCCAGAACGTCGTCAACCACGGCTTTTAGCAACGTTCCGCTGGTGACAATCATCCTCATGGATTCTTCTTGTTTGCTGTCAAGCTTGCTCTCTTGCAACAGACTGGCAAGACCGATTATGCCGTTGAGTGGGGTTCGGATCTCCTGTGGTACGGTGAAGGACGACGACAAAGTTGTCAGCTTGGAATGGGAAAGAACAGACAACAAACTCTACTGGTACAGCACGAAAGCACCCGCAACAGCCTTACATGGGACATTGAAGCAAAATGCTGCAGTTGCCTTGCAGAAGCCAACGTCACCTGTTCGTTGGCTTTGTGAAGTAGTAGGTTTGAGTCTTCCAATTTCTTGGTCCTCTCCCGAACCTTTTCTTCCAAGATGCAAACATTGGCATTGGATTGAACGGCCGTTTCCATTACCAAAGTTTGACGGCGCTCAGAATATCGATCGTACAAAAGGAAAATGCAGGAAGTGAAAGCAAAGATCGCCACGGCAACGACTGTGAACGCAACAGGATTACTCGTCGTGTGGCTTCTCAGCATTTCCTCGGAGGGATACAAAGATATCTTGTAGGAGCAAGTGTCACTGCCCAATGGCAAGCCAGTGTAGTCGCGGTCACGAGAAGAGAAGGCGTCAAGGTTGTGCAGCCAAGCAGTTCGTTTCAGGGTGTCAAAACGAGTGTCATGCAAGGTTCCCGGTCCTAGATACTCGGTGTCAGGACCGTTTATCTGATAGGTGAACGCCCGGCCACATGTCGACTCGAATACTGCAACCAAACCCTTGGTTCCAGGAGGCAAGATGTCATTGAGATAGTCCCGCCAATACTTGGTAACTCCTAGAACTCCCACCAGAGAGCAGTTGTCACCTCCATCGTTCTGACGATGTTCTAGGATCGTCTTTATATCCATTTCATGGTCGTCGTGACTTTGACGAATATGCACATGATCCTCATTGCTCAAGTGTTTCGTGGAATGAGACAGGGTCATGGACAGCACATCCGAAGCACAGTCCATGATGGGGTAAAAAAGGTCCCCAAAGGGTTCTGAAGAATCTTCTTCAGGCGACAAGTACTCTTTGGCCCATTGGTTATGGCCCTCCGCCACAGCCACTTGCTCTTGGTTTGTGGGATCCTTGGGCAGGTTCGTCACATGCGACAGAACGACGTGCATCGAAAGCAACTCGGGTAGGGCTTCGACCAATTCAGGATAAATGGCTCCATCCCAATTGTACGGTGGCCACGCTGGAAGCACCGGGTAGTTTTGCCAAGTCTAAAGAAGGGTTGTTTTGTGAGGTGCACAATAAGGACAAGAAAATCGTGAGAACCAGGCTAAAGTGAAACAGAGACCAACTTTTGTTGATGCCTACCGGTAAGAAGGGTCCCTCCTCGTCGTAACTGCGATTTTCACCCATGTTATTGTAGAGGCTCCCTTTGGCAAAGTAGCTTTCGTAGTTTGAACCATGATAGTTCCGATCTTGACGCTGCGCATGCATCGCATCTAGAACCCAATCATCATGGTGGATGCTGTAGTTTTCCCATTTCAAACGCTGCTCCTGGTCGTGTACAATATGGTAATGCCGGATGGCCATGGACTTGGAAAGAGTCCTTAGCTTGGCCAGCCTTACCGCCATGTTGGGCAACGTCACAAAAGGCCATTCTGCCCCTGTGAACTTGGCGAATGAAACCAAACCAATGGCATATGTATCCAGTGCACCCAAAGTCAACTCCAAGGAGCCACCCAATGCGCCCATGACTGTGGCGGCATGGTCATCAAAGACTTGCTTCAGTTGTTCGTGTTCAATATGCGTAGTAAAGACATAAACAGCCAGGGCAACTCCCAATGCCGATAGTGCCAAGAAGACCAGCAGAAAAATCCTCAGGTGAGAAACCGCCTTTGTCTCGGTTTGCGCCACAGCAGCAGCAGCAGCAGCAGCCCCAGAGCCAGATGCACTCTGGGCAGAATCGTTGGTGGGTTTGTTGTTGTTGTTGCTGTTGCCATCTTCCATGTCAGCATCAGGGCTGCCATCATCTCCATTCGAAGATTCTTCTAGCAATATAGGGAAAATATCATGATTCTCACCCGTCTGATGATAGTTGGTGCTAATCTCTGTTGTTGACGACCTTGTTTCCGCACTACTGGTGCACGAGTCACAGCTTGTCGCCTGTGGCTTTTCCATCACACGAGAACGAGAAGGGCTGTCATGGTCGAGACCCTTCTCAGCGGCGTCAATGGCATCGTGTTGGTGGTTCTTGTTGCAGGTGGAGGAGGAACCGATACTGCTGGTCTCGGACGAAGCCACCATGACACCAAAGTCGTGGGCTCTACTGGGCTCGGGCGGGTTGAAAGTGCAATCCGTCATGGAGCGTATACTAGCTAGCTAGCTTGATATTATGATGGCTGCTTTGCTCCCAGTGTGCTTGGTCGCTCCGCGTGTTCGCGTTTCTGGCTCTACTAGTAGCTAGAGGACTCGATTGGGAATTGTGATGCGATTGTGAAGCTGGGTTCGTTTGACGAGTGTGAAGCAGTTTGTGGTTCGGTTGAATGTAAGCGATCTCTAACTCTCTAACACTGTGGGCACCAAGTTGCTTGAGGACAGTCAATGGCGGCAGGAGGCTCATTGAGCTTCAAAGATGGGGGCCTGAAGGCGTATGTATTCCGAGAGAGCAACTGCCCCGTTGTGAGCCTCAAAGAATCCCTGATCAATATCAATGGAGTGAACTTGTGGAACTCTTCGAAAGAGCGAGGCTTGCAAGATGGAATGTCAATCAAGGTAAACCATGACCAAATTGGTTGACAATGGTAAGCCATAGCCTTTTGATTCACAATGGTAAACAGCTTGTAACAAAATCTGTAATGACAGTGGTAAACCAGCGAAAGACAGCGATCGGAAGTGGTGAAAATGACCCTGTTTTCCTGGGTACGAGATGTCATTGTGTGGGAATGGGAAATGGCATTGATTTATTTTCTCAATCCCCCTTTCCGGATTCCGGAGTTGCCCCCCTTTGTCTCACTGGTTGCAGTTGGTACAGCCCTTTTGTCGCTCAGACACCACATCATGGATGCTTTGGGATGTGCGTCTGTCGATGCGTACATACTAGTACTTGTAGAGCAAGAGCGTCGTCCCGTTGCAGTCGGCCTTCTTTTGTTACAAGGGCAGTCGATATTGCTTTTCAACCAACGTCAGGCCATAACTGGTACATGACATTGTAAACAATGTTGTATGCATGCACTACTGGTAAACTAGCTAGTACATGTACTGTTTTCTGTTTCCAACATACTAAGGCCTAATGGTTAATGGCACAGCCGTACAGGTAGCTACCGTATGGCTGCCAGGAATGCGGCCTGCCTTGACAACAAAACTGATCTGATCTGAGCGGAGCTGACTGGATCTGACATCCTTCTGCAGTGAAGCGTGGTGCGTGGTGGGAAGACAAAGAGTTCTTTCTCGCTGCCGTCTTTCGAGATGGCTTTGAATGGTAAAGGTAGAGCTCGCGGTCAGCCAATAACCTGCAATGTCTTCGTCTATGCTTTGAGATAGGAGGCGGGTTGTTTCATGGCTTTCAAGTGGAACAAGTAAAAGGCTCAAATTCTAAAAGACTTGTAGAATCGATTTTGATAAACCATGCCCATGGTGGATTGGCGATGAGCTGCTGTGTCCTTTCGGTAGCACTGGAACAATTTGTAGGTGCGGCGTCCTTCGGTAGGTACCATACCCCCTGCCTTTCTTGTTGCCTGTGATGTGCGCACTGCCTGTGCAGGAGTATTAGAACAGGGGCACACCCCATGCAACAAGGGAAAGCTTATCTTGAAGCAGAGAGAGATCCTGAAACTCGGCAACAGACGGGGCAACCGGGGGGCAACTGGCGGTGGCGGTGGCGGTGGCGACGGAACAGGAGGTCGAGCTTGAGGTTGCGTGGCAAAAGGATGAGGGTTAGGTGGACGAGGAGGGGCGGCAAACATCTCATTCACCCTCTGCCGAATCTCAGGATTCTGAAAGGCCGGGAATGCTTCAACAGCTTGCTCCAATTGCTGTTCAAGAGTAAGCTCCTCCTGCTGAAGATCACCGATGATGGGGTTATTGCGCCGCTGCCAGACAGATGTGAAGGCAAGGCAGCGTCCTCCAGCTAGCTAGGCAGCCAGTGAATCTCATTTGCTCGACCACATGCGCCATTGGATGTGTTGTAAAGGTAGTTCTCAGAAATTTCAGGGAATTCAATGTGGACTTTCTTTTTGAGCACATTGTTGCTGAAGTAGAGTGTGCCGCCTTGCTGTCCTTCTCTCAACTCCTTTTCGGTAGCACCACGAATAGCCGACTTCGTCTGGATGCAGTATCCGTAGGAGAGCCCATTGGATACCGGTATGATCTCGGGATCATAGGCTCCATTGACTTCGGTGAACTCAAAAGCTAGACCAAGAAGGTCTTGATCAAGGGTGGCTGTTACATTCTCCTTGCCAACGCCTCTAGGAAGATCAATCATGCAAAGGAACTCTGTCCTGGAGGCACCCTGGAAGTCCAGCTCAGGGATGGGAATCAAACCAATACGAGTTGTCATCCCGTCGTTGTCTTCGACGTAATAAATGCCAGTCCTCGCGGTTGGTGGCGGTGGTGGTGTTTGGACACAAGGTGCCCGTGGAGCAGATGCAGGAGCTCCAGCTCGACCAGTGGGTTGTTGGTCCCGTCCAAGTACAGTCGCTTCGTCAGGAAGAGAGTCCTCTGGGGCAGTCACAACTACTTCCTCACCGTCAATTTCCCCGTCGTCGCCAGGATGAATGTTTTGGGCCCCAAGGCGATCGGAATTGCGCTCAGGCAACCCAATCCCAGCAAGCTGGAGTTGCTCCTGAGAGAACTCACCGCCTCCAATGTTGGGAAAATTGGTGTTAGTTGCCTCCCAGTTGTAGTTGAACTTCTTGCGTCTAAGAAGCCTCGAATGACCAAACACACGAATCAAGTAGAAGGGTGGTCGTCAATTCTAAATAAATACGCAGTGCTTCTTCTGATGGATGTAAGCAAGAGTGTGGCCATGCAGTGTCAACAGAATCTCTGGCCCACACCGGGTAGTAGTGGTTCTTCTGCGTTGGACTCCAACCTCAGCTGGCATGATGCGAGGAGCTGGAAGGAGAAAACTCTCACAATGGAGAAATTATGAGAGGAATGAGATGCATGCTGCCGAAGTGGGAACAAAGCCATCGAGATGCATCACCATGTATCCCCCGTAACCACCGTAGAGAGCCGTCACTGTTGCAGCATGGTCTCAGGATTTTGATGGGAAGAAGTCTTGGATGGAAGTGCATGGTGGATCTGAAGTTTGCGGTGACAATGGAGAGCGTTATCGAAAGTGTGGGGCATAGATTATGAGGAGCTAGGCTTAAAGCGACACTAGCTAGTAAGCGACGCTAGAAGCGATGCTAGTCTAAGCAACGATCCTCTAAGCCTGTCTAAGCCTGTCTAAGCTTGTCTAAGCCTGGCTAAGCTTGTCTAAGCCTGCCTAAGCTTGTCTAAGCTTGTCTAAGCTTTTCTAAGCTAATCTTGTCGACAGATATGGTTTACGGTAAAAAATTCGGTACTTTCAACCCCGTAGCTTAGCATAGATAAGCGTAGACAAGCATAGACAGGCCTAGAGAAGTGAAGCATAGACAAGATTGGCATTGATATAAGCTTATCTAAGCTGCCAAACGTTGAATTTTGTAGTCCTGCAGAGCAAAAATTGGCCTTAGCTTGGCCTTAGATCTACAACAGCCTTAGATTGGTCTATGATGTAGAAAGAATTAAATGAGTTGAACAACATGTCAATTTCTTGTCTTTCCTAGGCTTTTCGAATGGCATGCCAAGTGACAGTTGAAAAGCCTCGAGCGGCAATTGAAGAGTCTCCAGGCCTTCCAAGTGTTGTTCCGAGTGTCGACATGCCGGGGAGCGATGTTTGGTACTTAGAACAAAGATATCATTCTTTTCAACTGTTTACGGAACTTGCTCGGATCAAAAAGAAATTGGTCAGAACGGATAAAAAGTCAATCGTACCTCCAAAAAAGGAACAGACGCGCCACTCGGAAATAGAAAATTTAATCGTACGGCCAAAAAGGCCAATGCACTACGCTAAAAGCTAGTGTAAAGATCTTTCGAGTGTTTTGAGTTTGAGAGAATGAAAGTTATGAGAGAGATTAGAAAGCTACGAAAACTAATCCATGAGAGAGATCGTTGTGAAGCTCATTGAAGTTGGTCTCCCGCGGGAGGCGTCGAAGTGTGATATCGTAGGTTATGGTAATAACTCTACGTACTTCACGGTCCATTTCCGGAACACGTGGAAACTTCAGCTAGTAGCTGTCTAGTAGCGTGGAAGCTTTCCACGCCGGCTAAATATCTAGAGTGATGTTCCATCGACAACCTAGTATGACGAGCAGTTATGAGAACCCTGTCTCAATGACTATTCGCGAAGGACTACGTCATGAGTGGAACTCAAACCCTATCTAGGATCGAGTCGCGAATAAGGCTAAGATCCGTGTATTGCATTCGCCCCTGACAAGGGTCACAGGAGGCACGACATCAGTCGGACAAGGAGAACATATGAATTAGAGTGCGGGGCACTCTCCGGAGATTGGATGTGGACATGTGCGTCGCACGATGGCAATCCTACAAGGGGATCAGTCCTTGTATGGGTGTAAATACCTTATGTTCCAAGTCTGGTAGACTGTGCCGCCATTGGCGGTAGCATGTCGGAGCCGTACAGTGCCATTGTCATTGACTCGGTCTATGTTGTAAGGACCTTTGTACTTTGGCTGACCGTACTTGCGGTGCTGATACTGTTGAATCATCACGGTATTGTTGACATTGTATTGATGAGGGACACGTGTCGCGTTCTCCTTATCATTGTTTTTCTGGATAAGTCGTTGGCGACGTTCCTGGATGTATTTCCAGTTTGCTTTGAAACGGACGTTGTGAATCGCGTCATGATTGAACACGAGCTGTGCAGGCGTTGCACGCAAGGTGGTATGAATCGTGGCATTCATTGCGAACCGAACCGCCGTGAGGACTCCATCCCAGGATCCATTCACGAGGTCGTCTTGACACTTGATATTCTGAACTGCTATCAAGTTACGAATGGTCTGATGAGCACGCTCGACCATCGAGTTGGCTTGAGGGTTACGTGTGGTAATGACGAAGTCCATATTCATCCCGGAGAGTCTTCTCGACATCTGCGCGGAACTCACGTCCTCTATCCATGATAACCTCAGCAGGCCATGGATACCGAGTAAGCCACGTCTGTTCTAGAACGATGGCTACTTCGTCTGCTGCTTTGGAGCAGATCTCAGCAATCTCGAACCATCCGGTTACGGGATCAATCATTGTCAGACAATGAAGTGTACAGGAATTCTTTTTCTTAGGATCCCCGACATTGTATGGACCTATCAGGTCAATACATAGTCTTTCCCAAGGGATCTCCTCGCAAGTCTTTGGAGGAAGCAATCCCAGCTTACGCGTCTTGGGTTTGTTCAGTTGGCAGCTTTGGCAACGCTGACATATGGACTGCACAGTCTTGCGCAGCCCTTTCCAGGTGTAGTGTTGGCTGATGGTAAGTTCTGTGCGAGTCTCGCCAGGATGCATCAGTACACCATGATACCATTCGACCAGCTTCTTCTGCATGGGCTTAGGCACAACAATCTTGTCGTCCTTGACTACTAGTTCATAGGACTTGTCCCCTCTGGGAAAAGATTGTTTCTTGTAATCGTTTGGTTTGTCCCTGAGGAGTTTCTTGATATCGTTATCGTCCTTCTGGCGATGTTCGATCTCGGGGAACGAGAGATGGAAGTCACTAGGGAAGTCCTCTTCATCTGCGGCCATGAGCTCAGCAATCTCGCTGGCTTCCATTTGTTCTGAAGAACCATCGTTGTTCGAGATGTTAAGTCTCGACAACGCATCAGCGACGATGTTGTGTTCGCCCTTGATGTACCGAAGTTCGGGGCCATATTCTTCCAGAATAAGGCGCCATCGCATAACGCGATCGGTATTGAAATTCTTGCAGGTGAGATTCTTGTGGTCCGTATGTACTACAATCTTCTGCCCGAGAAGAATGTTGCGGAACTCTTTGAGAGTCTCAACGATACTGAGAAGTTCCTTCTCAGTTACCGTATAGCGCGTTTGAGCGGGATTGAGTTTCCTGCTGTAGAAAGCGATAGGCTTTCCCTCCTGGGAAATCACTGCACCCAGTTGCGTATCACTTGCATCCGTGTGGATAACGAATGTATCGTTGAAGTCAGGGTAAGCGAGCAAGGTTTCTTTGCTGATGATTTTCTTCATCTTGCGAAAGGCCTCGTCGTGTTCAGCTTCCCATTTCCACTTCATTGTTTTGGAAGTCAACGAAGCGAGTGGGGCCAGTACATGTGATCGTCTAATCCACATGTCTCGATAGTAGTTCACTAGTCCAATGAATCTACGGAGTTCTTTTCTGTTGGTAGGAGGAGCGATATTCTGGATCGCGTCTATTTTCTTGGTTATAGGTTGGATCCCTTCTCGAGTAATCCAGTAACCTAGGTATTCAAGTTCTCTCTTGCGAAGAAGGACTTGGTAGCATTGATCTTAAGTCCGGCTTCTCGAGCCTTCGGAGAATTCATCCAACTTTTTCAACGTGATCTGCCAGATCGCCGTTGTTAGGATGAGTAGATCATCAATGTATGCACCGGACGTATTCTAGGTCGAGCATTAGTGTTCCCGACTATTACATAGGCACATGGCAACCTCTGGTATTCGTCTTTCCCCACGGGAGTACGATAGTACAGAGTTGTTTCGAGTGAGTGACAGCTCGATTTAGTATCCCATGTTAGGTCTAGACTAGTGGCGTACTTGAATTCGTCTAGGTTCAAGAGCATGTCCTGTATTTTTTGGGATAGTCCGCTTAATCCTTTTGTTTAGTTCCCGGAAATCAGAGATGAATCGTACAGATCCATCTCTTTTTGGAATGATAAAAGTTGGTGCCGCCCATTCGGAACGGTTCACCTTCTTGAGTACTCCTGCTTCGCAGAGACGTTCAACCTCCATCTTAAGAGTGTTGGTATGGACACGTGGAATAGGATAAGCCCTAGCTATAGGGTTTAGTCAGGGGGAGTTCTACTTCGTAGTCGTCCATCTGCCACTTTTCCTAGAGTGCCATCGAATAGGTCAGAGTACTTCGTTAATAAGGAATGAAGCTGTTCCTTGCTCTTCCTTATTCAACTGATTTTGACTTTGGCAAACCTGCTTAGTCAGCTTGTTCGTATTTCGCATCAAGAATCTTCTTGAGACGATCTGCACTGTCATCACAGCGTAGGATCAGGAATGAAGAATTCTCTTCTTCATTGGTGTCGCTATCTTTCATAGAATAGATATGCCGTCCACTCCACTGACATGGTAGTGAAATCGAACTTAATCCTAAGTCAGAGAGAATGTCTCGACCTATGATCATGTCATACGCCCCCAAGCTCTTGGTGACGTGTAAATCCACTTCGATAATTCTATCATCGTGGAATTCAGGAATCATAAATGCACCTTTCACTTCGTGCTGGTGTTTAATTCTCCTGCAGGGGTAGTCCACATGTTTGGACGCCCCAAGATCCTTCATGCGTAATTTCTTAGCATGAGTTTGAGCAATCAAAGTTCCAGATGCTCCTGTATCCAGTAAGCAAAGGAGTGTAACGGGTTTTGGTTTCCTTTTCTCGCTTGTTAAATCTAACATAGACGATAGTTTGAGGTTCTTGTCTTGCGACGTTTACGAGGTGGTTGGCCACGGACGGGTTAACGATGCTAAATAGATCATCAGAGTCTAGTTGAGCAGCTTCTAGGCAATCATCTAATTTGCCGTAGTGTTCATCGGTTGCAAACAATTCTTGTTTACTAGTTAGTGAGATATACTTCATCACTTGGTATGAGAAATCGGAACATGGTTCCGTTGAGTCATCATTCCTGGCCTAATCCTCAGATGGAGATCTCTCCATCCAAGTGATTGAAATCGATAGAGGAGTTGTCCTCGTTATCAGAGTCTTCTGATTTACGCTTGGCAACATGGTTGCGAAGTTTGCAGGTGGTTACACGAGTATCGTCGATCTCGGTGTCTTCGTCATTGTCGACGAGAGGAAGAATGGGTTTGTCACGCAACTGTTTCTCGAAGTTGCTGAACGCATGCTTTCTTGAGCAATCTTCATGGTGAAGGAATAGGTTGAGGGTAGCTGAAAGCTATTGTGTTTGTTAACAAAATGCACTACGCTAAAAGCTAGTGTAAAGATCTTTCGAGTGTTTTGAGTTTGAGAGAAGAAAGTTATGAGAGAGATTAGAAAGCTATGAAAACTAATCAACGAGAGAGTCACCATCAAAGGATCGTAGATCTGGTCTCCCGCGGGAGACTATAAAGTGTGATAGTAGGTTGCGGTGTAATCCTACGTATCTCCACTCCTAAAACGGAAGCGTAGAGATTCGTTTCTGCTGGATTGTAGCGTGGAAGTACTCCACGCTGGCTAAATATCTAGAGCGATGTTTCATCGTCAACCTAGTATGACTAGAGCGGTCATTGAGAACCCTGTCTCAAATGACTATTCACGAGAGACTCAGTCATGAGTCAAACTCAAACCCTATCTAGGATCGAGTCGCGAATAAGGCTAAAAGCCGTGTATTGCACAAACCATCAAAGGGTGGGTTGGCGGACTGAAGAACCCTCAAGCGCTCCTCGTCGTCAGTCCGATCCACAACCGACCCAAATGTACCGCGGTCGACGTAGCTCTCGAAAAAGTCATCTAGAGCTCCTTTATTCATTGCACTCATCCTGCTAAAGATGATAATTTTTCGGTTGTTTTCCGAATGCATCAGTGCGTTGTACACATTCATCTTATCGATTTTGGTGGCTGCCACGGAGGAAAGATAAGAAAATACACGAGTCACTGACAAAAATTCTTCCGCTCGGTTCACTTACCACGTGGGGAAAACAATGTCTTCTTCTCCTTCTTCTGTCTGTGTGTTGGTTTACCATCCTTGAGGCCCTCCGCAAAACGAACTTTGATCAGCCTCTCAGCAGAACGAACGATTGTTGACTGTATTGCGGGGATGTTTTGCTGTTGCAACATGTTGACTGTCGAAGAAGGTGAATGTGGATGCAGCCATTCTGGGATGGTGAATTTGTGTGTGGTCAGAATCAAGGCAACAAGTGTGCCACTGGCAGCTGCAGCAATCACTTCTGTCAAGTGTCGAACAGGCAGAGTCGAGTCACGCAGTGGTTGTCGCTGAAACACACCACGATTAACGTGGCAGGCTCGGACAGACACACCCGGCGTGAATGCAGAGTGTCGGAAGTGATTTTGGTACTTGGGAGTTACTTTTAGGAAGCCCAGAAAGGGTTCACCTCGGCAGGTAAACTGCCTGAGTTCTCAACCCCTTTAATTCCGTCTCCTGAGACGGTGCTCCTTTAGGTTACCCCCTCAGTTGCACTCTGAAATCGATTGGCTCGCGTTTACCGTGTAAATTAGTGTACCCGCACTTCAGTTGCAGAATCAACGGTCATGTGTATTGCGAAAGATTTAGATCGATTCGTGGAAAAAAGGAACCGTTGAAGTTACTAAGGTTAAGGCTAAACTGAATTACAGAGGATACATCCAATCGTCCATCAAGTCTTTTTTGAAGGCACAGCGCTGACTTCTCTCCCTCATTGAATTGATATGGCAAACAGGAGAGAAATCCGAGCTTGGCCGACAAGAGCGGTGTTGAATCGATCGATTGATCGAATGAACGACTGGTGGTACGGTGGTAATCAAGAGTGTTGTTGAAGGTGCAGCACTGACTTCTCTCCCTCATTGGGTTTCTATGGTATTCAGGAGAGAATTCCAAGCTCCGCCGTCAACAGGTGAGTTGTTTTAATTATTCGAGTCGATCGTTTGCACCTCTATTATCTCTATTATCAAGCCTCACTCAAGCCGACCTTCTCCGGTGTAGATTCGAAAGCCATCCCTCATTGAATCCTATGGACCATGGGATGGCAGTCAGTTCTCGGCCCATGACGGCCAAGTTGGTGCAATTTGAAAAACAAGAGTAAGTCTCCGGTCGTCTGCAGTTGAGCACAGAAAACAAAAGTCATATCTATTTGTTGTTTTCTCTGCTGTACTGCTGAGGGCCGATGAACTACCATTGTCGAGGTCGAACGAAAGATCGCTCCGGATAACAAGAGGAGAGGCTACCGCCGCCGCTACGGAGGACGAGGCTCTGTTAACTCCAGCCCTACCAACAGCATGAACGACGTCTTCGAGTCATTGAATTGCAACAGTCAACCGGAGGAGGCTACACGACAACGCACAAAAGCACAGAGGAGAGTGGATCCTACTACTGGATTCATCCCTCCAGTGTTATTTCCTTGTGATTTGGTGGTGATTCCTGTGTCGGCACCCATTTTTCTGTATGCACAAGTCCTCGGGCGAACGACTTGCTTCTTTCGTAAGATAATAGATCATCGATTACCGACCAATAGACCACTCCTTTCATTAGATAGTAGACACCTTATAGATCAATAGGATTGACAATATTCGGTTGTGTATATCTTCGTCACAAGGATCCAATGCGAGGTACCCGTACCAGAGTGTAGCGAGCAAAGCCGAACCTGAGTGTGTTCAGTACTGTCGCCACTGTCGCCGATGTAACCATACGGTGTGTAGCCGGCTACAATGGCTGGGTTGACAATCTTCGGTTGTGCATGTATTCATCATAAGGATCCAAAACGAGGTACCTGTACCGGAGTGTAGCGAGAAAAACCGAACCTGAGGAGTGTGTTCGGTACTGTTGCCACTGTCGCCGCTGTAACTCTACGGCAGCCGGCTACAATGGCTGGGTTGACAATCTTCGATTGTGCATGTGTTCGTCATAAGGATCCAATACGAGGTACTTGTACCGGAGTGTAGCGAGCAAAACCGAACCTGAGTGTGTTCGGTACTGTTGCCACTGTCACTGATCGATGAACTCTACTGTAGCTGGCTACGATGGCTGGATTGACAATGTTCGGTTGTGCATGTATTCGTCATAAGGATCCAATGCGTACCGGTAACGGAGTGTAGCCAGTAAAGCGGAACCTGAGTGTGTTCCAAGTAGCGAGCAAACTGAGGAAACAGGAGACGAACGCCGAAAAAAAGCCGAATGCTATTTCCTATTTCCTATTCCGGTGAAGCCAAAGTATAAGGATAGAGATAGTCATAAGCCAACAAAACTGAACAGTGATGGTTCAATACAAGTTAGGGGTAGGAATAAATCATTAATATTTAAGGTTAGTGCAATCATCACAACAGCACAATAAGCCAGCAGGAGCTGTAAAGGTTAGAGAGACAATAAGGGAATGGCAGCTGGTAAATTATAGAGTAGCGGGCGGCAACACACGACGTAGTCGGGTGTTGTCGCCAGGGCTAGCTTAATAAAAAGAAGGTTGCAATGAGGGAATGAATGATACCGGGCGGCAACACACGACGTAGTCGGGTGTGGTCGCCAGGGCTAGCTTGAAAGATGGGTGCAATCCGAACATAATCCTCCTTCTTCTATCTGTCTTTCTGCCGAGGTATCGCAGCTCCCGCTGACTTAAATGGGTGTTTCCCACGGGTGTTATCTTAAAAGTGTGAAACATGCAACGTTTACTAGCATTATGGCGACAAGAAAAGTGAGAGAACCTCATTGAGAGGATACCTTTGAGCAATTCGTTCTCTTCCAATACCCCAATGCCGGTATAGGTTGTGATATACCATCTTATATAGTAGACAATGATCTATCTGTATGACCTGAAAGAAACATAAAATGTGTTGATGTGTGTCCACCCACTGTAACTGCCGTCGGCTCATCGAAAACTGCCCATTCCAATGAGTATCCCCGTTGCGGGATGGACTTTGCTCGATAGACAGCCAATATTTTATGTTTCTTTCTTCAGCACGTGATGCACGGTACTCAACAATGTATAGTGACTTGCTATCATGTCATTGGAGAGTGGCATGCCGATCCTGTTATCCATGGCTGGAAGGTCAAGGTAGTTTGTTGTTGTGTTGGAATAGTGAGCGGCCGAAACTGTTATCTCCCATCGGCAGAAAGAGATCGAAATCAGCGTGGGTGTGCACGCTCGACAAGGAATCACACTGAACCGAAAAAAGAAAGAACCGAAAAGATCAGCCTCATTGTGACACTGTTTTCCGCCATTTCGCCGTTGTGTACTTACAAGCTTTCACCATGAACCGCGCTACCAGAGTTGAGTACTATGATGAGGGCTGCCTTGATTTTGGCACTGATGCTTGCTTGATGAGTATTGTTGCTCTTCCCAGAGTCCAGCCCATGGGTGGTGGCATTCGCGATGGAGTGACAGTGAAGCCTGAAGCAAAGTATTGGGTGAAAGGAGAAGGGTTAGAGTCACCGGCCATCGAAGAGACTGACTCCGCCCCTGCTTTCACTGTGGTTGAGGCAAAGAAAGTGTCTCGTGAGTACAAGACCCACGACATGTCGAGCACTGTGATGTCTTACAATCTTGTGTTGATGGATGGAAGTGGTACCATGTTCAAGGCCACGGTTAACAGTGGGCTGTCCCACTATTTCACCCCATACACCCTCTATGTGGGATTGACTGTCTTTGTGGATGACTATGCCATCATCACACAGACATCCAACCGCAGCTACACGTACAAGATGTACATGCTCATCAAGGAGTTCCAAGAAAGTCATTGATCTTCTTCCCATCAGCATGCGTGACGTTGTTCCAGAAACTGGGCACATCTACCGCCCACCGGTTGTCGAGAAGATGATTGACCCCAAGGCCATTCGGGCAGTGTCCAGGTTGGGTGCTGTGGTTCCACTTGAAGAGAAGATTTTGCAGGAAGATGGGCTATTACTGTTACGGCATCTACCTCTCTCTAGCTCTAGCTACCGGTAGCCAACTATTATTATCCAGCCGCTACTCTAGTACCCGGTAGCTAGCTACAGTAGCTAGAGATGTCGGAGATGGGGCTTTACATAATATTGGGGTTCCCGGGGAAGACAACGGATTTATACGGCACATCTCTTCAGTTTCCCAAGAACTCGGACCACCAGAATCGCACAAAATTTGCCAGTGGTTGCCGCCCCTGGGGAGGTTGATACTCAACCATCCGTGGCGACCAACACTCGACTCGAATCGCTCATTAAAATCTTTGATCCGCCTTGTTTAGTACCGGTACTACAACATGACTGCCTCATTTTACTCCACTTGTTTCTCACTTTGTTCTCTCCGTGCGGCTCTTCGCGCAATCTTTCTCGCCCGTTTCAACTCGGCAGGTGTCATTTCTGATTCTGGTTTGCTCGGTGTCAGCGGACCTGAGGAGGACTGTGTTTCACTCTTGGTGGCAGTGCCGTCTCGTTTCTGTTTCTTGGGGGGAGACGGTTCATCTTCATACTGATTGGAATCATCAAGATCGAATGATCCTCTGGTGGTGTGATTCGACAATGTATCGGCGTCTCTGGTTGCAGTCGATCGCTTGGTCGTTGACGACGACTTGGACAACTTGATCTTTTCCCTTCGTTTTCGCCTGGCATCCATGGACGCTCGTTCATCGTCTACGCGTGCTTGAGATTGCAGACTCACCGTGATGCGTTTGGCTCTGCGATCCAACTCGACGATCCGAACGGCCGGCACGGAATCCCCTTCTTGAAAGAGCTGTTCCGGTGATTCCACATAGTCGTCGCTCAACCGTGATACGTGACAAAAGGCGTCGGAATGACATCCAATGTCGAAAAAGACTCCAAAGGGTTTCATGTACACGACTTTGGCGGGATAGGATTTTCCAATTGCATAGTCCGTGACGGGTTTGCGGCCCACGCAGTAGCGTTTGGAAGTAGCATCTTTCTTGGCTTCGTCGGACGACTTGGTGTCTGCTTGTTGTTGTTCATTTTCCTCTTCTTTCTGTTCTTGCAACTGTTGTGAAGTGCTCTTTCGTCCTCTTCGACGTCTACCACGAGTTCTCTGCTGCGCGGATTGTTCGGGTGTTTCGTCCTCATTTTCTTGGTCGCTGCCATCATCATCGGATGAGGATGACGACGAATCATCACCACCAGCACTATTGGATTCCTGTTTCTTGGACGTATTGGATTCTTGTTTCTTGGCTGAGGAAGCAGGCATATCCTTTGTTTGTGGCAGTTTTTTCTGTTCTGCAGCCTTGTTGGACTCTTGTTTCTTGGATGTATTGGACGCTTGTTTCTTGCCTGAAGATGCAGGTGCATCATTTGCTTGTGGCTGTTTCTTCTGTTTCTCAGGCTTGTTTGCAATCGGCCTATCAGGTTTCTTCTCTGGTGGTTTGGATTTTGCCTTATCGGTGGCAGTGCTCGGTGATCTTGGAAAGTCCTCCTCCACATGATGCTTCGCTGGCTCTGTGTTCTCATCAACTGTAGGAGTCGCAGTAGAGTCACTATTAGTTGTAGTAGTATTCGTGTTACCATTGCTCTGGGTCTTTTTCTTGGGTTGTCGCGACGATTTTTGGCGTTCAAAGTCCTGTAGTTCTTGTGCCAGCTGTTGCTTGAGATTGTCATCTTCTGCTGCATTTTCTAGCTTGCGTTTCAAGTGTTTGGGCTTTTGGATTTTCTTTTGTTTCTTCTTCTTTTTGATCGTTTCTTCTTGGGCTGATGAGTGGTTGTGGTTCCGCTTCTTGCTGCCATGATGATCATGAGTCCTTTTGCCATTGCTGTTTCGATTTCCAAACGTTCCGTCTTGTTGGCCACGCCGATTTGTTGTTGTTGTGGCTGTTTTCTCGAAAGATTTCCGAAATTTTTCTCGTGGCTTGCTTCTTCTCTCGGGATTTTCACTCACAAGCTCTCCACCACTCTGGCCTTCAACTTGCTCTTGTTGCCGCTGCTGCTTGCGCCGGTTCTTGGCTCCTGATCCGCCCATCTTGACTAAGTTACAGGTACGGTCCTTTGCTTTCACTAGCTAGCTATTCAGTAGGATAGCCACTTCGATAGTTTGTTGTTGTGGTCGTAGTTGTTGTTGGCAGCAGCAGCAAACTTACTTGTGGGGGTTGTGTTTTGAATGGTTGGCTCAGGAGGGAGAGTTCAGTCATGGATAGTTTTGGGGGAACCACGATGGTTATGCCTGGCGTGGAGATTGATTCGATTCTCCGAATGAAGGGCCTCGCTAGTTCTGGCCAGCTAGCTACCGTACAGTAGCTTCAGTGGAGGGAGATCTCCCTTCCTACTACCGTCGCCTTTGTGCATTGCAACGATTAGTGCTAACTAAAAAGAAGTAAAGTAATAAGAGAGCCCTTCGATGTACTGGTATTGTTCTAAATATAGCAGACGTGCCACCGGGATACGGTTGCATCTTGCTCCCACCAACAACCAACAATCACAATCATCAACCAGCCACGGGGCTTGTATTGTGTTGAGTTCATGCACCCATTTGAATAATAGCTGAATGTAGTCATTTCCTGTCAAGAGAAAAAGGTTATTCATCATATTCATTGATCCAATTCACAATATCCCAATGCTCACACCATTCGGCAGCCCGATAACAGTCTCTTTCTCTCCATGGGTATCCATTCTCAACAGCCCATTTCAGTGCTTCCAGGTGGCCATACCGTGCAGCAGCTTGTGCATATTTCTCTATGCCAATCCCATCCATTCTCACGTAACCATTTCAGAATGTCAAGATGCCCACCTGCAGCAGCAGCTACCTGTACTTCATAATCTCGCATCGTAAAGCTACTAAAGCTTTCACTCTCAAGAGCCCACTTCAGTATTTCCAGGTGGCCATTTCTTGCAGCAGCCTTGCATATGTATACCGCAGCCATCAATATTTCTAAACGTGATCGGCTTCCATTCTCACATAGCCATTTCAAGAATTTTAAGATGCCCCCCTTCTGCAGCAGCAGGTGAACATGTACATAGATTCCACGGGCATCTATTTTCAATAGCCCATTTCAAGATTCCAAAATGACCATTTCTTGCAGCAGCTCTACATGTGGTTCCACTCCATGGACAGCCACATTCACGAGCCCATTTCAGAATTTCCAGAAACCCGTTTCCCGCAGCAGCTTCACATACATGTGCGCTCATCCCATGGGCATCCTTGCATACGAGTCCATTTCAGAACATCAAGATGTCCACCCCTTGCCGCAGCTGAGCTTGTGTGTTCATCCCATTTACATTTTTTGCCGCAAGCCCACTTCAAAATATCTAGATGCCCACCCTCCGCTGCTGCTGCACATGTCTGATTATTCAGTGGATATGAGTTCTCAAAGGCCCATTGAAGGACTGGAAGACTTGATGATTTGAACGATTGGATCTGGTGATATCAGCAAACTTGTTACTAGTATCGAAATGGCGTTGCATTATGGTTCTGCCGATGGAGTGACTTGATTGAGTAGTTGAGTCGAGTCGCCTAGTTTCCGCGGTGCAGGTCTATCGGTGAATCTCCACGCCGCAAGTCACGCTGAACGTTTCTACGCTGCTCCGTTCAGGGCCCTGTACATGTACCAGGTACCAGCTAGATAGCTACCAGTAGCTAGGCATACAGTGCATGTGGAGTCGTCAATGCAACACAAAGGCATGCCAATCCACAACAATTGCAACGTCGCAACCGAACCACAGTACTCTAGTAGAGGACATACAAAGAGACTTTCAATTATTTTAAAATTATAATGAATCGATTCGATTCAATTTTCTGGTTGGTTGTGACGTTGTGACTCTGTTTTTTGGTGAAATGACTATTTCTGCGTTCATTTTATTGAAAATGGCTAATATCGCTGAGCATGCATGTCATTGTTGCACGGCAGCTCGCTTTCTTCTCTCCAACGAAGCCAGAGAGGTTTGCTGTACGGTAGCAAGCATGAAGCAATGGTGCCTAAGAGCTAATGCATTGCCAGTCCATTCAAGGAGGAAGGGCCCCGAATCCAAGCGAGCATGTGCAGGTCAAACTGTCTCGTTCTAAGTGCCACTATCTGGTACCGGTATTATCGTATCTACTAGCCAAATGTTCCAAAAAATTCACTCGTTTCATTAGAAACTTTATGGACACTTTCGATTGACAATGGCGGTGCCATACTCTTCGTACTCGGCCCGGGTGATCCACATTTCGTGAAAGGTTCCGAGACTCCCCAGAATACTGCCCCCGAGCCAACTGCAAATTTTCCGTTCGGGTATACCGGGTGACAACACTTTGACCTTCCACCCCGGTGTATGGGCATGAATGATGGATTCGACCTTCTCCCGCAAAAAATCGGGCATGGCCTGTTCCGTGGGACCCAAACAGGCTCCTCCACCCGCCAGCACGACATTGCCCAACAACTGGGGTTGCTGATCTCGATCGCATCGATAGGCCGAATCACAGACCATGGCAGGCAAAGGTGATGCTGTCAAGTGTTCCTCCAAGTGCGCTTGCAAATAGGGGACGCATGCCTGTTGCAAGAGTCGATTGGAAAATGATGTTTTCGATTGGGTGGTTTCTTCTTTTTTGGGAGATGATTGTCGTTTCCGACCACGACGGGTGGAAGAAATCCCAACGGCAGCCGCTTGGGTAAAGACCTTTGTCTCCTTGTCGTTATTGGTATCATGGATGTAGGAGGATAATTTCTTCTTGTGTGCTTGCAGAATTTCTTGTCTCCGCTCCTGTTCTTCCTTGGCGAGAAGTAGATTGGCCACTGCAAATCGATGATTGGGTGGAATGTTGACCATTTGTCCATCGGGCAACGTAAAGGGTGCATTGGGTGCGGCAAATGCAACGGCTGTGCTTGTGGTATCAACAGCCGCCCCGACTCCTTCTTCACGACATGCTTGCGCCACATGCAATCGTGCAAGATGATGAAAAGGATCAGCTCTTTTTGGTGTGGATTTGTGCTTGACTTGATAGAGTGGAAGGAAGGGTTGTTGCTTTTTGTGGCCAAAATGATCAATAGTTTGAAGGATGCGTTCATCCATCTCCAATGTTCCAATTGGGCTCCGATGAATGCCTTTGGTTTCAACATATCCCTCATAGACAGGTGTCACAGTGGTGCCACCGTATCCCATATCGACAACAGTCCCCGTGGTGCGTCCGCAGGCATAACATGCCAAGGTGGCATCCTTGGCTAAGAACACGGCGGGCATTTGCAATGATCCTTCAAAGAGACACTCGAGTGTTTGTTGTCGTATCGGAGGTGGATTGTAGGATTTTTCCACGAGCATAAAGGGGTGATTCTCCGGTTGAGCATTGGCGAGGGATGTCTTGTATCCGTGTCGTACCATCAATTCCAATTGATCGTACCAGTCGGCTCCTCCACTACTACTTTCGTTGTAGCTGTGGGGATCGTACGACAATCCAGTAGTGGCGTCGACTGGATTTTGAGTTTCCCAATTGCCATCATGCCACTCCTTGGGATCGGACGAACGGCTGCAAATAGGGCGATTATAATAATCATACTTCAAATCCACAATCGGTCGGCGCTTCTGCTTCTGGTCGTCGCTAGTACTGGTGATGCTTGTTGTGGTCTTGGTGGCATTTGCATCGTCGCCTTCTCGAATGGCAGCCACATTCTGCAGACAAATGACAATGACAAACAAACAGTCAGTACGGTAAGGGACAAGCAATTGAGTAAGAAACACGACAATACAGAGGAGAACCAAGAGAGAACGGCGACACTACTGTTGTCATGGACTTACCGACCGGAAATATGATCGAGGATAATCCTCTCCTGCAAAACCAATTTTTGTAGCGTATTGACCTACATCGCAGACGATTGCATTCAAAGGATCACCACTTGAAAATATTGACATGTTGCTTTCTTGTTGGGATGATGCGTAATACTTGGATCCAGCGTTCACTGTCTCCACGCTGGCTACGGTAGCCTTCGGCACCTCGTAGCAAACTTGAGTATATCAATCGACTCAGCCCAGCAGACACACGGAACAGAACTGCAGCAACTGCGTGGCTTTCCTGTACAGTACTATTCAATAAAGACGATGGTGGTTGTGTACCCTCGACAAGCAATTGCTTCGTGATGGTGGCAGTGGTCGTTGGTGGTTGGTGGATGGAAAGAACAATAAAATAAAGATATTGAGTCGTCAGTAAAAAGATAGTGTTGCTGTCATAGCTAGGCGGATTTGACGAAATTACTGCCCACAACGCACCCCTACTTCATCTTCTATCATGCGCAGGCCGCTAGCTAGCTAGCTAGAGAAGCTATGAATCACACTATTAATAATAGCACTATTTGCAAGCTACTTGACTGTATTTTAAAAGTTCGCGCACAGTTATGATTAAGGAATGATGGTGGGGAGGATGGATTCCCATAGCTGGTATCAACTGAGATGTCCTTCGTACGAGGGAGGGGGGGGCGCAGAAGCGAGAGAGGTTCTCCAACCTCTAGAGAAATAAATAAAGGCAGCAACATCCATGGAACCTTGTTGCCCTCAGCCTTGGTTGCTAGCTAGCGCTGCAGTGGCTCGACACAGAACAGCTAGCTACAGGCCAAGCAACTGCTGGGAACCAAGCTCCTACTATTGGTTTTCTGGGCGCCCTTCATCTTCCTTCTGAAACGCGTAGTATTGAAAACGATAGTGGATTGGTAGGTCTTCTTCTTTTGTGATTCTAATTATCTCTGTCACAACTCTACGACAGCACTGTAGCACTCTTTCTTTCATTGTCGTCTCTTTTGAGTTTTGTTATGATGCTGCGAATATCCCTTGGGCTCTCGAATATTGCTCCCTTTTTTGGATTTCTGCAATCGATAAATCATGAATCGATCCAGTTCTCGAACCTCGACGTGCTCCCACGTGGATTGTTGTTGTCGTCCATATCCATACGGCATTTGAGTGTTGTTGTGCAACGGCAATATGCGCGGGAGAAGGAATTCCGGTCGACTAAAGCTAAAGATACAAAAGACCCCACCCGGTTGCAAGACACGTCGCACACTCGACACAATATCGGTCATTTGATCGTATTCGTCGGCGCAAAACAGCGCATCCAGCAATCCCTTGTCAATGGTGGCGGCCACCGTGTCCTGGCGGATCGACGACGTCAGATTGGTGGCATCTTCTTGTAGATATTGGAGTCGATCCGAATTGTGCGGGCTGCGACGCGCAATCATTTCCAATGCCTTGGCGGCAATGTCCACTTGAATGATGGGTCCTTGCCATCCCTGTTCCACCATGTCTTCTCCCATGCGGGAATTGCCACATCCCAACATGATAATGGGTTCTTTCGTACTACTACTACTACCACCACTGCTTTCTTCTTGTTGGCTGTCAGTAGTAGTACTAGTGGTAGTATCATCCTCCATGAGTGAAAAGAACTCGTTGGGTTCCACGCCAATGGTTTGACCAAATGTCGTGGTAGCATCGGTATCTCCCACTGTACTGCTGGACGCATATTCCGTGGCAGAAGTTGTTTGTTGGATAGTGACGGGTCGATACCGGTATTCCAAGACATCCTGTAACTTGATATCACCCCATTCAAAGGTATCGTCAAATTCGGGCAAACTGGTATCGGGCGATATCGGCGTGGCAAGATCCATCTTGTGGTAGACATTTTCCCAAAACATGGGTTCGCCGTAGGGCGGCACGGGCATTTTGAGATAGGACGAGACCGATCGTTTGATCCGATCAATCACATACCGACCACGGAGGGACATGGTGGAAGTACAGTGACAATTTTAATAAAACAACTGGCTACCAGGTAGGTAGAAGATGGCCTACTAGACAAGGTGGGAGGTCGGTTGGTTTGATCTCGGTTTTGTGGAAAACAAACGAGGGGTGGTGATGCGTACCGGTAGCACGGTGGATCTTTCTGTCTGGCTGCTACTAGCTAGCTAGCTAGCTAGAGCTACTAGTAGCTAGATCTACATGTACCTGGACGTTCGTTTTAGAAGATAGATCTTAATAATAACGTCAGACTAATGACTCGACACACGGGTTTGAAGTCTTGTACGACGTACCACTACTAGCTAGTAGCTAGTACTGGCTAGCTAGCTAGTAGTACAGCAGATTTCAAAAGCGATTGCGCAGCAAAAAGATCTAAACGTCAGACTAAGGACTGAGTGTCAGTCACTCAAAACATAATTTTGTATGAGAACTTCACGACTGATTAAGGTTGAGGACAAGAACGTCAGAAAGAGGTGCTCCGTTACTCCGAGAAAATTCGCCAGAGCGTCGATCTAAATAGCAATGATACCCATAAAATGTGACAGAGTCATTTGCATCACTTAGTGACATCACGCCTAAGTAACCTTAGCATTGCCGTGAACTGTCGTTGAGAGAGAGAATTGTTAATGCGTGAAGGCCCGTGCCACGCACGATGAAGGTCAGCATTGCCACACTCCCACCACTAACTGGATCCAATTTCAAAATAACTATCCCACGCACCCACCATTTTCCATTGGGGCGAAAGAAGCGGTCCTGGCAATTGATGAAAGAAGGAAGGTATGTTTGTAAAACCAATACTGGACCACTGACTGATGATCACTCGGTCCATCTTGCCTTGTAGAGGTTTGTTGATTGCAAGTAGTATTCTGTTCTTGTTGGTTTGCCCATCAGACCGTTGTCTTTTCCGCCAAATTTTTCATTTGCCAAATTGGCACTTATTATGCCGTCGTAGACGTTAGTACAACACCCACGTGAACGGTCTCCACTCACAATATTGCTTCGACTTTCCTCCAACAGAATCCAACGCTCGACATTGATATTTTGCCACTAGCTGGATAACAAACAACAACAACAACGAGCAGCAACCAAACCAACAGCAGACCAATCAAGGGTACTATACTGCAATCAAGACAAGCAAGCAAGAGTGTGAATCGACTGCATTTGCCATTGGACTGAAAAACTGGAACCCCATCAGTCTCTCTCAAGAAAGCAGGACACCCTCGCCTCACAAAAGATATCCGACAAACAAACAACGGCAACAACCACAAAAGCGTTAGCGAGCGATCCCACCAACTAGCTAGTAGAGGCAGACCCAGATTAGACATTCTACTCAGGCAGTCTTTCATTTCACTTCACTTCACTTTCACTGATTAATGTGTGGCAACGATACCACCATGAATGCCACTACCTTCACCACAACTGCAACAACCATGGCCAAGAAGAACCAAAAGATGGCCGAAAAACTTACCCTCAAAAAACCAGTCTCCAGCAATGGTAGTGTAGCGTCTTCTTCCAATGGCAGTTTTGCCAGTAGCAAGAAAGACAACAACAACAACAACAAAAACAGCAGCAAAAAGAATGGCCTGCCAGCAGATACTAATAATGAAGGACAAAGTCTCAACAGTGACTCCAGCAGCAATAGCAGCAATGAAGTGGTGGTGGTCAAGAGTCAGAGTCCTCCATGGAAGGCAACATTTGATTATCTCGCGGATCAAGCCTTTAATGCGGCTGGATTTGCCTATCTGTCGGCCATTGGGGGCATGGCGTGGTACTTTATGCGACAAAGCAACATTGACTTTCTCGACGAATTCACGTCCGCTCTGACCCTCATGATTACACACAAAAACGGTGCCAACTTTTTTGGCATGCTCACCTTCATGATCCTCTTGCGATCCGCCATCAACAAACTGGTCTACCCGATTGTGCTCAATCATATTTACGATGGCAAAAACCACAAGTACACGGCACACTACTGCGAATGGCTCTTTGATGCCATCAAGAACACGGTCATGTTCACCATTGGCTTTTACGTGGCCTGGGGATCCGATTGGTGGCCCATGTACCAACATGGACGTCTGGGATGGTACCCCAAACAAGGCGGAACCATCTTTGATTCCGACGGTGAAATTGTACCCACGTGTGCCCTGGCATTGGAAACCATTGGACACTTTGAAGTCACGGTCGACTTTGTCGCCCTCTTGACACTTGTCTGGGATGCCGTCACGGAGTACTATGAAGCACAGACGGCGTTGCTGAGGCACGGTCAAGACGAAAAGCAAGCCACCACCACCACGTCGTTTGCCGAAGATTTCGTCCATCATACGGGCGTCTGCTTTGGTGCGCTATTCTTGTACATTACCGCCAAGGACAATTGCAATGCCATTGCCATTATTGTCTTGCTCGGGCAGTTCAATGACATGTGCGAGTTTGCCGCGCTATCTCTAGGACTCTGCAAGGTTTGGGTGCTGGAACGGGTCGTGACACCCATTCTATGTGTCTTTTGGACAATAAGTCTATTCTACATTTGGCCCGCAGCACTGATCCCCATCTTTTTGGAACCCATACCCATTGAGCACAGCTTTGATTCCATGCTGGTACTGCAGCTCACGCTGTACCAGTTTGGAAGTATTGCCATTGCATCGCTCTTTTGGGCCATGCACATGTTCTGGTTGTACAAGGGGCTCCTCTTCCTGTATCGGTATCAAAGAGGTGTCTACTTTGCCGAAAAGAAACTCAAGTTCAAGAAGGACAAGGGAGAACACGAAACACAACAAGACGTTCCACAGTACGGTCGAACGGCTTGCTTAGCCTCGGGAACCATGTTGAAACCAACAAAAGAAGAGTAGGAAGGAAAAAGACCCTGCACACACACGAAACTGGTTAATTGTGTAGAGGTCGACGGCCTGGCTGGCAGAGGTTGCTATGAATGCATAGCTATAAATAAAAAGGATTCATGCATAGTTTACATACTACTTTACTGGCTGTACATCTTTCTAATCTGTTGGATTTGTCCCCTGAAGAGTTCAAGCATTCGTAGAGACCATGAACCTCAGGGATACCCAAAACGGAGGTGCGGCTTGGGTTCCTCGCTGTCGAAATTCCCGTGCGTGACCTCGACCTGGAGAGGTGCAGTTGGATGCATTGATAAATCGTGCATTACGGTACCGGTACGGTAGCAACCAGGTAATCCCGCACCTCCGCCTGATGCTGCTAAATGCACTTGGTTACCTTATTATCGTCAACCATACCGGTATGTGGGTCATCCCAACCATCACGGCTCCACGCACTTCGTTTTGTAGGGTGCTAGAGCCAGTACATTCCTCCCTTGACCGCACCTATCAAGGAAAACTAGCAGGGTCCCAAAAAAGAAAGCCGAACCGTTGGAGATTTATGCGGTCGTGGGAGTTACTAGTCTACTTGGTCACAAGCGTGCTGTAAGGAAGGCCAGCGAACGATACCAATGACGAAACCAGCTACGGTAGTTGATGCGGTTACACTTCTACAAGAGTCAAAATAGATTAAAAGGTTCTCCAGGCGTTGGTTTATGGATTATGTATCTAGCAAAAAACTACTGGAGACGGTGCTAAACAATAGGTGCAATCTTCTTGATTGACCGTGGTTTTGCCTTTGGTGACCTCCGCTTGGGCCCTTTTCCTTTCTTGGGTGTCTTTTTCCGCTCCATATCAAATTCCTCCGGGTCTATTACTGTTGGATCGATATCTTCTAATCCAACAGGGTCACTGTGATACAGTATAGAGAAAGAGAGGGTTGTTTGTGAGCGCCTGATAGAAAGAGAGATCCTATTTTTACAGGGTACGGGAGAGTCGAGAGATCACCACCGACCACCCTGAAATTGTTAACTTACTAGGAGCTCTTCTTTGGTGACACCTTGCCACCATCTTTGTTACGCGAAGCTGCCCCTCTGCCGGAGAAGTGGTATACGGCCCACAGTATTGTAAACCCAAAACCCAGAGCAGCCTGCATTTTGAAACAGCCATGGCTGATAAATGGAATTCGTCCTGTAGAAAACCACACAGTAGGGATGATAATGCTTCGGAGAGAGTCGCGAGAGCATCATCGACAGCGGCGACGCGCCCCAGCATTTCCTTGGCGGTAAACTTTTGCAAGAGAAACTGTGAATCCAACCACAGAATCCCCATACCAGCCGACCGAACGGCACTGAATACACAGACCGCCCAAAAGGGTGAAAAGAGACCCACCCCGAGGCACCCCAGTGTGACCGCCACAAACCCAAAGACACAGGCTAATTGCAATGCTTTTGGTTGTTCGATATTGGTGAGTGGATCCGACACGAGTGGTCCCAGAATGCAACCAATACCCGTAATGGAGAATAGAATTCCCAACTTTTGTTCCGTGTCCATCTCTGAGATGAACCAGATGGAATCGTCCGTGTCTCGTTCGGACAGCGAGACATTTAGTACGTTGGTGGCCCCCGTGACGAGTGCACAGGTGGCTTTGAAAAAGACGAGACCGCCAAAGAAGGAAGTGGAGAGATATTTACCGCCATCAACGGTCATTCCTTTGATTTGTAGCCATACCGATTCGTACTTGACATCGGGTGCCACTTTCCAGTTGCCACCGACACTCCACATGAGAACGGCACTTAACAGGTAGCAAACTCCATCCAAGCCTGGATCCAAATAGAAGGACAAAATAGATTTGATGAGATACTGTACAATGCAACTCCATGCTTGTTTGGGTATCCATCAATTCACCAATACTTACAGAAACAGGTACGGGCACCAAAGAGAGAAGTGGCAAAACCTCCAAGGGCGGAACCAAAGGCAGCCACAGCAGACCACGCCACTCCCGTTAGAGTGGTGGCCTTTTTAAGGTCGGCATCTCCCGTGACAAGAAGAGGTACCATGGATGCTCGACAGGGTTCGTAGAGGGCACAGACACATTCTTGCGAAACAGTGGCAAAATAAATCATGGCGACGCCATAGTAGGGATGGAGGCCGGAATGTTCGAGAAAGGTTGCCAAGATGAAAAAAATGGGTGTGAATGCCCCAACAAGATCAAGAATGATCATGGCTTTTCTTCTGTCATAGGAGTCTGCCAGGACTCCTCCAAAGGGACTCAATACCACAGTCGGCAGCAGACGAATGGCCACCAGGATACCCAAGGAAGTGCGAGAGTTTTCACTGTCGTCTCCCAGCATGCGCTCCATGAGACTGATGGAGGCAATGTAGGTGAACCATTCTCCCATGTGTCCAAAGACATAAGAGACCAAAAACAGGCGAAAGGGTTTGTTGGTGATGAGCAGCATAATGTAGGAAACCACATCTTCCATGAGCAGCCTCAGATACCCCGATAATGTGGTGGTAGCCAACATGTCCTTTTCTTCTTCATCGCCATTATCACGGCTGTCGTCGTCTTTCGAGTCCACACTGTCAAAGAAGGGAAGATCTTCATTGCCATTGCTGCTGTTATCAAATGACCCAGAATCGCTGCGTTCCAAGGAACCATCGTCGGCATGTTGCGCGGCATTTTTGTGGGCCGGTGCTTCTTCATCACTGCTACCACTGGACGTTGATGTGAACGAGTCACTCCGCAGATTCGTATTCGCCTTGCCCATCTCGGCTAACGTCGTCGTCAGAGGCAAACCTTCCGGTGTTTCCATGGTAATACCCATTGTCGTGCTACCGATTAATTATTGTATGTGGTTGCTTACTCTCTCAATAATCCCAAAAAGAAGAGCTTCCTTTTGTGTGGGTTCACACTCCGATTTGTCACAAACGCAGACGCTGGTGTGGTTGTCTACGAGAGCATGACGCGTGCTGGCATTTCAATTTTCTCTAAGCGACTCATGGCGTTGGGATTTTGAATATTCCCAGAGGCAATTTTCAGTACTCTCTACATTAACCTTAACCCTCTCAACAAGATGATGAGCATTCTTTTTCACAGAGTGATGACGTCGACCCTAAGAAAAGCAGTGCCGTCTCCGACCAGTCGAGCCGGACGACGCAACTTGTCACATCATTGGACACGAAACTACCCACCACGATTGGTATTGGTGCGTTCCCACTGGCCAGGATTGGTAGTGTAGAGGAGGCCATTGGTGCGTTCACATGAACAATGGCCAATAATGGGCAGTCCCACCGGACGGACAACCAAGATACCACCGTACCAGTCATTGTCGCTGAGAGCCAACAGCTGCTAGCTGTACGGTACCGTACCGGCAGCCGCTTTGTGTGACAACAACATTGTGTACTATTTGGCTAGCGTGACGCCAAACCTTTGCAAGTTTTATGCCTTTCACTGGAGCGATCGCCCAATGGAGCAGGAAAACCCTTTCAAGCACATACTAGCTAGCTACTCCAGCAGCAACCAAAGCACGTGTGTCTAATTCATGTAGTCTAGCTGGTGCGTTTGCTTCGCTCTCTGCGAACAGAGGGGCCGCATAAGCGAGATTTGGTTATCTTGCTTGTTGCTTCTAGCTACCGGTATCTAGCAACACTAGCTATTTGCTTGGATTATGCTAGGCTATTTGCTGGTGAGTAGGTCAAGCAACGGACAACAGTCCGGTACCGTACTATACCAGTCTCAATGCTTCTAAATAAACGACAGCTAAGACCCGTCGCTGGCAGCACATTCGGAAATGGATGGATCTTCCCCTGATGTTCCAGCCAGGTTAGTGGTCGGGTAGCTGGCCAGGTTGCACTGCACTTTGTGCGAAGGGCTTCTCTGTATCTGGAACATCGTTCGCACTGGACTTGCTTTCAACCGAGTTGATGGTCCGACCATCAACGGCTGCAGAGGCTGACTTCTGAAGAGAGGACGATGCCATCCATGCCATATGACTGTTGACAATAGTTGATGTGAGGCTGTTTTATATGTGGCTAGATTCCAAGAGTCAAAACGGAGCACCTGAACTGTGTCGGAAGCATGTTCATAGCTCTACCGGTACTGTACGGTAGGCGACTGCCATTGGGTTCACTGGTCTCTTGTCAAAAGGTTGGTTACTACATACTGTAGTGTATTCTAGCTAGCTAGAACGCTGTCGGCAACTGATTTCGTATGGATTCCACAAGATGCAAGTCACCTCCTTGCAAGATCAGTTTGGTATGGTGGTATGCCTCCAATGACGGCCTGTGGCCCACACTCACGTAGGTGATACCGTTCTTGCGTAATAGCCCATACATTCTGCGTTCTGCTTCCACATCCAATGCGGATGTGGACTCGTCTAGGATGACCATTTTGGGTCGATTGACGAGTAATCTTCCAAACGCTAGCCGCTGCTGTTCTCCCAGCGACAGGACGTTGCTCCAATCCATAGTGGCGTCGAGTCCTTGCACCGGATTCTCACTATTTCCAGCGCGCCGTGGCAAGTCCGCCAAGTCCACGGCACTCAATATCGTCAACAGGTTGCTGTCACTGGTGGTACTATCCGGGTTGTAGGCGTGTTGTTCGCTACTAGTAGTACTGCTGGCAGTAGTAGTGTCGGGATAGAGCAATTGATCTCGTAACGTCCCCTGTGCACAGTACGGTTTTTGTGGCAAAAAGTACACATCCGCATCGACGGGCCGCTGAATGCATCCCGACCCAGAATCCCAGAGACCTGCCATGGCCCGCAAGAGACTGCTCTTGCCCGCCCCGGAGGGACCCACAATGAGCAAGTGTTCTCCCCATTGAATGGACACGTTGAGCTGGCCTACCAGAGTCCGTGCATTGTCATCATGATGGTGACGAGTCGTTTTGATGGTGGGCGTGGTCAAGGTCAAGTTTTGAATGTTCATGGCACCGGGTTGAAGCTTGTTGTTTGGAAGTTGCTGCAACTGTATGCCTCGTGTGGTATTGTTGAATTGGACGGTTGGCAGCGACATGAGGGATGGTTGAGCCGGTTCTGCTTCGGGCTGTTTGGTACCCAACAGGAAGGGACTCGCTGTGGAGTTGTCATGGTCGTCGTCGGGATGTACAATGCGTTGTGACACTCGCAAAAAAGTGTAGAGACGGTCAATGCCCGCACCAAACTCGGTCAGTGATTCCCATTGTGTGACCAGAATGGACAAATCATCCAAGACATGCGAGAATGCGGCCGTCGCTTGTTGAATGACTCCCAATTCGACCTGTCCGGCAAAGTACAGCGGTGCCACTACCATAATGGGCAATATCCACGTGAGGTAATTGTAGAACGTAGTAAAACAATCCAAATTGCGCACGGCGACATTGAGCTCTTGCATGTTCCCAATGACACTGGCCAATCGCTGTTGGACTTTGGATTGTTCCACCGGTTCTCCTCGGAGAAAGGCAATGGACTCGGCATTTTCTCTGACTCGTACGAGTGAGTATCGCAGTGTGGCTTCTTTTTGTAATTTTTCAAAGTTGAGTTGTACCAATACCCGTCCCACCAGCATGGTCATGGCGGTTCCAAAGGACGCAAATCCCAAAATGGAGAGAAAGAGTGCCGGCATGATGGTGTAGAGAATGATGGAAAAACAGACCAGGTCCACTATCGCCATGAGGACCGTCAGGAACAGAGTCAGACTGAATTCAGTAAACGATCTCACGTCTTCGGCAATCCGTTGATCGGGATTGTCCACGGCTGCGGCTGTAGTACTAATACTCGATCGAGTGCTGGTCTTGTCATTGTCATCATGATGGGTCGTTGGTTGTTGCGGTTGTTGTCGTTCGAGTCCGTAATAGACGCGATGGGAAAAGTAGAGCTGTAAGACTCGCTGTGTCATCCAATCTCTCCAGTGAATGGCGAGCATTTGTCGTTGATAGCGGTAAAAGACATTGATGGGCGCCAGCACCACCATGGCCACCACAAACAGTTTCATAATGTAGTAAAAGTCGTCTTGCCGCATTTCCGACAAGGCAGACCAAAAGTCGCGTGCCAAGTACGAAAAGAAGACACGAACGCCGCTGTTGAGCAGCGTCAAGACCACCATGACGCAAAACAGCAAACGGGCTCGAGGTTGCGTATGGAAGTAGGGCAGTGCCATGGACAAAAAGGCGTTGAATTGCTTCCAAAAACCGCGGGTGGCATCGAGCTGGCTGCCATCATCTTTTGGTATATTATGCATGGCGTCATTAATGTTAAAGCTGGTGTCATCACCCATGTGCATGGGCTTGCCGCCCATTTGAAAGTAAGAGTCCATCATGGTGGTTGGAGCATGTATGTTTGTATTGTAGATCTATTCTGGGGTGTTTCTTTGAATGATTGTCCTGTTGTTTTTGAAGCTTGGATGTCATTGGTTTCAGAATGATGGCCTTTAAATCTTCATGCACGGCTGAAAGTCAACGCTGCTCCCACCTCACAATTTGATGTTCCATCCTTTGCATGCTGAACTGAAGCTGCTGGTGATCAGCCAATGGTGAGGAGGGTAGCTTTCTAGCTAGCTAGTAGTAGGTATGGACAACCTGAGTTTCTATAGATATAATGTAAGAAGCTTGCAATAACCTAGCTGGAGTCCAAAAAGGTATGAATGGCTGGTCAGAGTATGGTAGTAGATCAACACACCCGGATAGATCCCTGTCATCCACATGCAGTTTTGCTTTTGCTTTGCTAGATCATTCATCATCGGACAAGGAAGCTTCGGGAACCTGCTGATATCCTCCCTTGCGGGGCCTTCCATTCACTAGCTGCATGATCATCACGGAAACCAACATGCCGACAAAGAAGGAAACACCCGCAGAGCCCCAAGCAAAGGAGGTTTCTTCGTTCTTGGCACCACTATTGGTTCCCATCATGGCTGTCATGGCAGGAAAGTTGACGGCACGATAGTAGTAGCTGCTGGCAGAAACTGCTGCGTGATGACTGTGCTCTTGGGGTAGTTCGGGGTACTCGGGTGTATTCATCCATTTCTCGGCTCCCTTGTACTTTTTAGACTTGGATGGATCCGAGGAGTAGCGAATCTGGGGCGTCTCCACATCGATGAAGGGAGCGCCGGTCAAGAATCGCTTCAACAAATCCAAGGATGGACTTGGAACATTGTACGGGACCATGTGGCCACTAGAAGCAATGCAAACGAAAAAAGTGTGAGATTGCTGAAGCAGAACAAGCAAGCAAAGCAACCAGCCAACAAGGGAGCCAGCTTACCTGTTGTACACCACGACAAAGCTAAGGCCGCCAAGCTCTTTGGCCCATCCTGCGTTGGGGTGCTTGCTGGTGGATCCGGAATCCATCCACAATCCACGAGGTGCATCCAGCCATTCAGTAATGTTGTTCCATTCTGTCATTTGATTCAACACCAATTCGCTGCCAACCATGCTACAAACAGACACACAAAATTGGTTGTGGTGAGGTAAGACCGACTGACTTGGTTGGCTGCCTTTGTGGATCCAATAACGTCGCTTACTTGGTTGTCATGTCCCGGTCACCATTGTACACCAAGACGGGAATGCCGCCATTCAGCAAATCGGCAATATAAGGGGCTACGGAAATCGGCTTGTCGTTCATCATGTACAGGAGCTTGCGGCGGCGCTCTTCGGCCGAGCGCACACTGCTGGGTTCTTCGTTCGTGTTGGCTGACAATTGACGGCGGCCACCACCGGGACGACAACCATGCCAAGTAACGTTGGTAGGAGCATGCAGCATGGACTTGACATCAGGGCGATTATAGAATGCCTCCGACGTAAACGTGACCTGGATGCACAAAACGATGACAGATTGGAGACATTCATTAGCTACATCACATTGCAGCCTTCTCAAACGGGCCAAGCTCCCAGAAAGCTCACCTGATCGACATTGGGATCCCAGGTAGTGACATCATAGGCATTGACACCGCCGGCCGCCTGCAAGATGCCCCACATCATTCCTGTGCAGGTAGATAGATGAGTGGAATTGGAACAATGAAGTTAGAGGACTCGTATCGCGTCTCTCTGGCCTTCAGCAGACGTCATACAGTACTCACCGCAATCATCCTGTACATTGAATGGGTGAAAGGGTGGTTTGAAGCTCACAGCGTCACCGTCCTTCTTCTTCTTGTCATCAATAAACTCATCATAGTAGTTGACCAAACAATCCTGCCACGTCAAGTGCAAACTGTGACGAGTGGGAGCGTCAATCAGTCCGTGCCACCAGGAGTAATCAATGGTGGCTGGTCCTTGAATGGTGGCATCAATCCAACCATTTCCACTACATGTTGTAAGGAAGGGAGATGCAGTGTAAGATCTCCCTGGTGAAACACAGGACAACAGCAAACCAAGACTAGGGATTTCCGCTTACAGGGCAGCCCCTCCAAGAGGAATGATCCATTCATTGGCTCCCTTGGCCACTCTTCGTTCGTTCTCCTTCATGAAGTGCTGTGCCACCGCAGGAATGAACATGCCAGCATAGGATTCTAAATTCACCAGAAGCACTCGATTTCTGTGAGTTGGACCCAAGCACTGGATTGGCCACCACTGCTTACTTGTGTGCTTTTACTTACCTCCCATGACAAAGAGTTTGTAGTTGCGAAACTTGGGAAACAATTGATAGAAGGAATACTGAAACCAGTTGTACAAGTCACGGGCCACGTCCACTTCGGTTTCTGGCTCGTAGCCATCGAGACCGTAGCTGAAGCCAGTGCCCAATGGCTGCTCGACGTAGAGCATGGTGGTCGCCTGAGTCCAACTGTACTTTTCATTGTAATGCAACTCGGGAGTCGGCTCCAAACAGCAAAATCCGGCAGGACGCAATGGCTGAGTGACGGGACTATTCTCCATCATGACACCACAGTTGAACGAGGAACAACCGGGGCCTGTTGTTGAAGACAGTTCGCGAGAGAGTGTTTGCGTTTGCGAGAATCACAATTCACATTAGCTCCAAAACAAGAACAACAACATCTTCAGTGCGCTGCTTTTACTCTTACGTACCTCCGTTCAACCAGACCACAATGGTATTCTCGACGGATTGCGTGGGAGGCTCAAACATCCAAAACATCATCTGACCGACTGTCTTTTTGTCGGCGGCAGTGTCATCGCCACTTTTCTCAGGCTCCAGAACGGGCAACATACCCGCATACATCTCTCCATCAAATTGGGCATAGGCAGGCTGGACTGACTCCAACCCCACCACGCGAAAGTCATCGGGTGTTTTGGTCTGCGACGACATGTTGATGTTGTTGCTGAATCCTTGACTATTACCAGTACTAACTTCCTCCGAAAAGGCGCTCAATCAGATCAAAATGATATCTTGCCGAGCAAGAGTCGTCAAGGATATGAAAAAGGACGATCCTCAGGGAACATGGAGTTGAGCTGGATAGAAGATTCCCTCCTTTGGGGTTGCGTATTGAAATACAACTGCATCGTCCTTTCAGAGCAAATGACGCTTTCCCATTGGGCAACTCACCTCTCCACTCACCTCTGAAATTGCAGTCCTTGAAAGGTGGCAGCAACTTCCGCAGCTTTCAACTCCGAGGGCGCACTTGCGCCAGGGAAACGTCAAAATGATGTCAGACGTTAATCTGCAGGATCCGCTTCCGTCCACATTCCAAAGCCCAATCCAATTAGGTGTCAGAGATTTACTTCTGGCTCCCTACCTGGTATTATAGCTGGATCTATCAAGCTATCAAGACATCAAGACTGGCCAACTTGCTATTGTAGTTTGATCGATCACTCGTTTTCCAAGTTTTTTCTTCTCATTTTGCTGATTTGCCGAGGGCGGGACTATCCATGCATATACTACTAACTTTAGCTAGCAATCTATCTCCACAAGAGGCTCTCGAGGGCGTTCTCTTGTGGACAGCTCATCAAAGTGCACAGATCTCTCCTTGCTGCTACGAACTTGATGGGACTTTCCATTCGCATCCACGCGATTGTTTCGACGAGGAGATGATGTGTCCATGTTTTGACGATGTCTGCGACCACGTTGTACTGCCAAAATCTTTCCAAATCCGCTCTTTGCGGGGAACCACTCATTGTACAAATCCACCAACTTTTCTGCAAAGATGCCTAGAAAGTTAAAGCCCATCAGCACCAACAAGGGAACAAAGAACATGTCCACAACTTTGAACTCTTCATGGGAAATGTGAATATCTCCAAAGCCAACTGCAGCACGTGCAACAAGAGCACACCGTGAGAACTGGAATCATACAAATGTGGTCACTTTTGGGAATGCTCTTACCTGTTGTCGTTGTAATATAACTAAACCAATACGCATCCGACAGCGGGAAATCATCTCCAATACGATTTCTCCTGTACTTTTGAATGGATAATGCCAATACAAGCATCCACAAGATTGTTGTGCACAACCAAAACAACACACAAATTGGACCGTGCACAAGACGCTTCCAATTCAAGCGGAGGAAAGCGTCCTCAATCAGATTCTTCCAAACATTTGCAGCTGTGTTGTTGAGTGCCACAAAGCCAAGGATAGTCAAAAAGCCACACGTGTATACAAGGAGTCGGCCTTCATTGGTTGAAGGGGCTGTATTTCCATAACCACTGTTCCGCAAGCAGCAAGCGAGATGCAGCCTCGATTCAGTCCCAAAACTTTTCTTTGGTGATTGTATTGTACATTACAGCATGCGTAACAACTGAACTTACATTGTTGTCATGATGGTAAACCAAAAGAGAGCCCCACCAGCAAGATGAACCTTGCAATCTTTTGATCCAGTGGCTTCCTTTGTGAAGTTCAAGAGCAGTCCAAAGTCAAACAGAACTTCTTCCGGGGAATAGTCAGACTGCTCGACAACCTTTTGGAAGTCATCGTAGAAGTTGATTATATATGCCAAGAATTGCCGATCATGCTGATCCTTTGGATTCAACCCCAACCGTTCAAAAACTGGTTCCGAAAAGTTGAGAAAACCAGTTTGGTTGTTGGAACTTTCGTCGTGCTCAATGTTGTCGGGGCATGTCATCCAATCAAAGGTCAAACTCACTCCACCTCCCACCAAAAAGTCAATGGGCTCCAGAGGTACGAACTTGGTAGATCCTTCGTTGACGGCACAATCGAACATGGATTCGTTCAGATTGGGAAAGCTCTGTTCCAATACCGTCATATTTTCATGGTTTTCCGTAAGGGATCCCAAACACTGCGAGGCAGCATCTCCCATGCCTACCCAAAGCGATATCCGTTCCAAAGAATGGAAAATATAGAGAAAGAGATTCTCTCCGATAGATTGATCATTGGCTTCAATTTCTCCCACCATCTCGAACTTTGCCAGGCACCATCCAAACAGAAAGGACATTCCAATCAAGATGAGAAGTGGAATGACCAGTTCGGTTGTAATGTAGAAAAGACGAGGACATCGATGTTGCAGCTTGTGAACCCAAAAGGATGACGCTACAATCTCCTTGTAGGATGGAGACAGCTCGTCGTCTTGGTGGTATTCATCGTCGTCGTCATCAAGAACGTGGTGTGCTTGCTCTGACTTGCTGCTGTTTTGGTTGTGGTCACTGCGGTTACCATGCAAGTCACTGTCTCCATCTTGTGGCTGACTGTTCTTACCACTGTGATCAACCTCATAGAAGACGCTGGACGTGTTGTGTTCTCCGACTTCCTTGAATATGAAAACCATGGGCAAGGCCTTGGGCTATCAACAACGATGAGGCATGAAAATGACTTCGAAATGGAATTTGCCTCCAATCCTTTTGAGGGAGTCAACCTCGATGACTGTAGATGTGGCGACAACCCTGCTTCTTTCGCATCTTAACTTCCGCTTTGTTTCCCGCTCTTCCTGTAAGACTGCAATCCGAAGTAAGGTAGAAGGGGTATTTTGTATCCCGTTCCGCAAACCACTGGGTAAAGATCCAAAAAGATCCAATGGCAAGGCAATCCATTCAGTGCAGGTAGGTGAAGACCTTCGGGACCCTCAACTGCAGCTTTGCAATACCGTAGAGAACGACTAGAAACCCTGAAAGCCTCGTGAGAAAACCCCGAGCTCCTCATCAAATCCATGCAGGCACAGCCAAGGCCAAACAAGTTTCATACCGGTATGGACATTAGTAGAAAAGATAGCCCATCACTGATGAGTCAGATACGGTAGACAACAGAGTAGAGAGCTAGATCTAGCAGATGCATGAGTGCAGGATAAAGATCCGTGCATGAACGGTTGTATACACTACACTATATTTCTTGGATTCAAGGCAGGCAGCCCCAGAACAATTGCTGTAATGCATGGTCATTGGATTCGATCATGCTACCGGTATCTCCCCCGCTTCCTCGAATGTTGCGAATGTTGCGGCGAAGATCCATCCAAAGAGAAAGTAATGCCATTTCAATCAAGATGGGAAGTTTGGTTGAGACACGTCGCAGTTTATGGACCCCTGCATTGCTTGCTGCTCTAACTTACTGTTGTGCTGCGGGTCGCAGTCTTCAGAGCTTTAGTACATTGTTGAAAGATCCCAGCGTCATCTTCATCTGATTCTTCATCTTGCGAGTGAACACTTCTGTCAACAATCCGACCAACCCGCCCCCCCCCCAGTATGCAGCCCCCCGAAAGCCCCCTTCCCAGATATACAAACAGCTCCAAAGCAAAGGAGTGGGCGAACTGTGCACAGTGAATGGTACCAACGAGCGAGCGAACGAGCACCATCCGCAAACTCCAAAAGCTGGTCGGCGCATCTCCTCAGATGAACCCTTGCTTGCAGTTTCTGTACTAAGATTGCATCGATCTTGAAGTTAGTTGATCCCTCCCTTCGTGGGATTTTGGTCATGGTCGAGCCCTACCTTCAACTTGTACTAGTACATGCTACGCTCTCCTCCTGCACCTCTGGCTGCCAAGAATGTCCTTAAAGGGCGGGTGAGGCAAGAGTGCGATAGCTTGGCTGGCTACCCCTGGTTTGGAACCAGGCTGTACCGAAACAGCTACCGAAACTGCCCTGCAACTACAGTAACTAGTCTATGCACACAGATCAAATACCAACAGCCGCTGGGCCGCTGGGATGCTGGGACGCTGGGGCCTGGTGCTTGCCAGGTCGCCTCTGCGAACAGCCAAGCTGTACAATTATTGCTGACTTTGTCTTTCCGAGTCTTAAGGGACGTGCAGTATCCCATTCTTGGTTACTTCTGGAGTCGTACACAGTGTGATTGGTTTGGCTGTAGAATTCCAAAAGAAGGAGCAAAATCGGCCCGCAAAGAAGTTACTTACTTTCGTTCCTGTTGGGCCGGGCCATGTGAGACTTGGCTGCAGGGACCTCGCTGCACTCTAGCTAGGCCCAAAATCAAAACACTTTCTTACTTCGAGTGGAGAAAAGTACGCGGTTGAAATAGTTCAGTTCCTCACCGGAGAACAGCAGCAAGATGTCTCACTTTGCCGGTTAGCAGGAGACAGCATTTATTTTGCACAACAACGAAATACAGTACAGTATGTATGACATTGTGTTGTGTTTACCGGTGTGGGCTGTGGGCTGCGGACTGTGAGCTGTGGTTTCTACAGCGAGTTTGTGAGCAAGATTTTTGTTTCAGTGAGTTACTATAGTAGAGCGTCTTCAATCTTTAAATCTGGAGTTATGAGGCTACAGAACGATTCTGACTAGGTTCAGGAGAACAGACTTGAGTTCGTAGAAGGCTGTTAGGGTCGTTGGGCATAAGTAAAAGCTCAGTTTCGAGTTCTTTTGTCATAAAAAGATATAAGCAATTTCTGCCTTTGGCCATTCTTCACTCTGACGTGGCGTTCTTGGTTTTTTGAGGGGCTTCTCAAGGCGGTCATTAGAAGTCTACTCGGTCATTGCTTCGCCTTTGGCATTCTTTTTTCGTACAGTGTCCCAAAGATAGAAGACTAAGTTAAAAGTGAGTCTTCTAAATGCTCTTCTAAACTTAGTCATGCTTTCTAATTGCTGCAGGTGAATTGGTTACCCACTACCCACGCTCCGATCTTTCTATCTCACAATCTTGAAACCTCAAAAGCTAAACAGAAAAAACACAATCAAAATCATGGGCGCTGATCAATCTAAAGGAATTGCACAATGGGACGTTGAGGAGGTGGCTGCCGCCGCTGAGACTCTTGGACGACACTTCAAGCCATACGCCGACACCATGAGAGGCAGCGGTATTGATGGCATCTTTTTGGCGTCCTTGTCGACCACTGAAGTGCAGGAGACATTGGACGATCTGGGTGTTGAGTCGAGGCTGCACAGACGAGTCCTCGCTCGAAAGCTGAGGGTGGCTTTGGAAGGGGACGCCTGCACCGTTTCCTGCAGTCAATCTGTTGTCTCATGGGATTCCACATCACCAAGGGAACGAAGACCGAGTGCTCGCAAGTCCATGTCGGAAAAAGAAGAAGATTCACGAAAGTTGTTGGAGCTCATGACTGCTGCCGCTCAGCAGCAAATGGTAGAACGATGCGCGCTCCTCCAGAAAGAAGCCGAGCTTACAAAACAAATCGAACGCATTACATCGCCTGCCAACACCGCCGCATAGGCTCACTTATCGGATGCAAGGTGTAGCAGCAACGAATAAGAACTGTAATCTATAATGTACATCCTTTTCAATCAAAAGTGTCCTGATTCCTCTCGTCATCAGATAAGATTCTATCGGCATGGTACAGTAGTCATCAGAAGTCACTATTACCCTCCAAGAGCTGAGTAAAGATCAGTTTCAACACCAGTTCAAGCCCAGGGCAGTTTCGACCCCCTTGGAATGTTCGCAGCCCCGAGAACGGGCAAGACACGTATGGGCCAACGATGGCCTACCGGTACGGTAGATCTCGGTTCCCAGTCAGTGACTGTCGCTCGCTGATACCTGTGGGATACACACTGAAAATGGCATGAATCCTTCAGGTCGCTTCTCTCCCTGGGCGCGACCAGTGGCATTCAGCCACCTCGTTTTCTCCTATGGCGAGCATCTCGTCGGATGAGCCTGCACGAGGCCTGTTGCCAACTCCATTGGTCATGTTGGAGGAAGAAATTGTTGTATCCTCGAAGCGCTGGCGTCCTCGCAGCGAGACAGAGCGTCTCCTGTTAGTTGGGGGCTTCAGAAAGCCATGCTGTGACCGCATGTGCTCCACCTTCACACTGGCGCCCCATTCAGCATACAAGCCCATCGAATTGGCCAAATACTGCTCTGTCCAATACGAATCTCCTCGACTGGATGTAAACTCCCCTGCCAGCTCGTTCGCAATGGCGCAGAGGTTCGTGAAGCCGCTTCGGGAAAGCTGAGATATTGCTTCGTCGTACAGCCGTCTACCAGTCTCAATGCTGCAAGAGGAGCTCAACGTCTTCTTCTCCGCTTCCAAAAGTCGCAACATTCCTAGACAATTGACGCACTCCTTCTTTGTGCAAAAGGTAAGCCACTTCAAAGCGCTCTTGGCAAGTTTTCGATATGCCCTCTTCTTTGGCCGCTTTCGGCAGAGTTCGAAACCAGCAAGTCCGTCCACAAAAGTTGCAAAGAAGTTGAAAACGGCCGTGTCCCCCGGAAGCCGTTTCGTCTTCCTAGCGAGGAGTGATTTCACCGACTCTTCAAGTTGATTGGTGTCCTTCATCAGGTAGAAATTGAAAATGTTCAAGTATTGAAGCATAATATCTGGAGGCTGGTGAGGAGATCCAGCAGATACATTGTCATCGTAACAATCATGATTCTGCTTGATGGATTCCCAGGTTACTTCCATTGACTCGGTTGTCTGCCCCGTCAAAATAAGAGCCAGCTGCGAGATGGGCAGGATGTAGGCGAGAGGCAGGCCCAATCTGAATAGTCGAAGCTGTGCTCCGAAGCGCTTGAGATCCACAGTTAGTGGTACCAGTGGAAGCCCTACCATCAGGTACACAACAGCGTAGGTGCTCAAAGAAAGACCACCAGACATGATGTCCCCCGTTTCCAGCCCTACACGGTATGCACGAAGCGACGGTTCCAAACACTCTGGAAAAGGCTGCTTTAAGTGCCAAAGGAAGATCGTCGACATCATGGTGAAGGCAGGGAAGCATGCGTTTTCTTGTTGCAATTGCTTGGCTATCTGCGATAACCGAAACGCTTCCTGATATTGTCCCTTCCCCGTCAACAGCAAACCATAGACGACAAAGGCATAAGGTGACCATCCACAGAGACCGTGTTGTAGTGTAAGCTGCATCATTCGTAGCTGTTTTTAAAAAGAGGTTTGGGACGTCGATTAGCGCTTGGTTGGCATGAATCATCGACTCGTGCATAGTTTCAGCTTACATATATCAGTGCCGCCAGCTGGAAGTCAGCATTGAAAGCATAAATGGAAGCCAGATACAAGATGTACATTATAGTACGTATCCTTTCGTTTGTCATCTTGCACAGACTCGTCAATTCCGCATCGGACTTGCCCCGTAGTAGACGTTGCGTCTTTCTCATCTCCGAGATGATATTGAAGGCGGTGGCAGCGGGTAGTTTGGCACCAAGTAAGTTCAACATGGATTGTGACTCCTCCAGAGCTCCTTGAAAGTTCAATTGTACCCCGGCCATCTGAGTGAAGACTATTCTTGCGCGGATGGTATCGGCGGGGTCTCGAGCCATGGTAGAGACTGTTTGGATGCGGTCACTTGCCTGATCAAAACGGCCACTTGAAAACTCTGCCTCTGCTGAGCCACTATAAACCTCCAGAATCAACTCATAGTCCACTTCCCATTTGGAATTGTCGTCTGTTTGCTCGTGACAAGCAATTGCCTTTTGGAGATAAGTGGCTACCTGTTCGATTCCAGACTGAGTTCTTGCCACCTGGCTGGCTTTGAGGTTGAGACGAATGAGCTCAAAGCGTTCCGACTCTTGCACCATCAGACCAGATCCACGGTTCATTTGATCAGCGGCCCGAAAGAGATAAACGTCGTTCTTGCTGCTATTGATGTTGCCTAGATACTTGTCGCGTATGTATTTGCCAATGCGCAAATGCAATAGTTCGCGGGTCTTCCCCTTGGGTACAAGCTCATAGGCGCATTGCTGCACACGGTCATGGGAAAACTTGCAGGCAAGTCCTGTATCCGATAACTCCACCATACCCTCGGCTTCGGCGATTTTCCAGGATGCCATAAAGTCCTCCTCTGGCAGCAACTTTTTCTCTTGTTCTGCCAGCAGCATGTGATGCCGTCGTTCCATCTCATCCAGTCCTTTCAAGAGTTCAATATCCACGACAAAGCCAACACAGGATGCCAATTGTAGTAAGCGTCGCACCGATGCCGGTAAGGTTTGAATTCGACTGGTGAGTGCTTGGACCACATTGTGGGCCACATCCGTCTGAAAGACCAGATCCGAGGATTCCCACCGCCACCGTGCTGTGAGTACGTCAAATTTCAAAAACCCCTTGGTCTCGAGGACCTTGAGAAATTGTTGCGTAAAGTACGGGTTCCCCAGTGTTTTCCGCAGACACACTTTGGACAATGGCAGTGTGTCTTCTCGTGTGGCTCCTAGCAACTCGGATATCCACAAGTTTAGTTTATCCAAACTGAGATTTTCCAAATGAAGTGGCGTGGTGTTTGGCATGTCCAAAAAGGTGCTGAGGATGTCACTGCTACTACTACTGTTGCCATCATCGCTTCTTATGCTTCCCAGAAAGAGTAGATTGGAGAGTTTCTCGCTCACCATCAAATGTTGTAGCAGACTGAGAGAATCTGGATCGGCAAATTGGACGTCGTCGATGCATAACACGACGGGTCGATCTGGACTGCAAAATCGCTCGAAAAAGGAAGACAACGCCACGGCCATGCGGATGGAACTGAAGGACATGTTTTCCGAGGAAGAATCCGTGTCTTGTTGTTCTCCCAACATGTCCTGCAACCCTGTTACCAACTTGGTCAGCATTCGACCTTCGTAAGCCAATCCTTCCCGCAAGGCTGTGGCAATGGTTTCGTCGTCATTCTCTTCATCATTGTTGCTTCTGCTGTTATGGTTGGTTGCCGACTCTGTCAAGATACGGACAAGGTCTTCCACGGCTTGAGCAATCCCGGAGTAAGGAACACTGCCATCTTCGTACTGATCGAATTTCCCCCTGATGAAATAAATATCCTGGCTGACGCTGCAGCGATCCTTGACAACATCACACAGCCTGGTCTTCCCACAGCCACTGGCTCCATACACAAGAACCGAATGGACAGGACAGGCGGCAGAACGGATCCGTTCCACAGCCTTTAATAGCTCCTGGGCCTCAATATCTCGTCCATACACTTTGTCCGAGAACGCCAGTCTCATCATGGTCCGTCGTCTCCTTTGCTTTGAGTTCAGAAGATTATGACAGACAGGGCCACAACGCCACAACCAATTCCAGCTGGCTGGCCTTGCTACTAGGTTTAGCTCGGCCTTCTCTTATTGTGGTCCTGCTTCCGCCAGAGTACGTGCATGTAGGTGGATGGTACATGTAAAAGGGGCGGGCGCCAGTTTGTTGTGAGATTTACCAAGCAAGTTAGCTGCAAGCTACTTTAGCTATTTCGGTTAGACCGGTACGGCTTCTTTGTGGTGGCACGCACTATTGCGCTGTTCCCTGACGTGATCGCGTACCGGTATCTTTCAGAGCCGTCTGATGATTGATAATCGGTCAGCTCGCCACATGTACCCGCGTACGTTAGCCAGTCAGACTGGTAGTTACTCCAACCATTTCCCAATTCCATCACATGCACTTCTTGTAGCCAGTGGCCTTGCAATACAGTAACAAATCTGTAGTAGCCGGTCCTAGCCAGGTGGCAATGAGGCAGAGGGAGGATCATAGATCTAACACATCACACCATAGAAAAAGTGTACGACTAGACTATTAGAGAATGATTTCAGGCAGAGGTACGTCGGAAAAGCTGTTAGGTTCTGGCATGGAGATCATGAAACCATTGATCCTCTACTACGTAGCTGTCGTGATCCAAGCCTTACACCATTTGTAACGGAGAATGAAGCATGGTTGACATACCCATTCAATCAGGCGATATCATACTAATATGACTTTTTAGAGTAGTCAGTGAAATCTCCAGAGTGCGAAGAATTCGAAAAGATCGGTCTTCTTTTTAATTTTCCACGGACCGTGGAATCCGAGATTGACACTTGCAGTTGCTTCAGCTGGCATTGAAACGATCTCCACCTTCCATGCATCCAGAATATTTTGCATCATTCTTGCTCATGTAGCAATTCCACCTCAAGATATCCTGTCGATTGTTGTAAAAAGGTGATCTCAAATCGGGGGTCAATCCAGGTCCAACTTTTAAAATTGACGCCGTTGAGGAATGAGCTACCTTGTGTGGCCTATAATTCAAAGAAACCAGACCTCAGTCTTTGCTCCGCCCGCCATTCTTGCAACTGACATTCGGAGCATGAAGGACCCAAAAGGAGTGAGTCCACATGCTTTTGAAGACCAAACCGGAGCAGCAAAGATTCGTGAACCCACACAAGTTTGCTTTCATTGAACATTGAAGATTCAGCGCTTCAGGGAAAGCAAGTGATTACCACTGGAAAGAACTGGTAAAGTGGTTGACTGATCAGACCAGCCATAGCGCTCATCTCCGCGGCGCAGCTGACGCAGCCCGTGGTCCTGTACTACGGAACTCCAGTGTGAATATTGGCTCGCTCCTCCGACCGGGCCGACGAAAACAGGATCACCACCAAAGCTATGGGCCGTGCAACCACTGATCCGTATGTCCTCTAGAATAGTAATACAATACTTATCCCTCTGGCTATCGCTTTGGCTTCTGTTTCAAACTTTCCGGAGAATCGAACCTCAACCAGTTTCCTTTCCCATTCGGAGAAGAAAGCTCCCACGCCAAGCTTCACGCACAAGATGCGCCTGCCCAAGATGTCGTTGTACCACCGACCACCCAAGAGAAGCACGATGAGCGCGAACCAGCAACAGCTACTGCTCTACTATCTCGAGTACATTGTACAGTACTCACAGTACTTCACCTAATACCAACTAGAAGGTAGATCAGAGAGCTGGTCAGAGATAATTGGATTATAGTCTTGCCTTTTCTTCCCTCGTTTTGGCCTACGCTGCTCTGGCCAACATTCTCATAATGTTTCCAGCAGGGGCTTCTACTGGTGGCGAGCCACACGGCGAGCTACTAGCTAGCAACCATAGAGCTGGCAACTGGTAAGGCCAACAAGCCATAAGCCATAAAAGCCTTGAAGTAAGTCTTTGTTCAGTGTCCACAAAGCAGAAGCCAAGTTGAAAGGGTTTGCATACACAGTGGAAACTTTTAAGACATGCGTTGTATCATACATGTACCATCAGCATTCTTTTGTGTGAATGGTACATAAGTCTTTGTCCTAATTTTTGCCCAAGAATGGCCGAAGGGTCACCAGAATCCAGAACCAATCTCGTTACGTTAGCTAGCGGTACCGGTACCGCTACCGGTACGCTGAATGGTACATACGAGTATCTTAATATCAAATAAATAATGCAGGAGAAAGCTACATGAGGAAAGATGGAAGGAGATGAAAACGGTTCGTGAAGTGCCATAAAAAGCAATGAAAAGAAAAAAAACCAGTTTCGAGCACACAAGCAGCAAAAAGTCCATCATCCTCCGTCTGATCATCGATCATCGATACAACAATGGCGCAAGCAGGACCTGAAAACCTTGAGATCCAGGATATTGCAGTGCCAAGTATTCCAAGTAGTATTCCTCTTATCCATCTGTTGACTGAAGGCTTTCGAGCACAAAACAATAATGTACGGCTTCGCGAAGAGCCACAGGTGCAACCGCATGAACTTGTTCAGCAAGGCTCTGCAACAAATGTGCAGAGAACAACGCTCCAAGATACAGTAATGCAAGCACTTGCGCTTGTGGAAGATGATGATCTCTGGTAGGCAGCAGCATCAATTGATCTTGGCTACCTTCACTGTCCTCAATGGCAACCGTTGATTGCAGAGGAATCGAAGCATATTATCATGCTGACTGGCACAAAAAGCAAAAGTCACGAACATTGGCTGCAGCGTACACGCCTTCATCATGTTTGCCTGAACCGCTGGTTTTGACCCCCCCCCCCCGAGAAAATCTAGTGTCATATTGTAATAGTGGGACTTCTTTTTCATGTTGATACCTTGCTTACTGCTGCAACACAACTATATAGATACGGTAGACTGGCTGCTACAACACAACAAGACACAAGTTACAACTGTCTCAAGCCAAAGTGGAGGAAGAGTTGTGTGGTTGGCCTTTTCAAACTTGACCCGGTTGGACCGAGAGCGAGGACGAATCATTGGTATCTTGCTTGTCAACCTGTCTATCCTCCGCCCGCAGACAGCATCCTGTCTGCTCGTTGTTGGCACTCCTTGGTGACGGTCAGCCAGATGATAGTCAAGCATTTGTTTGCTTTCTTATTAATCGGGAGTTCGCCCCCGTTGTTATTTTCATTCACAAAAAGCATTCCCAATTCAGTCACAGCTTTCATGACTCGTGATCCGTTCAGATCCTCCTCCCAACTTGATCTTGGAAAAACGTCCACAGCACGTGTGCAACGAACACAATGTTCTTTGGTCTCTTGGGAGCGCTGACATGGCGCTCTTTAAAGAAGTGAACATTGAGAGAACGAACCGGCAGGTTTTGTATGTGGGAAGTGGTACAGTAGTAGGTTTGTACAGAGTTCTACACAGACCGACCGTTAAATACAAAACCAGCCGTTATCGTTCCCTTATAAACGAACCTGCTACTTAGGGCCGTCTGTGCCCCATCGGTCTCCGGCCTGCCTAAGTAACTGACCATCGGGCTGTCGGGCTTGCGCCCTCTCTTAAGCCCTCGGTCAGTTACTTAGGCAGACCTCCGACCTTGGGTCCCTGCCTCAACCCCTAAGTAAGCCGGTCCGTTTTTAATAAGTAGTGTCCTTGAAACTATTATTTGAGCACTACTGAGCAACGCCACGATGATGAGAGGCACCACTGTATTATTCCTTTCCAGCCTCATGGTCGTCATGACAATGGCATCGGCAGCAGAGTATGAGGTAGTGCTGGAAGATTTCTCGTCTCCCAAGCTCTCGTGGAGTACCTTTGGCGACGATCACATGGGCGGTCCTTCCCACGGCGATTTTCGAATTGGAAATGGCGTCGGAGTATACGACGGAAGGGTGGGTTTTCTACCCCGTATTGCCGGACCCGGGTTCATCAAGCTGGACGGCAGTAGCAGTTTTGACGACATTTCCACGTGCCGTGCCATCAAGCTCGTGGCACGGTCGACCACACCTTCCTATCAAGGATTCCGCTTGAGCTTTGGAACCGAACACGATCCCGTGACCCAAATGCCATATATCAAAGGACACAAGGCCCACTTTTATCTGGATGCATCGGTACCATCCACAGGATTTCAAACCGTGCTGATTCCCTTTCACGATTTTTCGTTGGATTGGGATCCTCGCACGGGAGATGCCGTGGTGCCTTGCAGGGACGATGTAGAATTTTGTCCCGACTTGGCAACACTACAGGATATCAAGAAACTGGCCATTCTCGGAGAGGGTGCTGCGGGTGACGTCAATCTCGAGATGCAGACGATTAGTGCCGTAGAATGTGGGCAAGAACCCATGAACTTTATGAACTTTCCCAAGGATGTGCAGTTCGTGGAGTATGAATATACAGCCGAGGGTAGATCGTTCTTTGGGGTACCGTTTTTTCTAATGGCTGCTGCTGCAATCGTTGGAGCGCTGTACTGGAAACAAAAAAAGCAACAAAGAACTGCCCCCAATTTCTACCAAGCTGTGGAGACGATCGACACAACGCCCCATGAAGCTGGATATTCTCTGGAACTAGCCGAAACATAGTTTTGCTTCTAATCTAGCTATACTGGTATAGCTAGGAATGTCTGGTAGTGAACGACGGCACAGAAACTTTTCTCCGCCCATTGAATGGCGCAAAGGTGACACAAGGCATGTCCGCTGCTACGTACTCCAAACAATGACTTCGTGCTGATCCGCCGAAGCACAAGCTTCTCACAGGCTAAGGGCGAACATGGCTAGTAGACGGCATGGGATACCTGTTGCAAATAGTTTGCCACGATAGCTTGTCGTCACTGATGAAAACAAGGAGACAAAGCACAGCTTCACCACCAGTTCTTCCTGTAGCTCCATCACGGCCTCGATTGCCTCCGGTCTTTCCCCCCTTCTGTATGGCGAGTCGCACAGGGCAGAGATGCCCAGCCAATGTCTCGATCGGTACCAGACCAATCCGTGCAAATTCTAGAACTTTTGTACAATGACATGACTCCTTGCTCTCCTCCTCTTGCACAATTGTCTCCACCCATGACAATCAAAGAGCGTTGGAATGTTTCCTTCCCACCAATGCAACAAAAGCAATGGAGAAGATCAATTTTCTAATCAGAGCTTCCTCTGCTGAGCAACTTTTGGCAACTAGGTTGTGTGTTTGAACGGAGGTATTTCAAGGGAAGAAGCAAAGCAAAAAGAAAAACTGTGTACAGTAATACTAAATATAGGATGGGTCATCCACTACTGCTACTACTAACTAATTCTTACCTACCTACTGGACTATCAAATCGACTTTGCCCACCTCCTCTGATCGGATGCATTCAAATTGTTGTTGTCAATAATATGCTGCCTCAACATGAACCAAAATAAATTGAGGGAGGTTTTCTACTGTTGTACATTCAGTACAGTTGAAAACCCAACCAAACCATGTGGATGGATCATTCAGCACAAGGGCTGGTCCAACCTGCCCCATGCCGACTTCTCTCTCCACCAATTTGTTGTTGTGTTTGTTGTCTGATTATTTTCATGGATGATATTGCCAAGCAATAAAAACTAGAAAGGACCATCCCACCAGGGCACAAATATAGAGAACCAACCAGAAATCGGAACTGGACGAAATGGCCTGGAATTGTTGCATGAGGGACTTGTGTCTCCTTCCTTCAACTTCCTTCATGAATCTGTTCCAGAGTTCAATGGGTTTGTTCCACTTGTTCAATCGCTCCGCATCTTTCAACGATGTGGGTTCTCGTCGTCCTTCGGCGCGAGCCAGGAGAATTTCGGAATACAATTTGGCGGTTTCGTTGTCGTATTTGGATTTGTGACCGACTTTTTTTCGCATTCCGTGCTTGGCAAACCAGTCTTCGCACTGCTGATTGCCACCCACTTTCATCAACTTGACTTGGCTTTCCGTCCAAGAATCCATGTGAATCGATCGAACGCGGGAAATGTGTGTCCCAAGAGATCTGCCGTTGGATTCGATTTGATTCAACCAGACAAGAGCAATGAAGAAAACGAAGATAGATTGAGTGCACACCAACCCATACTCCATTGATCTTGAGATGGACTTCTAAAGTTGATTGACTCACCGATGTCCACTACAACATCTTGTACAAAAGAGAATTCCAAAATTGACGGAACCCCATTGTGGGTACTTGGCGTTGCAATCAATGCAGTTTTTGTTGCCAGGAAGCTTTGCCACAACCTTCCAATCTTCTGGGGCCATTTCTGTCAGAGATCCATCATTGCTGCTACTTGCCGTTGGAGGTGACACGGCAGTAGGACTTGCTGTCGACGAAGGAGAAAATTTGCGGTTCGACGAAGCGCGCAGCATCTTCTTGCTCGCTGGAGTACTAGTAGTGCTCACGGGCTGCGACATGGTGGTGGTGATCATCTACTATCAAACAAACAAACAGACAGATACTAATCGAATAGAATCAAGAAGACATCCCTGGGGTAGAGCACAATCTGGGTAGAGGGTGCTCTTGGCTAGCTCCTCGACCTCTACCTCCTATAGCCTGGCAGCGACAAGATCTTGGCTGTTGTGGGATGGCCAACAACAATTTCGTCCACTGGCATCTTCGGATGTTACGACCACGTGCCAGTGACGCTAATTCACGCAAACCCCCTTGTTTCGCGTACTTTTAGCGCAAGGAAGAACGGAAGATCGCGATAGTTCCACTCTGCTGGCTTGGTTAGCAGCATCCTGAAAACACATGGGAAATGGGAGGAGAGTGTTTGTTTCCAAGCATACATACATTATTACTAGTACTAGACTAGTACTTGACAGGAAACCCACGCACCGCTTGTCAAACTGGAGTTCTATAGGTACTGTTTTTACAAGCCACAGTTCGAACCTCATCAGTACCATGGGCCCAAGCAAGTCGTCCCCGGGAGACGAAACTAGCTAGGTAGCTCGTTGCCTTCATATCATCCCCCACCCCAGCAAGGCAGCGCCACCATCATATGCAAAAGAATTTCCCTTTTGGGGCATGAATGCTACGGTGCAGTCGCACGGCGACAGCAGGAATGGTTGGATTCAATAACCGCCTACTAGATAGTCACTGCAGTAACTATACGGTACCGTGTGCTGTGGCGGAAAAGGGATCGAATGATTCAATCAGCTGCAAATGATATGTAAGATTGGTCACACTTAATCCAGCGCATGTCTGTCCGTCGTCGGTCAAAATGTGAGCTACCTCGAAAATTCTTTTATTCGCGGAACGTCTTCGTAACATATAGAGCTATCCAGCGATGTATTGATCATACCCAGCGCAGGTCTAGTTACTGAGTAATACGTAACCGACAGATCTAATCAGGTCGGTGCGAAACTGTTAATCGTGCAGCATTGGCTGACTCCACACCTATCAGGCCACTCTTACACGACTTTTCGCACTATCGAAACTCCTTCCAAGCTAAACAAAGATGGCGAAATCGTAGCCTGTTACACCATGACGGAGCCTCTCAACACCACCGACACCCCTAGTAATAGCATCGAAGTCAGCCCTGTGAGAAAGATCCACTCTCCAGGCATTAGAAACAAGCTTATTAGAGGGAAGAAGTGCAAAAATCCGCCCAACGTGGAAGCCTTAAAGCAAGAGTTGCGAGAATGGTTGGCGGCCTATCGACTACTTGACAACTGCGTCTCAGTGAAGAATAGTGGAAGAGACAAGGCATGCACCTGTTGCAAGGATATTCCAGAAGGTCGGAGCTACAATTTCTATGTCATTGTAAACTCTCTTTATGAATTCGCTTTGAGAGACCGGAAGGGCCAACTATCCTGGGTGGCCGAATGGATCAAATACACGAAACGACAGATGAAACACAAGCATCTATTCAACAAGGAAGAACAAGCAAGATGCTACCTCATGCCAGGGATCTCTCGACCTCAGTTACTTGTTGTCGGGATACTCTGATGAGAATGATTGGATTCGGTTATGAGAAGTGGAAAACTTGTGAGAACATTGCCGACGGCAAGCGAACTACATCCCACGGCAACGACGGCAGAGCCCACAGGAGTCAAGAAGCAGTGGACAATTCGCTGTCGGTGTTCTTCGAATCCATGAAACAGCTAGCATGCCCAAGAGCAACTCTATTCATTAGAGATCTGGTTGGGGACACTGTTCAGAATTCCATGAGAGACGACAATGAGGAACTCCTTGAACTGCCTTCGTGCAACTCAAAAAGGCAACTGTACGGAAGATACATCCATGAAAGGGGATACAAGTACATCATTGATTCGAAAGGAGCAGTCACATCCAACGTCCCACTTCCCGACAAAGAACAACAGCCGGTCTGCAGCTGGGCGAAATTCCACAAATACTGGGCGAGGAACTACCCTCTCCTAATAGTGTGTCGCCCTAGAGAAGACATCTGTAACCAATGCTTCAAGCATGCCAATCGACACAAGTACGTGGTCAGTCGACTTCAAGCCAAGGAAGACCGATTGGACAGAATGCAACTTGCTGGTGACTCCGACAATGAAGAAGAGGAGAACACAAAGAACAAGCAACAGGACAACCACAACAACCTCGACAAAACAGCGAACCGACAGCACCCACAGCATCACAGATTGAAAGGGCGAAACTATTGCAAGAGCAAGTTGAACTCCTTGCGGCAAGTGCACATCATGTCAGGATGTACAATGATCAGCGCGCTCTCTTCCAGCAATACAAGTCCATTGCCGTGGAGTCCAAAGATAAGCGACCAAGTGAGAGGTCTCTTTGCTTTGTCGCTGACTATGCACAGAATATGGGTATTCCTTGCTTTGGCTTTGAACAACCAGGCGAAACTTACTACTACAGTCCGCTCAACACATACTGCTTTGGCGTTGTTGACACAGCCGTGGATCACCTTTCGGGCTATGTTTACACAGAAGAAGCCGCAAAGAAAGGAGGGAACAACGTTGCATCACTTTTGTGATGCATCTTCAACAGAGCGGAGTACTCTATACAACAGAGCCCTTCAAGGAGATCTCATTTTTCTTCGACAACTGTCCAGGACAAACAAGAACAACATGGTATCCGTCTTATCTACTTGCTTATCAAGTTGAAAGTTACCATGAGCGCAAAGTGCTGCTTCCTTATCCGTGGCACACGAAGAATGACTGCGACAGGTTGTTTAACTGCATGAAGAAAGACTATCGAAAGGTACACGATGGACATTGTTCTTCCCACGAAAACCTGAAAAATGAAACGTCTTATCCACTTGCTTGCTGCTACTTCTTTCTACTCTTATAGTCCAACATCTATCTGCCCGAAGACATGATCAAAGCTCTTACTCACCCACAAGTGCAGCCGGTTTGGGTTACGGCCGATGATATGTTCGATTTCGATAAGCTGGGAAACCAGTACATGTACAGGATAGCAAGTGGAATAGACAACAACCATGTCTTCGAGTGCACATCCGGCATGGAGAATGGCGCAATGATGTGTATTCAAGAGTGGATCAATGGCGTCCGTGTCTATGAACAGATACAAAAGAAATCCGTCAGCAAGAAGATTCTAAAAGATCCGACATGGGACTCTAAAGAGAATTGGCTCCTCCGTATGAAGGAACTTCAACCTATTCCTTCTATCGGTGTACAAGACATCAAGTGGATCGAGCTATATGATAAGTGGGGTCCTCTCATCCCCAAGGAAGAGGAAACAGCTAAAATGGTACAATGAAGATCCTGGTACGGAGCGTCGCCAGAAGGTTAAGAGCAACACAAAGGCTTCCAAGGGTGCCAGAGCAGCGAGAACCATCACTGCTGCAACTAGTTAGTCTAATAGAGGTCTAGTCTATGCTGGATAATGAGTTTGTTATATGGTAAGATTGAGTTTTGGTGGCTGGAACGCTTGTGAGCTTCATTGTGGTGGCTCACTTTTTGTTTTTCGCGATTATCTCAGCTTCGAGTTTCCAGATATTCCGGACGATGACAGACGGTGCGTTGCTGGTTTTTGTGTGGCCAGTCTTATGTGTAGATTGATTAGGAGGGAGGAGGTGAACCGCCAGCAGGGGTTTTGTCAGCCAGTTGTGCAACTATTGGTTCTATTCTGTTTGCTTGTTGTCGTACCGTTCAGTCCGCGTCATTGGAATGACGCAATTGTTTTGCCATCCAGTGTTTCGTGTCATGTATATTATCAAAAGGTTTATGCAAATACGGGAATCACTGTTTCTGTGCTTGTACTCATCTCGTTCTATTCATTGGGATATCTCTGTCTCTCTGCTTTAGTATGCATTCTTTTTGGACTTGCTGTAGTGCTCCTCCAGCACTTCAAAGAGTCCACTGACAATGGTCATTGCTTCTTCTTCGGAATGCCCATCATCCTGGTTCAGTCGCAATGTGCGATCAACACCGGAGGTTTCCAATGCATGATGAATGAACTTGGTGGCCATGGCACTGCCACCACACCGTTGACTTGCAATAGAGACACTGGGTTCTACATTGTACGTCTGATACCACCATCCAGGAGGGATCACGACCATGTCTCCTGGCAATATGACAGTACTGTGCCACATGCCATGGTGAAACTTATCCATGTCCTGTCCTTGGAGGGGTGTGGATGGGATGAACATGGTTGGATCTTCGGCCCAATGCTGAAAGTGATTGTCGAAGCGATTGCGGTATTCTTCTTGTCCGTGTGTCTTCATTTGATCCAACTCCCAATCGACATCACGATGACGGAATCGAAAGAGATCGTGTTTGGTATGGAACCCTGTACTGACGGGAAATCCATAAGCCGATTCCATGTACGTCGGTGATGCACAAGCTCGTATGGCGTCATTGGGTTGTTGTGTAAGTGGCGGGACAATGCGAATGAGTTGACTCCCATCAATGCCTAGAATGATTTTTTGATAGGCATGGCACTGCAGACATGGCGATGTGGATCCTTCTCCAGCTACCACGAGTGTGTCGTGAACCTTGGCAAAATTGGAAAAGCACTTGAACCAATCCAATTTGTCTGCTTCGTCATCATCGGCACCGCTGGCAAAGAGTGCCTCCTTGAGTGGAAAGAAGGGTACTGGCTCGGTAAAGGCATGAGAGGCAGTCTCACGGACCGATGACAAGTAAACTGGATCGTCATGGGTGGAATTATGGATTGCCACCTTGACCGCTTCCATCAAGGGCATGGCCGTTTTGCTTTGATCCTTTTCGAACTGGGTCAAGATGGGTTCCTGCTTGGCACGATTCATAATGTTCGACAGCCATTGTTCCATTTCGTCAGTGCTCAATGTTTCTTCCACCACCACAGGAACGTCTTCAAAGGCACTGGGAGCTTTGGCAAACTTGGCTCTCGAGGCACGGTTCATGTAAAAGGCATTGACAGGAAGTCCCATCCACAAAAGTCCGGCCAGTTTTGGATGAATCTTCATTGTGACAATCTTTTCTGCTGCTTGTTGTTACTTTTCTGCTGGTGCTGGTGCTGCTGGTGCTGCTATTCAAGTTGGTGTTGCTTGTGAGGTGTTTCACTCTCCACAGTCCACAGTAATTTATAAATCGACGAGAACGTATGTAGCCATCATCACCCATCACAGCTCCCATCAAGCTTCGGATCGTCATTTTTTCAAAAATTTACAGAGAGAGAAGGACAGCTCTCGGGGACAGCTGCCACCTTCCTCCAGCCCTTCAATCAAATCTGTTCCTTCATTATATAAAGGCAAAAAAGCTTCCGCAATCTCGTTTATTAATTTCTGCGATGTCATCTGTGCTCTAAAACTAAGGAATAGCAAAACTAAGTCATGCATGGAAATACAAAAACTATCTCCTAGACTACTGCATTTAGTATTGCGACAGAAGGTGGTTTTTGATGAGGTGCATCATCTCCTTCTCTTCAAGTTTCCAAAAAAAGCATGTGTCCAAATGTTAGACAGCTGAGCTGTTGAGATGTTGAACCAAAACTCGAGTTTTTCTTTCATTTAGCTGTAAAGCGCGACGGAAGTACATGTACCAAAGAGTTAATGAATGATCCTTGACGTTAACCGGTAAGGGTACATGTGGTACCAGTAACCATGCGCTTTAGCGCCTCCGAGACGGCATCTCTTCTTGTCTTGATGAGCTTCTTGATGGTACCAGTGGACTTACCGGTACCAGATACATTAGTTGTCACCATGGGAGGAAACCTCACGCTATTGGTCTCTCATCACAAGCCAGCGAATGCTTTCGTATCGTATTGTAGTCTACCCACTCTCTAGTAGCTACAATGAGCAACGAGACCACTACTAGCGCAGCCGACGACGATGAGTTTGTGTATCTTGGCTTGTCCAAGTCTCAATATACGGCGAGCGTGGCAGTGGCGCTGACATCTTGCTCCTTGTCGATTCTGGGTTCTCTGTCGATCATCTACATTGTGATTGTCAACCGCAAGCTGGATCAGCTTTACCACCGCATTGTGATGGGCTTGAGCATTATGGACTTCATCATGACCGCCGCCACGGCATCCATGCCATTTGCCAATCGATCCGATATTGGACTCTTTTTTGCGGTAGGAAATGCCCAGAGTTGTACTGCCGCCGGCTTTTTCTATCAAGCATGGTTGGGATCCACAATCTACAATGCCACCCTGAGTATTTACTTTTTGCTCACGGTCAAACACGGGCTGCAAGAACAACAAATTTCAAAGGCCATGGAACCGTACTGTCATGTGTTGGTGATCTCGGTGCCACTTGTCTTTGGAATCGTAGCAGTATCGGTCCAGGGAATCAATCCATTGCCCTACGTTGGAATCTGTGACATTGGAAATCCCTTTCCAGGCAATTGTTTGGAAGAGGAGAACATTGAGTGTGAACGAAGTGGACTGGCGACAAGAATTTTGGGGTTGTTCCAGTTGGCCACCATGGTGATTGGCGCCTTGACGGGAATTTGGGCCACTGTACGGGTCTACTTGACGGTACGCCAGCAACTACTCCGCGGCAATGTCAGTCACAACAGCAATGTCCACAATCCAATATCCGAAACACAACTCAAGAGAATACAGGCGGTCCGCAATCAGGCCATTTGCTACACATCCGCCTTTGCCGTCAGCTTTTTCTCAGCGTTCTTTGGGCTCTATGACGATCCCAACATTGCCTGGCCACTGATTGTCATTTATATTTTCTTTCCCCTGCAGGGATTCTGGAATGCCATGATATACACACGCCCGAGACTACTGCGATGGAAAGATGCCAATCCGGACCAATCATGGTTCTGGGCGTATCGACAGGTGCTCTCTGGCAGACCGGCACCCACCACGCGCAAAACAGCACATTTGCAAAAGTCAGTCCAATCCAGTGGAAACAACTCCACCAGCGATAGTACCCGAAAATCCACCCGCGCGACTCTTCTCTCTTCGATCCGGCAATTGTCGTTTCTCAATGTTTATTCTCAACCAAACAACGAAAGCACATGTACAAATCCAGGACATCAGGGGACCGTTTTGTCTGGCCATGAGATAATACCCGAAGATGATAAAAACAAGGCAACTCCAGCCCAACGCATTTCAGGGTCTCCGTCGTTTTATGATGAAGAAGCAAGCACCAACAACAACGATCATGATGCAATGAACACGAATGCAATGGAGCTGTCGGACAGCAGCAGCAACCATGAGGAACGCAAATCGTCATATCCACTAAGTGGTTTGGTGAAGACTGTCGGAGAACAGGTGGCATTAATACAGCAAGGTTTGAGGGAGGAACAAGTGCCTCTCAAGGAGCCATTGTCTGAGAAAAGCACAACCATTTCGCCAGACGAAACTATGCTCCCGCCTAGTAGGAGATGAGATTACAGGCCCTCAGATGAAAGGAAAGAGCAATGGCTCACCAATACCTGTCCACTGGAGCAACCAGATCAATGAGACAAAACTCTTTTTGATCGCGAAGTAAATTCATGCCGTTGAGAAGTTGGGGGTGCACTGTGGTCAGGACGAATTTTTGAATTTACATGTTTGCTAGGGGCGGCAATCACAAGTATTCTGGTGGGAGAAGGGGAGAATGCGCTTCAATCATAACACGAATCTTCCCTTGATCTCGGTGCCAACGAATTCCCGACAAAGACTAATCAGATTCTAGTAGGAGGCCGATTTGGGAGCTTGACACAATAATATACAAAGTTGAAATGGATACTGTACGCTACATACATGCATTTTTTCTGGACATGCACAAAACCAAATTTGCTCTTGTAGTAGCAATTCAAAATCCCCCTTACAAGGAAGGCCGTCTAGGTGGCATCTGTGGGGCGCCCTCGGACTGTCTGACATTGGAATGCCTCCGCGACCCGGGAGTATTCCACTCGCTTTCGCCATCCTCTTCGACAGACGACAAATGATCCTGCGTTGGCGACAAAGCTTCTTGCTCTTCATTGTCGACAACTACTTCTGATATCGTCCTTTGAGGCATCGTGAGACCAGCAGCTTTGCTCGGAGGTTGCAAATACTCCACTTCGGATACCTTTCGTAGAGGCATGATCAAACCTTTGGGAACTGAGAACTCCCGACTGTCTTCGAGTTCCGAGGCTTGTCGCCGTGGCATGACGGGACCGTGGCTGGAACCAGGTGAGAAACCACGGGTGGAACTGTTTAGTCCGGAACTAATCTCACTAACGGGTCGTTGGAGAGCTCTGGGTGCAGCTTGCGCTGGCCCTGTGAAGAACCGAGAGAGAGGGTATCTTGGTCCAGTTCGGTTCAATGGTTTGCCGTCTAGCTCTGGCTGCGTGGATCCCTCGCCATCTTCTTCCGCGAGATCACCGAGTGTGATGGACGACATCAGGTTTGATCGAGTTGGAGCGACGTGGGCATTGATGACTACGTGCGTCGGTTCCCTAGTCGCGCTGTTTGGAGTCTTTGAGCTCTCACTGACAGGTCGATTGACAGCTTTTGGTGCAGACTGCACCTGCCCTGTGAAAAAGCGGTGGAACGGAAGTGTTGCTCTGTGCCATGGTGACGTTTCTTCTGGTCCCGCCTCTGCCTCCTCGAATTGGCCCAATGTAACGGATGAAGTGTGCTCTTCGAGATTTCGAGGAACGCCAATGACAGGATACGCTGTCTGGGACTGCTCTTCTGCACTCGTCGCCGGAGAGTTTGGCGAATCCGACAACATTTGAGGAGGTTGAGGCACCGGATGTTGGTCGTCGTCGCTGTATTGGGACTCATCCTCGTGTTCCTTGAGCTTGTCTGGATGTGCAGTCTTTCGTTGCAAGGACTTTGCATAAGCAGATGGAGAGTATCCGTTGTTCGAGCGATTTCGTACCGAGGGAGAGCTCGTGGTGGCCGCGCTGAATCGTCGCACAGCAACGCCGAGCTCCTCCTTGACGCTCGCTGCACTTTGAGATGCCTTGTCGGCAAAGTGTAAACTATAAACCAAGTTTCCGAAGATCAGCAAGACTACTCCCAGGTCGTTGACGAAGATCATCAAACTCCTCAACAGGAAAGATGCTTGTGGATCTGTACCCAACAAAACGAGTACGGGTACCCCCACGACAAAGATTTGGAAATTCGACACCATGGCGATGGATACCATTCTGGAAACACTGAATCGGGAAGGAATCTCTCTGGAGAGATAACTCAGATAGCAAGCTGTGGCCATCAAGATGATATGAAACGAAGCAATCAAGCCACCGAACAACTTCCAAGAGTCACAGGTACAGTAACCTTCACTCTCGAGCGGCTCCCCAAACTGATCGGCCCTGATGATGGTCCTCGTCCAGGCTAGTGGATCAGTGAATTGCCACGCCAGCAAGATGGCAATATCAATGGAGAGGACCATCCCAATGACCAAGAGCGTATCTTGAAAAGAGACAAAACTGAAGCGTGGTGAATCTGTGTTGGTACGTGTCCTCTTGTCTCGGGTTCCCGTGGCAAACAACATGTATACCCGAAGCACCTTCGCCATGAGAGTACCGAATGTAATGGCGAACCCGACGCTGTACAGCCATACACCAGCCATGCACTTGGGAGTAGTGTTGTGGTCTTGTTGCATCAAAGCTGCAATGGTGCTGGGAGATGTAGGAAGAAACGAAACGTGAGCGGGCATCCTGGCGGGCGGGACAACAGTATCCTTGACTATCCTTCACTTCACTTACCTACTCGAGACGAGGCACCCGAAGAGCACTAGGAGGAGAAAGAAAGGCTGTGAATAGCGCACTTGAGCTGTGTTCCGAAAATAGTAGAGCCAAATGGCACAGCCTACAATGACAACTCCGTTGATGGTCATCAAACAAATGGCAATGTTCTGGAAGGTTTCTGGGATAGCATTCTTGTCTTCAGGGACTTCGATGCTGCAGTCCTCCCCGGTCCACTTTGTAGAGTGACAGACACAAATGCCTTGATTGTTGCTCTGCCCATGATCGGGATCGCAGAACAACTCACAATTGGTCCCGGAAGTCCCAATAGGACAGAGTGCCTTTTGGAAATAGTGCGAGAACAATTCATCCATGGTTGCGTTGGCAATCGCTTGTAGGATCCACCGATCCACACCTCTTCGCACCAAGAGTGGCAAGTCTTCTCGCATGGGCCATGAGACAAACTGTGCCAAGTACTGTTCTCCAGTTACCTGTAGCTTGCCTTGGGAGTCTTCATCCCAGGCAGCCTTGTACATGAGCTCGTATTGAGGTGCCACAAAGAGAGCACAAACTTGCGCCTTGAGATCCTCGACACAGCCATCTATACCATTCTGGCAGAGGTGGTAGTTTAGGAGTGGAAACTCCTTTGGAAAGATGAACGCCGTGTAAGATCCATCCTTGACGCAGACCGTAGCGTTAGCTGTCGTGGCTTGGGTTAGTGTGGTGACATCCGCCAAAGGCCCACCACTACTGTCCTCATCCTCCAAAGCTGGAACGTACTTCATGGTGGAAATGGCAGCCTTGAGAATGGAAGGGGAGAGGTGGGCCCTCATGACTCGACTGGGATTGGCCACCGTCGTGGCCACGACCAGATCCAGCTCATCACACCCAAACTCGTCCTGGTTCAAAGAGGTGCTGTTGCAATCGTTGGAGACCATGTCGAAGGCACCTGTAAACGTGTGGGGCGTCTCACCAATCTCAAATTCCAACTCGACACCGTCGGCGGCAGCAAAGATGGGTAGTCGATGCAAAAAGTCGTATAGCAGGCCGCTGTACTTACTACTAGTACCGCCATTCTCATCGTACATGACAAAGGGAGCATCCGGAACGAACCCCACACGCAAATGGATGCGAGGAGGAAAGTCAAAGGTCTTTGCCTCATGGATTAGTAGTGGTAACAACAGCAACAAGAGCAACATCGTTGTTTTGTTGGGCGGATGGAGACGAGAAGGGGGGGGAATTCTCGAATTCTCGCAGTATGATGCTTTTATCAGCGCAGCAGTCAACCTTGGCAACACCTATCGATATTACGCCCTCTTTAGTAGCAACAATCAGACCAAAGATTCCCACGCAGATTGAGGTGTCGTGGTGTCGAAGTTTAGGCGTGGTACTAGTACCGGTACCGGTACCTGTTCAAGTACCGGTTAGTCAAGCAGAAGATGTCTGGAATCTTCAACTATTAGTTATTGCTTCTCAATGTCCGAAGGGAGGTTTTACCGATCTTTGGGATTTACTGTGGATGTTTCAGTTATAAATCCCATGGTCCGCACCACAACAGCACAACAGCTACGTGTGAAAAGAAGGCAAGGAGGAATTCTGTTGATGAAGACGCAGGATGTTTCAGGATCTTTCGCATTCGGTGCAGGGTCCAGGGCTAGCTAGTTGCTGGGTTGCTGGTTGCTGGGTGGAGACTCTTGAGAAGGGAGACGAAGAGGAACAGGAGCAGAATGGTCTTCATCATTGTCAATCTTTCGTACTCGTACAGGCACGATTTTAGCAAAATTTGATGTCGTCATAGCTACCTGGCATGATCTACTGTATCTTGTCCACGGTTTCTTCCACGCCATCTAAACACGGTCAGGAGCGCAAGATTCAACTCTGGCACATTCCATGCCGCAGGTACGAAGGTGGAATTGTTCCACTAAACCAAGACGAGCACAACTTACTGTATGGGAACACAAGGTGGTTTATAGTGTTAGACTACCGTATCGATTGGAGATAGTTGAATAGCGTGCTTTGCTGCAAAGTTTTGAGTTTGGAACCTCCTGCCCGGAACTGGGAAGCAATAAGCTGCCGACGATACCGGTGCCAGTGCCGCTAGGCCTGCCAACCGTACCGTACGAGTGGCCACATAGCCACAATACCGATACGGTACGATGGAGGCAGCGGTCGCGAGTGTCATCCCTCCGGCAAGGAATCCACAGAGTCATTGGTTTCATGTACCGTAGGAAGAAGGAAAGATCTAATCCAATTCGATAGGGTTGGTCTCACTTCCCTCCTCTGGCTTAACCTGAACGCCACGCCGAACCAAGCTCCAGTAAGCCGCCTTCCTGCGCTTTGCAGGCCGCGCATCAACATTGCCTCGACGCTTTCGAGTCTTCAGGCGAATGTCACATTGAGAAAGCCTAACAGGATTGATCAGACCTGGCTTCTTTCGGAGAAAGAAGTATACAATGTCTTCGTCGTGGCTGTGATTCAGGATTGTCTGGATCCAATCGGCTTCCGTTGACTGGTGGCTTGGGTCTCGCAACTTGCGACAATCTTCAAATTTGTTCATGCTCAAATAGAAATGAAAGCTCCGCAGAGCAAAGAAGAATCCTTGTGTCTGGAAATAAAGCTGACGAAGTGAAAAGTTGTGATGCTCTAGAACGTTGCCGATTGCAGCCAAAAGGTCCGAACGGAGCTGAATAGTAGGATGGCGAACGCCATTTACTCCGAAACGCAGGCTCGTCAAGCGTCGGTTCTTGGCCAAAGCCTGGATGACGGGAAGAACCACGGATTGATGATCCTTGCTTTTAAACTTGTCGGGGAAAGGTAAGTTGAGCTCTTTCAACCAAGTATTCCCCTCCAGCATCTCGGCGACAGTTTGAAAGAACTGGCCTCGCACATTCATCGGTTTGCTGCCGCATAAATCTAGTTTCTTCAACCGAACTGACCTTGTTTGAAGAGCCCGGACCAGACCCATCGCGGTGGCTCCGCGATTTCCAATGACGGCTGGTAGCCCACTCAACTCCAAGACATTCAAAAATGCGCAATTGGAAAGGTTCCCAAGTAGATTTCCCAAAACTAAGTTGTGCAGCTGTTCCGAATCGACACGACCAGAATATCGAAAGCTGGTCAGTTTGGGTAGAGATGCTGCCACGCTCAGCAACGTTGGGTACCAGTGAGCCACCCTGTTCTGTGTGGTGCAAACACTGTGGAAGAACAAGTCTTCAAGTATGTCTCGAGCACGCAGTGCTCGGAGGAAACCACTGCCACCCTCCATGAGACGGGCCCCCATCATTGTGAAAGCGACGACCGTCCGAGGGAAAAGGTTGAGAAGGTGTGTGACCTGTTGCAGAGATTGTCGTTTGTGCGGGCTTGTCAATCGCCGCAGTGGGCCTATAACAAGCTCAACACTGTGATTGTACGGAATCATAAGACCTGCTAATCTGGAGAGTATCCCTTGAACGCTTCCAATCAGATCTCTGTTGCTCTCGTCTTCGTTGATGTTAATGTGGTGCCAGTCAAGTATGATTCGAACTTTGAAAAAGCTGGTACCGGTACTTGAGAGGTCCGTCGGCGTTGCTGGAAGCTTGAAATGGATATCTTCGCATCTGGTCGCAACTTTGTCAGATCTACGAGTATCGAACACAACATGGGTTCTGCCGGAGGGTCGCCATTAATGACGCCTTGGAGCATCGAGTTGAACCCACAACCAATCCCTTTTGGACTAGAGATTACTTCTCTTTTCATTTTTCCAGATGTTTCTTTGACGACGGCAGCGTTGGTATCATTGTCGTTACTAGCTAGTAGATTCCGACATTCTTGGGGTCCAATTGTCGAGAGAGCTTAGGAAACTGAGCAAAGTGAAGCAAGGAGAAAGAGATCCAGATCAGCAAAAGCATCCTTCGAAAGTCTTGAATCCATCCTCGCAGTATCATGGTCCGCGCCATTTCTCAGTTTGGCAGCATTCAAACTCTCGCGTTGGGCTCTCCGCGCCAAGGATTTCTGATTCGATTCGATTCATTTGAGCAAAGCCACTCCGAAAGCTCTCCGACGAGTCTGTACACTGTGTACGGTGTAGTAAATACCGGTACTCCGTTTCTGTCAAGACGGCTGCCATTTTGGTTCGTCCAGATTTTCTTGTGAAATGTTAGCACCCGGCCCGTTGCATGCTACCGACACAGATAGCGGTACCATAATGTACCGGTACGGTACCGTGCAAGTGTACCGGTAGGCGAAGGCCGCAGGGCATGCATGGCCCACTTCCCGTGTGTCGACTAAAAAGGAGGCAGAGAGTGGCGGTTACCAGCACTGTGAATGCATAGTCAGTCGATCGTGACCTTGTTGTCGTCGTTGCAGGACAGAAGACTCTGTCTGAATAAGCTACACGCAGCTACGATCCTCGTGGCATAGGTGATTGACTGGCAAGCTTTCAAAGTCTTTTTTATAGTTTGATTAAAACATCGTAGACAGAGGTGCTCGTACTTGCTCGTAGTTACTCATCTCCATCTGGTCCCTTCATCAGACCGCCGAACAAACACACGAGGCTGATTGTAGCATGGTCTGGTGCCAAAGAAACAGCGAACCATCTAGCCAGAACTTGTAGCTGCGTTGAACGGTTCGATGCTGGTCCGCACCACTGTCACCGCAGGAGATCACTCAAACTTCCGACGCTTCAAACGGTGGGATACGTCGTGGTCTTCAACATTGCTGAATGCAGCACAAGTGGGATTGGCGACCAAAAGTGGGTTCATTCGCAGGAAAAAGTATACTGTACTCAGATGAAATTTGTGTTCCAAGAGAGCTCTCACCCAGTCCTCGCGAGTCGAAGGATGGTTAGGGTTTCGTAAGAGCCTTAGCTCTTTTTCCCGATTGAGCCTCAGGTAAAACTCACAGGACAAGAACGATTTGTAGTTGGACAAATCGGGGAACACAATCATCCTGAGCGTGTAATTGTACTCCCGCAATACTCCATGAAGGCTCGTGCACACCCCTTCACCAAGTCGCACTTGATCTTCACGATCGTTTTCGACAAATTCCAAACCCTTCAATGAACGGTTCGCCTTCAGTGAGTGGATGACAGGGAGAATGCATGTATCGTCTTCTCGAGTGTATGGCAAGCTGAGGAGCTGCAATGTATCATTCGCTTGAAGCATATGTCCCACGGATTGATACAAGCGGGCCTTTTTATAACCAGGAGTACAGCCTCCCAGATTCAAAGTGACGAGTCGAAATTCCGAGTCTCCAAGGGCTTGGATCAGAGGGATCAGAATATCACAATTACGATAGGAGCAACAGCCATTCAGATCCAAATGAGTCAAGGTTGGGCTTCTGCCCAAGCTTCCCAATGCATCTGCAATAGCCGAGGGGTTGTCTGCAATGAAGGTAAGTGGTCCGCTGGAAAATTCAAAGTGTTCCAAGCGTGGGAGAGAAGCCGCGGCAGAGAGCAACGCTGGTACTCCTTGAGATTGATCAGTTGGCGTAGGACTGACGTTTTGGAGGCGAATAGTCGTCAAGGACTCTTGGTAAGAAAGTGCTTCCACAAAATCTGAGAAGGTTCCTTCCAGTATTGCTTCTGTGAAAGTAAGAGACTTAATCTTCTTGGGAAAGCGATTGAGCAATCGGGCAACTACTTCTGCGGTGTGCACACGGATTCCTCGACCGTCTTTCGGTGACAGGGACAGTTTCACCTTTTGAAGGCTGGGTAAACTGGCCACAGTAGTCAAAATCTCATCGAAGTCCCTCTGCAATGACGCCCGTACGGCCGCATCTTCAGCGTTTCGAGGGGCGCCGATGGCCTCAAGTTGATGCCAACACATAACGATGGAAATTCCATCGGGCTGCGAACGATGAAGGTTGTTCAAGATTGCCGTGATTCTGCGCGGATAGAACCTCAAATCGACTGGTGTAAAGAAGTCCCGGGCCATGATTATCGCAGAATTGTAGTGTTGGTTCTGTTGAGTATCTCTGTGCCGTCTTGGTTTTGTCCGATTGATTTTGTGCCAAAACTTCTATAGTACTGTAGAACACGAAGACGAAGTTGGATTCAATCGATACTCCATTCCGGAGTTTGGAACCGCCGGATCACTGGTGGCGGACATTGATAGCATTGGAAGATTTGGAAGCGTTAGGAGTTGATGTATGGCCAATTTGATTGTATGAAGCCAATAGGTGTACAGGCAGCGACCTCATTGCTGCTGGAGCGGAGTTGACATATAGGAGTCGAGTCTCGGGTGAGGTGAGGAGGTTTTCATGCAGTCCTTGGGAGTGCTCAATCCATCCGTGGATACTGACTGAGTATCCACGATTGAATCGAATCTCTGGCGCAGGGCAAGTGACACAAGTTTCATGGTTGTGGTGCTGTTGTTGTGATGACTGCCTCTCGCCCCTCCCAATAGCACCCCAGTTCATAGCAAAAAATTCGAGCTTCATAGCGCCGGTTCATGCTGCATTGCTACGCCAGGTTTCTGTGATCAATTCGATTGAATCATTCCACCGCACCGCACCGCACCGCACCGAGCCAAGAGCTGCACCCGGATACACGACGTACTTCCGAGACGGATCTAATCGCATAAATTCGAGTGAGTCCTTATACTGTTACCATATCGCCCGTCTGTGCTATGGCACGGATCAGACTGTCCTTCGTTAGGAAAGATGTTCCTACCTAAGCGCCGTAATTCTTTCACTTCCTCCTTCCCGATGATTTGCTGGGACTCCTGTGTGTGTGTGTTTCTTCAGTTGTTTCTTCCACCACAGGCATTCCGAGTCTACCATTTCTGACGAAGGATCATCATTATGCTACAATTAGTTCATCTTGTAGGTGAATCTTCCTTTCGGTCACGACTGTTCTTCATCTACTTCCTGTTCATCCTCTCCGGTTTCACCATTGTCATCATCCGTACCAGTTGTCTCAGCTGTATCTACTCCATTCTCCATTTCTGTAGTGCTGGTTGTCGGCTCTTCTTCTTCTTCTTCCGCCACAGGAATTTCTATGGGGGCCAGATAGTCCTTGACCAGATCCTGGGAAAACGCCCACAAATCATCTTGCAGTTTTTCATCCAACGAAGCCGGATTCACCACCTCTTGTGCCATGGGATGAAAGTATCGTCCTCGAATTCCTTTTTCGGCTGGGACACATGCCAAATAGAGACCCGTCAATGCCCCATCGGGTGACTGCCACGCTGTGCTACTCATTCGTTCTCGAAAGACATTGGCGGCAAACGCGGGAAGATTCCCGGATGCCAGAATCTTTTCCACAATCGGCGTATTGACCAATCCTGGATGAAACGCATTGACTCTTCTCGTGGAGTCTGGTCCCAGCATTCGCGCCAGTTTTTTGACCCACAGGATTAGTGCCACTTTGGATTGTCCATACGCCAAATTGGCGCCACCCAAGTTGAAGTGTCCGTTGTCGCATCGATGGAGTGTTTCGAGGTCCGTGGCGACCGTGTAGGAGAAGGATTGGAAACTGGAACCCGAGGATGTTGGAATGATGCGTGCATCTTCCGACAGGAATGGTTCCAATAGACGGTATAACAAGTAATGACTGAGGTAGTTGACCTGGAAATGAACTTCGATTTGGTCTTCATCTGTCTTGCTGGGGCAATCGCGGTTCCAATCCGTTAATCTCATGACTCCGGCATTGAGAAAGAGTAGATCAATGGTGGTGTGTGGTTGCTGCTTGCCATAATATTCATGGGCATATGCTTGTGCCATGGCTCTTGTGGAAGCAAACGACGCGGTATCTATAGTCATGGTGCTAATGGTTCCCTTGGGATTGGCTTCCGACAGAATTTTGGATTTGGCATTGGAGCATTTTTGGGGATCTCGGCAGGCCAAAATCACCGAGGCGCCCACTTGAGCCAGAGAAAAGGAGAGATCAAATCCAATTCCCGAGTTGGCTGTTTGTGAATTAATTGAAAGTAAAGACAACGGTACAGGTACAACTTGTTTGAGTGATGTACCGTAATAAGTACTACCGTACACAATGACAAACTACTAGTCTAACGTACCGCCCGTCACCAAGGCCGTCTTTCCCGTCAAATCTTGCTGATGAAATTCTTCCCACGTGTATCCCCAGGGGATTCCATGGTGAAACGAAGGGGCCCAGCCGATTCCTTCCGTCCAAAGATTATTCTGCACAAACCGCCAGACGCCCAAATGTCGAGGAATCGTCGTGAAGAGGACAATGCCCAATACCACAGAGATGAGCCCCGCGACAAGGGCACCAGTCATCAACATTATTGTGCACGTCTAGTCTAGTCTAGTCTAGTCTAGTCTTCCTTGATGTTCAATACTAGTAGCCAGCGGTAATAGCAGCGGAACCACTTTTTGCTTGCTGAGGATGGCGGTCATGGCAACAGTGGGTATCATACATGAGATCCCTAAGTATCACGTATCGTCTGGATGCCGTTTGCGGTCATGTCGGGTCCGCGGCTGACCTCATATGCCATGGAGCGCACACTTCCTCGGGATTCTTTTGAGTCGCGGATACTTTCTTGCCGTTCCTTTGCCCCAATCGCAGCTCTTGGGCTTCTACCGTAGCTAGTACTAGTACCCTGCAATGCCTCTCCTTGCTTCCACTTATTGCTGTTGTTGTTGTCCATGTTGTCGTTGAAACAATTGGCTATCCTTGCCGTTGCCGTGGCGGTGCTATGGCGTCCCATCGTCATGCCCGCATTTATTTGGGCCGTGACGGCTCCTTACGACCCCACCATTGGCACCATACTTCCCGTCTTGACACCAGCGGAACTCGCGCCCTTTTACAAGAACAAGAGGGCTCTGGTGGTGGGAGGAACCCGCGGGACGGGGTTTGGAACGGCACAGGCATTGGTAAAAGCGGGCGCTCATGTCACCCTTGTGGGACGACGCGAATCCACCGGTCAACATGCCGTAACACAACTCCAACAAGTGGCGGCCACACCAGAACAGCAGATTCAATTTCAACAAGGAGATATCGGTTCGGTACGATCCACTCTGGAATTAATCAAAACTCTCCAATACAAAGCGGAGGATACTCGCTACGATCTTTTCATTGTCAGTGCCGGCATCTTTCCCGATTGGAAAGAGCTCCGGAATGAAGATGGTTTGGAAAAATCCTACGGTATTGCCGTCGTGGGACGGTTTCTGCTGTATAAGCATATGCATCGCTTTTTGAAACCACAAGCCCGTGTTCTCAATATCTTGGCATCGGGCATGTACGTTCCCTGGAACATTGATAAGGAAATGGCCATTGGCAAGAAACTTCCTACTAATCTGGCCAAAGCTATGATTAACTTCTCGACGGCTCATGAAGTCATGTTGGTGGGACTGGACCAACGAGATGACGAGGAGACCATGATGTCAACCTTTACACGCGTCTCGACACATCCGGGAGTGGTAGAAACCCAACTCCATGCAGGACAAGGATGGTTCCTGGATACTGCCATGAGATTGGGGGAACAAATAATTGCGACCTCCGTCGAGGATTGTGGGCTGATGCAAGCCAGTATTCTGGCATCCGACCAGCTACCCCCCGGAAAACTGTCGTATGTGGATGCCTTTGGAATGGGCCGACTACGAAGCGCGGCTTTGCAACAGCAAGTGGAGGAACACTTGGATTGGTTGTGGTACACACTGCTTCGATTGGAACAATCCAACGGTAGGACCAAGAATCAATCTACAGAATAAAAACGCTACTGTGTTCCTTCCATCCAAAGCTAATGTCTCATCCTCGTGCGTGTCTATGGAGACGGACTAGAAGTCATACCGTAGAAGCGGCTACGTCTTAGCAAAAACAGCTTTAAATTAAACCAGCGAACACACCGTTACGGTACCTTTTTCTCTTTCCAGTACTGCATGTACAAAACAAATCATCTAAGCCCTGACAAACAGCTTGTCCATCACATACTGAGCACAGCTGCGTTGGTTGTAAAGGATATCAGACTCATCCAAGTCTTTCCTCACGAGGGACTCATCCATTTGTTCGTCTTCGACTGGATCCTCGCTCACACTTTCAAGATTGGTGGCAGCCTCTTGTGCTTTCTCAGCGGCTTCTTGTGCTTTTGCGGCGGCTTCTTGTGCATCTCGTTTCGCCTTGAATTCCTTGACACGCTCTAATTCAGCGGCCACCTCTGCTTGGATACGCTCTTGGTCCGCGAGGGCTTTATTTTCGGCGTTGAGGAGAGCCTGTGTGACCTTCTCAACAGTAATGCGCTTTAGCTCGACCATGGCGTCCTCCATTTCAGTTTTGGCATTTCGCTTTTCCGTTTCGGCAGGTTGTTGTTGCCTTTCCTTTTTGGATCGGGCGCCCTCCATCATATTGGCTACAATCACTCCGTAGACACCCACCCAAGCCTCTTTCACCTCATCCGTAAAGTCATCGCCCACTGCTTTTGCCAAGGTATCCAACAAGGCTTGTCCGACCAAGTCGTAGTGGGCTTGTTCCAAGTTCATCGCAACATGTTTGGCACCCAATCCTCTCAACACGGACACCAAGGTATCCATATTGTTGGTTTTCAGCAGCCCCACGGCGGCATCGACCGTGGTGATCACTGCTCGTGAATGCGTTTGGAACATTTCACTTTGGTAGATATCATTATCCGAGTCTTCTTTGGCAAATGCAAAGAAAGCCTTAGCACCGGGATTGATCTCAAAGATTCTGAAAAAAACCCAAAAAGGTGGTTGAGACAAGGTATGTGAGTTTTGGAAATCCTAATCTGTATACCCAATCTTGCAGCCAAGGAAAACTTACCTTCGAAAGAGCAACTCGCCTGCCACAGCTTCGAAATTTTCGATTGCAGCTACTTTTGCCCAGCTATCAACGACGAGTGCCATGGTGAATAGTGTTTTGACTGGTAGATAAACGAAAAGGTGCGTGAAACCGTATTGATGGGTGCTCAAAATTCTTTGCTTCCTTCCAAATATTGTGAGAGGTTTTGCTTTGGTTTGGTGACTTGGACAGAAGCAAAAGATGATACGTCACCTCGTCATTGCAAAAGTTCAGGAAGAAGTCATTTATCCTATTTCATGTACAGTGAAAACACGCAGGATTACTAGTCAATTCCCCGGAAGACTGAGGGCAGTTCATTCGATGTACCGTACCGGTACAACTGCACTGTACCAGTGTCCCTGTCAATGTAGTACCTGGTACGGCTCAGTAGCCGCACTGTAGCTATCAGTGGAAAGCTGTACCGGTACCATATCAGTTCTGGTGCCGCTCCAAAATATCGGCACTCCGGCTTCTTCTGGAAGCTGGAAGAACTTTTGTGGTCCGTAAAATGTAATCCGCTCTGCTGTCCTACTATTGGTCTCCTGGACTGACAAAAGCCCGAACCTTCATCAATCCAGCATCTCAGCCGTAATCACATCCTTCCTCAGTACTGGTACCTGGTACCTGGTACCGAATTACATCGGCGGACCAGTAAGACCACCAACCAGGTAAAGTGATGTTAAACGTTGACCTCCTAACTGGTACTCAGTATGTCATATGTACGTACATACATACCACTCGATGATAAGTACAAGATTGTGGCTGTACTACCGGTACATGACATTGTAGTCACTAGATTAAAGAACAACACAGAATCATGCACGCTGTACATTAATTCATTGATTGCCCTGGGGAGTGCCTCAAACCAACTCATTGTTTCTTTTGATATCTTCTCCCACCTTCCTGTTTTATTGGACCATTCCTTTAATTAAGTATTTTATGTCTTAACTATTTTTAACCATCTTCCACCGCCTGCAACCGCCTTCAAGCGCCCGCAACCGCCTTCAACCGTCTGTTTTACCGCCTTTTTACCGCTTGTTTACCGCCTTCGACCACCCTCCACCACTCTTTACCACGCTTACCCACTCTTAACCACTATCTGCCGCTTCATTGTGTCCGTTGTGCCTATTTTTAGCGATTGCTTGCATGACTGTATTCAGGTGGTTGGGGATATATTCAAACAGAGAAGATTGATTTGAGGCACCCCCCTGTTCAGAACTTGGTATTGAAACATCAAAGGAAACCTGCAATGCGAAGTATTCGGATCGATGTGTGGGGCAAGGTGGTAACCATGCAGCATACAGCTGAAGCTGAAACCAAGAACCGTCCCCTTGACTTCATAAAACCAAGAATCACAATCAATCCTGCATTCAACACCTTGACAATTGTCCTCCACCATGCGGGCCGTTCTCAGCACCACCATCACCAGAAACCTTGTGTTTGGTAGCTGGAATAAAAGCTACCTAAACAGCACCAGCCTCGCAAAGTTCTCTGTAAGCCTCCCTCGATCTCTTCGTTGCTTTTCTCATAGTCGTTCTCAACTGTCAACATCTAACTTTGTTCTTTTCTTCTGTGTCGCAGACCAATGCCACAAAGGATAATGTCATTTACCTTACAGGAGCCACTGGTTTCATTGGGGAGGAGATTGTTCGTCTAGCTAGCTGAGACGAAGGACTCAATCTCAAAATTATACCTTCCTGTACGAGAGAAGAAGGGCGTATCAGGCCTCCAGCGTTTCAACAAACAATTCGGAAGCTCCCACAAGGCATCCTTCATGGAGCCTTCCGCACGCATCCCTGATGATGTGAATCGCGTGATCTTCAATGCCTATGATTTGAGCTTCCTAAATCCCTTGCCACAAGTGCTGAAAGAGAACGTAAAACCGATTATGAACATGATGGATCAATGTCATTCTCTTCCCAACCTTGATGGTATTTCGGTTGTTTCTTCGGCCTTTGTTCAGCAGCCACTGCCTTTCAAGAGAGACCCTAAGAACCATATTGAGTTCATATTGAAAGACGCCGGATACACAGCTACGGACATTTACAACCAGCTTGTACCAAAATCAGGCCAAAGCAATTCATCCGAGGATGCTGCGGATGCTTCCCAAGAAGCTGACTATGACCACATGCTCCCAGAGCACTACAAGTTCAACAAGTATGCCACGTCCAAACATATCCTGGAGCACTTGGTTCATGAAAACTACCCCGACTTTCCTATCTGCATTGTGCGTCCCTCTGTGGTGATACCTTCTCGAGATGGGACACATGGGCACGGAATCAGAGCTGGCTATTCGTTCTTCTTGGCCATGGCATCTCAGCCAATTTTCCGTTTTCCCGAGAATAAGTTCCACTTTGACAATGTCTTTGTTGAGGATGTAGCCAAGGATATCTTGGATGGCGCGTTGGAGCATGCCGCCCCTGCAGCTGAGAATCCAAAGACTGGTACTCACTACCATCCCATCCTTTGCAGTAGCGCGGGATCCTCTCTGGATGAGAAGACTACCATGATTGATCTGTTTCGTCGGATGGCCCCACAAGTGCATCGATATGATATTCGCAATCGACATGTGCGGTCCACGTTGCGGACGCTGGAGTACTATGCCCTGCGGCTATTTGCTGACAAGCGCTCGGCAGGAACATTGCACAAGATGTACCAGAGTTATGATCCCATCTTTGAGCAGAACTGGGATTTTGAGCCAAGGTTGACCGACTCTCGGAATGAAGAGGTGCTCGATCAGGCAATGGCCAACTTTTACAGCCACGAGCGGAAGATGAGAGCAGAAGAGAAAGAAAGCCAAGAGGAACAATGCAATGTGGCGGTAGGAACTCCTGCTGCCATTAATATGGATTCCAAGTAGGCAATCCTGCAGTGGTGGTCACCATGCGACCGACGCCACCTATCTGACGGGAAGGAAGGAGAAAACCGCGGGCAGGAAGAAAGGAGAAACCATAGCATTCTTGCAGCATGCGACTAGCTATTGTGACAAGGGCTGGCTAGCCAGTGGGGAACAACGCTACTACTCGTATTCGGTGGTCGAGGCCATCGATGGAACGAAAAATTGCAGTAGTAGCGAAGGCCCAAAACACAAACAGATCAAAGCGCTAATAAGCTCAGCCCAGCTCATCCTTACATGGAAATCTACAAGATTGGGGAGGTGGAATGATCAAACCGTTGCCATTACTGATAACTAAACTTAACCTCAATTATAGCTATTCTGTACTGATAGAACGAGTGCGAAAAGCCCTTTCATGGAATAAAGCTGCCACACCGCCATATTTTTCAAAATGACAATGGTGACAGCTTCTCCTCAAACAAGCTTCCAGCCTCTTCTGAAACACCACACAAAGCAAAACGATAACTCTGATCAAAACAGGTCGCAGTCAACGGCACCGAAAAATGAGTAAAACACTGCAAAGGAAAAGAGAACCACATCTGCAGCGACTTACATTTTTCCTTGCCAGCTTCATTTGGGGATTTCATCTTCACATGCATGTGATGCCACAGACGCAATAGGAGATGAAATAACCAATGATGCTTGAACAAATCTTGTCACCCAGTCAATTCTCGATGGGGGATGCGGTGAGAGCGGCTTGTTTCAGCAGGCCGGGAGGCACACACTTTGCCACTTCATCCCAAACCTCCACGCGAATCTTGACAAAGGGACAGACATGAGCCTTGAGCTTGCTACTGCAGGAGCCGCACTTGTATGGGCCGCGTTTCTTGGGTGCCTTTGCAGCTTTGCGGTGATGGTACCGCGCCCTGTACTTGGCCTCGCGAAGGTCCTTGCGGAGTTGCGTGGCAACGTCCTTGTTTCGCCTGGCAACAAGAGGAAGGATCATGAATTCCAGAGGCTCCCTCACAAGCGTCAACTTCGCGTGCTTTTGGTATACGTCGGGGCGGTTCTGGTTTCGGCGGCCGCCCATGGTTTCCTTCTTTCCCTTCACGGTGGCTTCCTTCTTGCCTGTCTTCTTGGACTCGTTGGCAATCTTAGGAGCAACAAGATGGTCCAGGCGTGGTGCAATAGGTACCACGAATCCAACGAGGTTGGCCGCATCCGACTGCTTAAGATTATCCAACGAATACTTTCCAACAGGCAAGCAGAAGCTATGGAGCGTCAGCAAGTACAGAGGATCGCACTTGTCCTGGTCAGACAGCTCAGAGACATTACGATCTGGGGAGGTAACCGCTTCTTCGTCGCGCAAGATGATGTCTTCTAAAGTGGTTTCCTTGCCGTCCACTTCAAGCACATCATCTTTCGCGTCGAGAACACCTTGACAAATCACCGCGAGATCGGCTTCGTCTCCCATGTTGGATGGCGAGGGGTCGTTGTCCAACATGGGATCCAAAGCCAGAGCTCCGAGATCTTTCACAAAGGTACCGGTGGTCTCCATATCATTGCGCGACATGGTGGGATTGTGGCAGCAACGCATTTTACCGAACAAGAAAACAAGGTCAAAAGATCCAAGTTTTGGGGTGAAGGTGAAAATTTGGTGGACCAATCAAAGGCCTCCTTTCAGTCGTGACAACATTCGTAAGGCTAGAGTTAGCTTGCGAGAACAATGCACGATGAATGATTTTTCAGGTCGGGGGGTGGCAATTGAGGAACCTCTCGTCGAAATTGCCAGACCACGCTTATAGCTAGGAAAGGACAAGGCAGCCCTGAAACGCAAGTGCTGGTGAATTGGCCAAGGTCAACGAAGTCCTGGCGGCCGTTTACATTATAATGATAGTGACTTCCCATAAGCAGCCACATCCTAAACGCCAAGATTCGTCTATGAGTTACTAGCCTGTGTTGCAGTTTCATGGGTCGCCGGGATCACACACAGCAAGTTCTAGATCACCTAGGCTCGATTTCGCCTTACGGTGGTGAGATCTAGCAAGCAATCGTATGATAGATGATCTTTCACGCGAAGTCCAACTGAGGGATGGGTTGTCTCCAGCCGCGTCGACTCGACTCAGTAGTACCCAAAAGCTGAGTCTGGGTCCGGCACGAGTCTGTGTACTCGTGCGGCGGTTCTAGCTAGTTTTGCAAGGCTGAGCCGATCATCAGTGAGGATTCTTGGTATGCAAAAACATGATATTTTGCTAGTAATAGTTAAGAGAGGGATAGGCCACGCCCCTCTCTATAGTGTCGTCACCATACATTGGACGTTCTTTTATAACCTGCGCCGACGTTGGCCAACTAAGCATTGTTGCTTCGGCAACGCATATGGATTGTGGGAACAAAGGACACGGAAGGTGGATGGCATATGGAGCCTGCCTTGGAGATGTGCTGGCCAGGGTGCCATTGAAATTGCCAGAATGGCCCTTCACTGCGTCATTTATTTCATGGTGGCCTGCCCCACTCCTTCATGCAGCCGGATTCTGCTCCATAACAGGGCATACGGAATTGACACTTGCGATCTGCGGCATGCTTTCAAAAACTGCAAGGCGTCTAGCAGCACAAACTTCTTGCTCTTTGCAACCACTTGTGTCCGGCTCAGTCACTGTTTCCAAGCCAGATACATTAGAAGCACCAGAAGGTTCCTGACTCCTCTTCTTACTAAGGGCGCCTGATTGTTGGGCCTGCTCCCGAATCACTTTTTGGATCATTCGACCCTGAGTGCGAGTGCTGTGCCTGGCATAGTTATCCATGAGGACCATCTTGGGAACAAAAATGAACAATAGAATTGCCATGCTCACAACAAAGATCATGCAGACAATGACAAGATAGAGAGCTTCTGGGTGATCATGAGCGACAATGAGAATTGGAATCCCAATCAATCCTGTTTGCATCATGGAAACACAGGTGATACCAATGTACTTGGCTTCTGAGAACTCTGACTGGATAAAACGTGCTTCATAGGCTTGCCAGTTGGCAATGCCAATACAAACCGAATTGATCAAAACCAAAGGAACCAAATAGGGTGCAAGTTGGTTTGATTGACACGTCCCACTTGTTGATAGAACTCGATTCCACCCATCTGTTCCTGGATCATCTGCACGGGTATAGGTGAGTGGATCCAAGGCAGTCCAGAGGGACAAAACAAGAACGTTGGCTGCTAACAAGCCAAGACATTGCAACATGACGTGATGTGTCTTGATCTTGATGCGGGTGATTGCTGATCCAGCTTTGAATATCTGGTTGACTCGGCGTGTTTTACTGGAAGATAGGGCCAAGAGAAGATGAGTACTGGGGAGTTGTGTTGCACCAAGGCTAGGAAGAACTGTTGCACTTACCTGAAGAGGGCAGCAAATGCCACGGAGAATCCTATGCAGACAAGCCACAGAGGTGACATGCAAATCGCAACACGATGGGCTTCAGAGTCTCCATGACTATCATCCAATCCCAAAGGAACCATTCCAGAACTCATTATGAAGACACCAATGGCAACCATCAGGAGGAAGGTTGGCTGGGATGCTTTGACAACTCGCGTATTCCGAAAGAACCAAACCCAGGATCCCATGAACAAGGAAGTCAGACCAGTGAAAGCAAAGAAGATGTATCCAATGATAGCTAACTGTCCCACTCGGTTGTGATCCATGACAAGTTCTGGCAAGAGTACTGGTATCTGAATGTGGGAGACCACATTGGTAGGTTTGAATTCTTGTTGGATGGGCCTCCCCTTGATGACATTCATCATGTTTTCAACACAAGTCAGGCCCATGTCAAAGGGCAAATGACCGAGAAGCCCATGAACATAGTTGCGCGCCATTAGATCCATTTGTCGTTCACTATCCCCAACACCAATCCAGGTGATGTTCAGGTGGCGGTATCGATCAACAATTGTTTCATATTGAGGTGCATCAAACAATGGGTTGATAAGGATTGCGATTGCAGTTGGAGGGTTGTCTGTGTTATTGGCCCAGCCATTCAATCCCTCCATAGCATCTTTTATTTTGGTAACAGGAGCTGGGCTGTTGGGAACTTCTACCCATGCAACATCAGGATCACTGTTATTGAGCAACTCAAATCGAAACCCTTCTGTTCTTTCAACAAACGATTCCCCCACTGGAGCCCAGAGGGCGGCAAAAGAGCCCCCCTCAGGTCGTAGTTGCTTGAGAACCCTGCCTAGTTGAATCCCCATGAATGTGTTATTGGTGCCAGCGAAAGCAGCCCTTTTGGAGTCTGGAGCATCTGTCTCGTAGGTCACCACAGCAATCCCTGCCTCCACTGCTTCATCCAACATGGGGCCGATGACAGCAGGGACAGTGGCTGACACCATGATCCCATCATAAAACATGCTATTCTGGTTAGCAGTAGCTTCCTCACTGCTACTGTCGCCCTTGGAGTTAACCGCTGCCTGGATGATCTGGGACAGGTAGTACTTCTGGACACCCAGAAACTCTTTGATATCAGTGTTGGAAGATGCCCCATAGAGATCACATGTGGCTTCAATGGCATCTGATTCCAACAGACGAGCAGCTCCTTGGACACATCCCCTGTGAGCCATTAGTTGGAATGGGCCAACTGAGTTACTGCCCAAAACAGCAAATCGAAGTGTTTTCTTCCCTGCCTGGAGCTCAAGATGTCTTGAGCTGCTACTTGTACTGGTAGCCACTTCTTGTGGATCAATATTATCTCTCAAGAACTGGGCTTCCCATTCCAATGCCTCGAAGCCGCCGTTGGACGCCGTCATGCGCATGACCCCATTTAGTACAGAATCAATCTCTCCCTCCAGCTCAGAGCCATCTGATGGTACGTGTACCGGTGACACTTGGGATCGAAGTCTTCTCGGGGGAGGATCACTCACTGCACTCGTTGATGATGACAGGAGCGAAAGCAGAAGAAGGGGCAACAGCAGCATGTTCATGGGGGCACTATTAATAGTAGTATTGATGCACAGCATGGTACCAATGTTTTGCTTGTGTGAAATAGTGATAACGCTCTTTGCCTCGGATTCTCTTGTCTCTTTGTTGTTGCACTTGTCGTCACTCGACTCGAAATTTCTCAATCCTCGGTACCGGAACTCTCTCTCGGACTCGACTCTGTCCGTCTCGGTTTGGAAGCAACCGTTCTCTCTGCGTGTATTCCGCATCCCTCCACAAGCGGTACCAGGAGGTAAACGGTACTGGAGCATGCGGACTTTAATCTGGGCGTCTTGATATAGTTTTGACGCCCTCGTAGAGTCGTGGTGTGGGCGTGTGGGCACGCACTCCACTTGCAAGAAGGGTGAACATACTGTAGATCAGAAAGTGACTGGCTGAAGTAAAGTAAATTACCCAGGCAGCTCAGAGGCTGCCAAATGGTCAAACACAGGTTGTAGCTTGTTAGGTATCGATAGCTACGGGCGTCTGTGGTAACTTTTGTGATGTTCTGGTTTCACTTTTTTCATCCCTTTTCTAATAACAATCTCCGACTTCAAACGGCCATCCATGACCTCAAAATCCATTCTCGGTGCTTTCTGGCTTCTGAAGAATAGCCAAGGAATCGTTCTTGGGGCTTCTGCTTCATGAGATCACGGCATCAACTTTTACTTGTACTCATCAGTATTTTAAAATAGCTAAGCTTGTACTCGGTACTCTAGAGAGCTATTATTGTACTTGCACGTTATTTGTGCTGCCATCTGCCAACATCCACAATATCTCACAACACGTACCAATCGCTGGACATTTTACAAGCACGGTCCCGAACGCCACAATCTAAATCAAAACTATCAGCTCTAAATCTCAATTTAGTCGCATGACCACTTGCCGTAGATGATGGTTTCTTTGTCAGTGTGGAGCGTGGACGGGTGGAGTGGAAACCATGCTTCCAATAGCAAGGTGCAAGGACTCACTCGACTCGACTTCTGCCTATCACTGCTATCAGCTTGTTATTATTTTAAAAAATCAGTCTATCATACGTTTAGTCTCTACACGGCCGTCCAGAGGAAGCCCATTGCATTGTCGCGAGAAAGAGGGAAAGATAAGGGATTTCTTCAGTGGTGCACCTCTGAGAAAGTCGGCCGAGCTTCATTCCGCCAACGGTACCACATTTTGGATCCAAACCACAAGTCGTGGTTCAGAATGTCACCGTCAAAAAGTTGTTTGTCGCCTCACCGCTCATCGACGATACAAACGCCAATTTAAAAACAAAGGTTGGTGAATAGACATTAACAACAACAAAAATCTGCTTTGATAGCTCAGTTGGGAGAGCGTCAGACTGAAGATCTGAAGGTCCTGTGTTCGATTCACAGTCAAAGCAATTTGTTTCTTTTGTTGCTTCTGTCAACACTCAAGCTCAAAATTTTATGAAATTGCTTTGACTTGCATGGCGGCAGAGTGAAGATGATCAACATTTTGCCTTCCTCATGGATCCAGAGAAACAAGACCAGAGGCACTGGATGGTCCTATTCAAATTCCCACAAAGCTCAATTCCACCTGTTTGCTTCGTTTGTGGCCAGAATTGCAACCGCATCCACAAAAAATTGAGCAGGGCCGTCTTTGCTGGCTACGTGTACAATAGAGGAGGAGGCAATTTGATGTTGAGGAAAGGTAAACTTGAAGCATGATGGAAACATCCCATGCTTGGACTGCCGTACCATTGCTTGTCTTGTCACAGGCCCAGCCCTTTCTTCAAACAGCCGCAGAGGGGTTTGAAGAGGGTGAAGCAACTTGTCAAGTAAGTCTCAGTGGTTGTTCATCTAAACACCAGGCCTCGATGGACGATTTCCTAGTTAGCGCGTGGACAGCCTAGCTACCAGTAGTGTTTACAACAGGCACGGGACAATGGTGGCTTTTTGGAAAATAGTAGATTCGTATTATTTGAGCAGAGAGAATCTCATTACTATTTTTAAATATCATACTACCATCCATACAATTGGAAGACGAGGCTGGAGCTCCCAACTTTCTATGGATGGCAGAGGATTGCCTACCGTACATCTACTGACAGTACGGTCTCATTTTGCTGCTTTGCTAGTGATCATGTGAATTGACAAGCGGTGGGCCTAGCTACAGTCGTAGCTCGAGTCTAGAGCTTCATGTACTCTTCGACGACTTCATCCTTAATTCCAAACATGTCTGCTGGCAAAGTAATAAGGTCAGAGCCTTTCATGGACTCTAGACCTCGAATAGCCTTGGCAATGGCTTGCAGTTTTGGATAAGGAGTAAAAAAGTCGTCGCCAGTCTTGTCCATGAGCTTCTTCATGCCATCTTCGTTGCTGGCATAGGCATTGGCAAAGTAAAAGTCGACGTAACTCATTTTCTCTCCAAAAAAGAATGGACCCACCACATTGCGCTCAATGGCACTGGCAAACACCGAAAAACGAGAAGGCTTGGTACCATCTCCCTTGAGAAACTCCTTCAACTTTTTGGCATCCTCCTGATTCTTGCTAATTCCATTCTCGAACTTGTCCTTGATATCTTCCATGATTTGGACCGCCTTGCAGTCATCGGGTGCCGGAAAGCCATACGTTTTTCCAATGTACATGGCGCACGCAGTCGACTGAGAATAGATGAGATCTCCATCTTCGACAATGGGAGGGGCAATGTTTCCCGTCTCGGCGCCAAAGGCCGCAGCCTTTTGAGACATTTCGCCCATATCCGACACATGCTCAAAGGCAACTCCTGCTTCGTGAAGCATGCGAATGGAAGCACCGGCACGGCCCATAAATCCAGGCCAGTAATAGACTTTGACGACCATGGTGATAAAGATTCGATTCTATTATACTTTTTGCTCGGATGAAAGCAAAGTGAAGGGATGTCGAGATCGGTGGTCAAGAAAAGTGAGCTCGTGAACAACCAAGAAAAGATTCGGTAGTTTCGATCAAGATCTAGCTAGTAGAGAAAGGCTTCCGCCGATGACTTGACTGGTTTAGGAGTGACTCTGACTCAGTCGAGCCCAGGACCTCCAAATCGAACTAGCTAGCTAGACTACTAGCTAGCTACTCGCAGGCTTCCGTCGATGACTCTAGCTAGCTAGTCTACGGGGGACTATCGTCGGTAGTCACGGAACGCCAATGCAACTACGGTAGCCACCAGACACACTACTGCAGAAGCTGATTGCAGCTTGCAAAGTAGTAGCTATAGTTTGAGTGATGAAAATGTTACGGCTACTAGCTCTGCTACTACAGGTAGGCATCCTCGACGGCACGATCAAATTTTGCTGAATGGCGGTGACCACATCATGCAGCCTTTGCAATAGAGAACCACTACGGCAGCAGAAATCCTCAAAGCCTGGAGAGAAATCCTAGACTCCATGTCCTCATCAATTCATGCAACAACGAAATCTTTGGTGCCTGCATACACAAGGCCAAGCTTCATCAATACTACATCAGAAAAAATAGCCCATTGTGGGATCCACAGAGACAAAAATGTGTAGCTTTCACAATGGCAATAGGCACGTGGGGCGGAATGACAAGAAGTGACTTCATGCTAGGGAGCCTTTGCAACAATAGAGAAACCCTAGACTCCATGTCCTCATCCTCAATTCATGCAACGAAATTTTTGGTGCCTGGAGGCACAAGGCCAAGTTGCATCAATGCATTAGTTAGAAAAGGTAGCCAAGCCCAGCACGGGCTGATGAGTGGAGTCAGATAGATGAAGCAGTAGAGCTATAAGTGTTACCACAGATCGAACCAACGGTCATTGGGGATTCTGTCCAGCTCAGAGTAGTGGACTGGCTCTTTTGCTGAATCACATCAATCGCATCATAATGATCTGTTTATCTGTCTATGCCCGCTCCAAGACAACGGCAATCCCTTGTCCTCCACCAATACACGCCGATCCGACATGAATTTGGTTGGTATTTCCTTCTTGATGGAATTCATTGGCCAAATGTGCCACTATGCGACTCCCGGAAGCACCCAATGGATGTCCGAGACTAATGGCACCACCGTGCAAGTTGGTCTTGTCCATGTCCAATTCGAGTTCCTTGGCACACGCTAGAAATTGTGCGGCAAAGGCTTCGTTGATTTCGACGCGATCGACTTGCGCTAGTGACAAGTCCGCTTTGGCCAATGCCTGTTGAATGGCCGTGACAGGTCCAATCCCCATGATGGTGGGATCGCATCCCGTGACGGCATACGAGACCAATCTCGCGAGTGGCTTTAGATTGTATTGTTGAACAGCTTGTTCCGATGCGACAATGACCGACCCGGCACCATCACAGATTCCCGACGCATTGGCGGCCGTCACAGCACCATCCTTTTTAAAGACGGGCTTGAGTTTGGCAATCTTTTCCAGGGCAGTGTCGGGCCTTGGATGTTCATCAGTATCCACAACAATCGTTCCCTTTTTGGATTCAATCGTGACGGGTGCCATTTCCAAATCAAAGATTCCAGCTTTTTGGGCGGCACCCCATGTTTGTTGACTTGTGAAAATGGAAACAAAAGGATGGGAAACAAAGAATGATTGAATAAAGAAAATGACAATCACTCCACAGGAAAAAGAATACCAAGTACTAGCTAGTAATAACTGCACAACAAAGAAATTTTCTTTGCTTACCTCCGAATGGCATATTCATCACATTCTTGACGCGAAATTCCGTATTTTTCGGCCAAATTCTCCGCGGTAATACCCATGGGGGTTCCCGCATACGCATCGGTGAGACCATCCCAAAGGGAATCTCCCAATTTCATGCCCTTACCGAGTGGGACACCCCATCGGGCATCATTGCCACTGACCGTCAAGGGCGCCATGCTCATTTGTTCCGTACCACCACAGAGCGCAATATTGGCATCACCAACTGAAATGGCCGTAGCCCCTTGAATGACGGTTTCAAATCCACTGCCACACAATCGATTAATGGTGAGACTGGGTGTCGTAATGGCACATCCCGATTTGAGAGCGACATGACGCGCCAAATAAGCAGCATCCGACGAGGATTGAATGACATTGCCAAAAAAGCAAGCGTCAATGTGAGCAGGATCCAAATTTTGGGCTTGGGCAATCGCTGCCTTGCTGGAAACGACGCCCAAATCAGTGGCAGTCAATGTTTTCAAGGCACCACCAAAGGCGCCAAAGGGAGTACGCTTGGCGGCGACAATAAACAGGCCTGACATGGTGGATATTTTGATGTGATAGTAATCAGTGGAATGGAGTGGAGGGTGTGAAAATAATAGTGAGAATGCCAATCAAACGGTGCGAGAAAGCTTTATTGTTCCTCGTCATGATGGATTGGATGACGCCGTCCGTTATTCTTACGACTCCCATCACAAACCGCGATCATCGTGACACCACCCAAAGATCCAATCACCGTAGAAAATCTATTGACATTGTTTGCACGCACAATGGCTCCTTTTCTCGGAAGATGGGCATCATCCACAAGAGATCGGCATTCCCAAGAGTTGCCTTCTTTGCATTTTCTACTCTCTATCTTTTCGTCTCTTTGACCACCACAATCAACTACTTACTACTACTATTCTAGCTACTCTAACCATCTCCACCATGCTGTCTACATTGGGTCTGAAGAGTCTTGCCGCACGATCTAATGCTAGTAGAGCGCAAATTCGCTTGGCATCGACGTTGGTCTTATCGGATCCATTGACGGCCGATGGCGCTGCTCCTCCTGCCACACAATCGGCGGTCACGGCGGCCGCTCAACTCGGGGGCGATGCCATTGAATTGCTCGTAGTAGGAGACACGCCTCCCAGTCAAGTTCCTGTGGGAGTCGCCAAAGTCTATCATGCTTCTACTGCATCAAACGCCGTATCCGAGACCATTGCGGCCACGCTTCAATCCGTCGTCGAGAACAAAGGCAGTTATGATTACGTCGTGGGAACGTCGTCCAAATTTGGATCTACCGTCATTCCAAGAGCAGCTGCCTTGTTGGGAGTCTCGCCCGTCACGGATATTATTCAAGTCATTGAGAGTGGTGAGTAAGACAAGATCAAAACGATTTTTTGGTTACTTGGAGGAAAATGACGTGACAACTGGAATTCTCATTTCATTTTTGCCACTCTCCATTCTTCCTTTCATTTTCGTGCTTTCTGTCCATTCGATGTTTCATTTTATAATATTATTCAGACACGTACGTGCGTCCCATGTACGCGGGAAATGCCTTGGCCAAAGTCCAAGCCAAGGATGCCCAAAAGGTTCTCTCGTTTCGTCCCACTTCCTTTGACAAGGCGCCACTGGAGGATGCGGGTGCCATTGAATCCGTCGATGCCACGGTGTTTGACAAGGCCCAATGGCATTCCGAAAATGTGTCCAAATCGGATCGACCCGATTTGGGATCGGCCAATGTGGTCATTTCCGGAGGACGCGGTATGAAATCCGGAGACAATTTTCCCATTTTGGAAGCGTTGGCGGATAAATTGGGAGGTGCCGTGGGAGCGTCTCGTGCGGCGGTCGATGCCGGATTTGTTCCCAATGATTTGCAAGTCGGACAAACGGGAAAAGTCGTGGCACCCGATTTGTATATTGCGGTGTGTATATATATATTGCATTGCATATGATTGATAGATATATACTTTCGTGGAACCATTCCCTCTCATTCACTCACCTTTTTGTTGTTGTCGTTTTATACAGGTCGGTATTTCCGGAGCCATTCAACACTTGTCGGGAATGAAAGATTCCAAAACTATTGTAGCAATCAACAAGGATCCGGAAGCGCCCATCTTTCAAGTGGCGGATTATGGGCTTGTGGCGGATTTGTTTGAGGCTGTGCCGGAAATGACTGAAAAAGTATAAAAACACACAGAAAGGAAAGAAAGAAGAAGGTTCTAGATAGACAGTAGTAAAAGTTTTGAGAGAGACAGACTAGAAAGACTGGTTGGTTTTGAACAAAATAAAATATACTCAGTACCGGTACAGTAGGGACAACTCTACAATAAAGTGTTTTAAAAAGAGCTATGCTTGGTGTTCGTTCCACACTACAGAAGTGCCACACCGGTACCAGTACTGATGTTGGAATGGAGCAGCCCTTTCAGAGCAACAAATCACTCATGGCACTAAAAATAATAGGGAGCTGGACTGGCTACTAGTGAGCAGGCCTTCATATCTGCCGGTATCCCCATCCCAAGAATTCGGTTTTTTTCAGCGCTCGTCTCCTGTATCCCTTTGCCTCAGTTTGGATCCTTATGACGAATACGGTACCTGGTACCAGTCAATCAAGCCATTGCAGCCGGCTACCATAGTTACATCAGCGACAGTGGCAGCAGTACCGAACACACTCAGGTTCGACTTTGCTCGCTACACTTCGTTACCGGTACCTCGCATTGGATCCTTATGACGAATACATGCACAACCGAATATTGTCAATCCAGCCATTGTAGCCCGCTACCGTACAGTTACATCGGCGACAATGGCAACAGTACCGAAAACACTCAGGTTCCGCTTTACTGGCTACACTCTGTTACCGGTACCTTGCATTGGATCCTTTTGACGAATACATGCACAACCGAACATTGTCAATCCAGCCATCGTAGCTAACTACCGTAGAGTTCATGCATCGATCGGTGACAGTGGCAACAGTACCGAACACACTCAGGTTCGGCTTTGCTCGCTACACTCCGGTACAAGTACCTCGTATTGGATCCTTACGACTAATACATGCACAACCGAATACTGTCAATCGTATTGATCTATAAGGTGTCTATGTGGTCTATTGGTCGGTAATCGATGATCTATTATCTTACGAGTTATCTATCTATCTTTATCGTACGAAAGAAGCAAGTCGTTCGCCCAAGGACTTGCGCATACAGGAAAGTTGGTACCGACACATGAATCACCACCAAGACACTAGGAAATAACACTGGAGGGATGAATCCAGTAGTAGGATCCACTCTCCTCTGTGCGTTTCGAGTTGTCGTGTAGCCTCCTCCTCTTGTTTCCTTTTCAATGACTCGACGACGATCTCCTCCGTTCAGGCTA